GCCGATGCACATATTTTTTTCCCACAAGAGCAGAACTAAATGAAGGACTTTTTGGATTAGATATTCTAATCAGTCTGTTTCTGACCCAAACTGGCATTATATCAACGTTATGAAGTTAATTTTGTGCAAAAAATTTCAAATATAATAATAAAATCCACAACACAGGTACACAAAAAGCAAATAGAAAAAAATAAAAGACTGGCAAAATTAATGAAACATTTATATCAAAATAAACAATAAAAAAATAGGTTGATTTAACTCATTATTTGTGTTTTCAACATGTTTCGAAGACTTTGATACTTAACATTATGCTTGTGGATTTTATTTGAAACTTCTGGCACAAAATTAACTCTGTACAATGTAGCCTTCATACCGGCTGGTATTGTAGGGCATGCGGTTGCTGCATACAGTCAGAGCTTCAAGTATATTTATTGCTGCCTGCTGCAAGTTACCTGCCACTAGAAGCATCTGTAAAATACTCAATGCAAGCTGAAAACATTGGTCAGATCAAATTTAAATAAGATCGTCCAACTAAATAATAGTCAAATGTATGCATGTTTAGAAATCTGTTTACACTGAAGGTAAGTAACAATGAAGGCCCATGCATTTTCATTCTTTTATCATGGTATGCTGTTGCGTTTGTTGATGTAAATAACATTATATTGAGTCAAAGTGGACTGACGAGTTTTTGAATGTAATATGCTTTTAGCTGAGAGTTAGTTCACTTCACAAAATATGTGTTGACAAACATTATATATGTGGGTCCTGGTGTGAAAAAGTTTATGAACCCCTGTCTTAAACTGGTGGCTCTTAAACTAGTAATCAGGGGCCCCCAGACAGTCTATATTTTTTTCCAACCTAACTTGTAACATATAGGGATAGAGCAAAAATGTGGGCTGTCTGGAAGTCCTTGAGGGCCTGTTTAAGAACCACTGCCCATCTTTGTTCAAAATAGCTATTTACCTTTATTCACTACTTGACAACATTTTTTCCTGGCTTTTACTGGGCTGACATTTTAAAAGTATGTGTTACTGTTGAACATTCTGTTACTATAGGCAAGTTATGTTAGGTAATGTGTTTTTTTCAGCTGGTTGTATTCCTGGGTTCAATCATCATCTCCATTCTCAAAATTATTACATAAAATCTGCAGACCTTGACTACCCACACTTTCTTAAAAAACAATCCATAATGCTGGCCATTGATCCCCTCTGTGCCCTCAGCACTCTTCAACAGTTTACTTCTGAACTTCACGTAAACACCAACAGAAACATCAGTGAATCAGGCTTGGTGAAGTATTGACTTTCAAAACACACCTTTCCTCAGTAGACAAGAACAGAATTCCAAATCCAGCTTCAGATGTTTCTCAAAACCTCACCTAGCTCAGTACAAGACAGAGCAAAAGGCCCTGCTCTCTGAATAATAATAATAATAATAATATTAATAATAATAATAATCATCATCATCATCATCATTGTTATTCATAGAGCACTTTTCATACAGGTGGCAACACAAAGTACTTTAGACAGGTGATAAAACAATAATAGAAGAAACTATAAGTTTTATTTTTAAAATCATATAAGACAGTGACAGAGATCAAATTAAAAAGATAAATACCAAAAGAGATTTAGAATTTTAATTGAACACTAAGTTAGAGATACATTTTCAAATGCTTCTTAGAAGTGTGCTCTGAGCTAGACTGTCTCATAAAAACTTGAATTGAGTTCCACAGTTTAGAAGCATAATAACCAAAAGAGAGATAGACAAAGTAAGGGATAAAACAGAGCTCAGAATCTAAGATTACACCCAGGTTTCATACTTCAGGTTTGGTATACAAAGCTAAAGAACCAAGCTTCCCATAAAGCATTTTTTTTGTACCAAGGATCAAGTATTTCAGTTTTTTTCATAATTTAGTTGTAGAATATTTTGTGATATCCACTGAGAACAATCTGACACACAGCTGGTAAGTCTGTCAACAGGCCTGATTATCATTTATATAATTTCCAAAAAAGTTGGTGCGCTGTGCAAAATGTAAATAAAAACAAAATGCAATGATGTGCAAATAATTTAAATAGAAATTGTATTGTTTTTGGAAAAACAGATGCCCATTTTGAATTTGATGCCAACAACATGTTCCAAAAAAGTTGGGACAAAAAGCTGGTAAAATTGTGTAATGCTAAAAAAACACCTGGTGGTTGATCGGTAACAGATCAGTCATATGATTTGGTATAAAAAAAGCATCCCAGAGAGGCTGAGTCTTTTAGAAGTAAAGATGAGGAGGAGTTTACTACTCTGTGAAAGACTGCACAAGCAAATAGTGCAACAATTCAAGAAAAACATTTCTCACATCTGTGATGTCACCATTAATGCTGAACAGTCTATACATGTTTTGGCAACATACGCTGCCATCCAGATGGCGTCTTTTTCAGGGAAGGCCTTGATTATTTCAGGATGACAATGTCAAACCACATTGTGCATGTATTACAGCAGTATGGCTCCGTATTAAAAGAGTCCAGGTGCTAAACTCGCCTGCCTGCAGTCCAGACCTGTCACCACTGAAGACATTTGGCGCATTATTAAATGAAAAATACAACAAACGAGCACCCAAACTGTTTAGCTGCTAAAATCCTATATCAAACAAGAATGGGAAAACATTTCACTTTCAAAACTACAGCAATTGGTCTCCTCAGTTCCCAAACGCTTACAGAGTGCTGTTAAAAGAAGAGGTGATGAAACACAGTGGCAAACATGCCCTCATCCCAACTTTTTTAGAATGTGTTGTTAGCATTAAATTCAAAATTTATCAGAAAACAAAAAAAAATTCTCAGTTTCAACACTTGGTATGTTATCTTTGTAGTATTTTCCTTTAAAAATATTATTTACATGATTTGCATATTATTGCATTCTATTTTTATTTACATTCTGCACAGCATCCCAACTTTTTTTGGAAATGGTGTTGTATAATTAGATGTCATTAGCATAACTATGAAAACTGATATCATGTTTCTTATTGACATCCCTAAAGGTAAGATGTACAAAGAGAAAAGCAAAGGCCCTAAAGTTAAAATGGTAAGAGAGGGGAAAATGGCTTAGTTCTTCTCTCCTGTTAAACTTCAGTCACACCCACCAGTAACGGGGATCTGCCAGCTCACATACTTAAGTAATTCCATATACTACTGCCCAACTCAAACATTCTGCCAGCTAATTTTCACTCTGGCGCCCTGCACATGGTGCCAAACCTATTGGTACATCCTCATGTGCTAAATCCTCAGCAGTAGATCCATATGTGTTAGAATTTTTATAGCCCTGGATTGAGCTCCATCATATCCTCTCACTCATGTCTCTGTTGGCTGTATAGAGCATTTCAAGTGTTGCCTGATACATCTGGACTTCCCTGCTCACGGGTGCAGTGGTGGGGTTTTTAGTGTCAGTGCTGACTCGTTTACACATGCCACTGGCACTGGATGCTGGCCTGGGCCTCTAGGTGCCTGCCTGCTGTAATCTCATTGCTATTATAAAATGGTCATTTTGCAGTATACAGCGACAAGCCACTTTATTAAAACAACCTCCTTCTTTCTACACTCATTGTCCATTTTATCAGCTCCACTTGTAGTTCTACAATTACAGACTGTTATCCATCTGTTTATCTGCCTACTTCATTAGCTCCCCACCCCATAGAGTAAGTATTATTATTTGGGTGGTGGATCGTTCTCAGCACTGCAGTGACACTGATGAGGTGGTGGTGTGTTAGTGTGTGTTGCACTGGTATGAGTGGATCAGACACAGTGCAGCTGGAGGTGGATCAATAAAGTAGTAGTGTCTAATAGAGGGGACAGTGAGTGGACACAGCAGCACTGCTGTGTCTGATCCACCCGTACCAGCACAACACACATTAAACGCCACCACCACATCAGTGTCACTGCAGTGCTGAGAATGATCCACCACGCTAATAATACCTGCTCTGTGATGGTCCTTTGGTGTCCTGACCATTGAAGAATGGGGGAAGGGGGCTAACAATGTATGAAAACAAACAGTTGGACTATAGTCTATAAGTGCTCCTAAATGGTGAGTGAACGTGTAAAACTTTGCTGAAATTAAACTTACAGTTTAAGAGAAGACATGTTATATATTGTTGCTGTCAAAAAAACCAAGCATCTCCTTTTTTTTGCAACTTTTATTTTTCTGCATAATTTGCATAAGTTGCTCAGCAGCTGCCCATTAAATTACAAAAAAATCATGATGATTTGACCAACAGAAATGCTCCACAATTGCTTTGAATAAAATTTCTTTACATTAATTACATTGAAAATAAAGAACATTTTTGCCCTCTCCTATCTCCATTTTGGAGATACTTAATTTCCTTTGGACAGCAATGATATGCAATTTATCCAAAAATCTGAAAAATTATTGATGGAACCAAAATCATCATTTCTGCTTGTAGTGTCTTGCCTTAATAAACATACCAAATTCTAGTTTTTTTCTGGTTTTCTGATTAAAACTGCACGTGGGGGGTAAATCAGTGGTTGTTTGAAGAAATTTTTAGACTAAGAAGAAAGAAGAAGTACCATACTCTGAACCTAATTGGAAAATTCATTCTATTTTTGAAAGCAAGAATTCAAAACTAGTTACATCTGACCTTACAGACATGCTTTGCCCTCATGGAAAGAGTCCCAGCTTGAAAGATTTCCCAAACATTTTATAGTTGTGAACTTGGTTTGGAGGTACTGAGGCTCTGTGCCCTTTAAGGCTAGGAGTGTGAGCAGGATTGAATTTCTGTCATGTTCATGTTATTCTTTGGTTTTGTGCTATGATTTTTCTTTATTTGTCTTACTGCACATTCACTGACCTCATGCCTCTTGACTGAGTTGTTATTGTGAAAAAACAATTGAATGCCTGTCCCTACATATCAAGCTTCTCATTTCTCTTAGTTGCATAGGCCCATAAATGACAGAATTCCCCTTTGGTCATCTCTGTGATGTTTTCTCCTCTCCCTTGTGTCTCAGGCTGTGAGAGCGGTTACTGGGGGCCGCACTGCAGTAACCGCTGCCAGTGCCAGAACGGAGCTCTGTGCAACCCAATCACCGGAGCCTGCGTCTGCACCGACGGCTACCAAGGCTGGCGCTGCGAGGATCACTGTGAGCCGGGCTACTACGGCAAGGGCTGCCAGCTGCAGTGCCAGTGTCTTAACGGTGCCATCTGCCACCACGAGACTGGGGAGTGCATCTGTGCACCAGGGTATATGGGCGCTGTGTATGTAGCCTTTCATATATGACTAATGTATATTGTTGCTGTCATAACAGAACCATCTCTTTGAAACGGTAACATTATAAAACAAGATAAAAGTATTTTAAGGAGCCCATATCCTGTATTTTTCTTGGATTTTATTTTTCCCTTGAAATACACTTGTAGCATTAGTCTGGTTTTATGTAGCAAACATGGTTATAATTCATTTTTTCAATAATTACCATTTCCAATTTCTCTTTATCCCTTAATAGGCTGCTTTTGTCACTGTGCCTTTAAGATTGATGTATCGCTGTTGTTGGAAGAAAACCTCATATCTCTAAAATGATAACTTTACAGGACAAGGAAAAAACCTACTTTACTTTTAATATAAGTCAATGGAACCAGACATTTTTCCAAGTAATTTTGGGCCATTTCTTTTGGTCCATTCTTCTTGAAATTTACACACAATGTAAAGGGCAACAGGCCTTTTCAAATTATGTCAAAAACTGAAAAATGACAAAAATGGAGATACAAGGTTTTCTTCCGACAACAGCAATATGTAGATTAGCTCTGATTGGCTGCCTTGCATTGTCCCAGCACTCAGAGCTAAAGCACGTCATGAATGGGCGGGGCTAAGCTGCTGCAGGCTGAATAGGTGGATATATGTAAATAAGTTCTTTCTCTTAACATTACAGAAACTTAGCTTTGTTTGCCTATATGGACTCCTTTTTTATATTCCAAAACTCATAGGGATTTGGTTGTGCATGATGCGGACCCTTTAAATTTCAGTGTATGTTAATGTAACAAGATGTTAGTCCAAGTCATTTTGGACCATTTCTGTTGATTGATTTTATTATGAAATGTTCACACAATGTGAAGGACAGGTTTTGAAATGACAGCAATGATATGGAAATGCATTGCTATGTAGTTTACTGTAGTATCACAAGTGATTCTGCATATTATTATCAATGCTGTTACTTTAATGTCATAGTAACTCTTTATTTTTAGATGTGAAGCACCTCATGGGTCTTTGTTCTTACAGTAGTTTAGTAGCTCTTGGTATGGGTTGGTAGTTTTTGCTATAGCTTTAAAAAGTCACTTTTAATCATTTCTAGTTAAAGTAACAAAACAGCTAAAGCCTGTTGTATGAAGTCAGCCTCTAGATTACAGTTCTTGTTAGCTTTATTTTACTGTTATTGTAGTCTATTATTATTATAAGGCCATTAAGAACAACAGTACCACAATGTCAAAAATGTCACCCTTGTTCTTGTTTTGCAAGAGAAGGCATTCCATGCGTGGAAGGCTGCAGCATGGCTTTATCTGTTTAACAATCATGACCACAGTTAAAAAAAAAGTACTATCTTGCGCTGCTATGGAATGTTTTGAAGCCACACAACATATTGAAAGTGAAGTAGTAAGCAGTATGCAATATGTGACCAGCATTAATATCCACAGCATGTCAAAGATACCCAGATGACATACTGCTCTGGAGAAATATTCCAGATATATGTACAGCACATCTATATTCATGATATACTGCATTCCAAAGTGCAACATGGTCAATTCACGAATACGTAATATCCGCTGACAGTGGTTTAATTAAAGGAAATAGTTTATCTTAGTACTGCGTTCTCTGCTGGTCTTGAAGTGAGTTTGCTTGCTTTGTTTATTAAATAAAGTTAACTAACATACTGCATAGATAACATGGTTAAAACAGTAGTTAATTAAGTAAAGTTGGTCTCAACCAAGCATTCTGCTTAGCTTTGGCTTTTCAGGCTTACTTGTGGGGTCACACTGCTTATTATTCAGTCAATCTTCATATAATATTCATATTACCAACTATGAATATAATAAAAATAAAATGACTGACCTTTAAGCAAATGGAGGAAAACAGGTGTGTTTGGAAAGCACACAGGTTTACCACACAGAGGAATCCAAAGCTGACATTTGTAAAGTTTATTTGTGGCTTTTGAGATAAGTAGAAAACACAACCCTCCACTCTGTCATGGTATCTTTCAAAACTCAGCAGGTACGTCTCCTGACAAAAATATATCCACACATGTTGCTAAAGACTTGACCTGAAAAAGAACTGAAAAGCAGCTAGCAGCAGTTGCTAAGCAGTGACTGGAGAGCTGAGGAACACTGAGTGTGTATTGATATGAAGCTTTTCTGTTACTCTAAGTAAACAAAGTAAGCACTTACTGATCTGAACTGCACTCTGAATGAGCTCTTGCACTCATTTTGAAAAAAACATGGTGCATCCAACAAGACAGGAAGCCTCATCTCCATCTTTTATACAGTGTTATACAACAGTTAGTTCCGGTGACTCAAGCTAATTGGTTGAGAGGTGTTCTAACCGTGCTGTTATTTCACCGTAACAGCATGTTTTTTTCACATACACTATATCACTACGCTGAGACGCCGTTGCTAAGCAACGACTTTGACAGCTGTAGGAGACGCTCAAGCCATTTGAACATTTTTACTTCTTACTTTGTGCGCAAACAGAAAATGGATACTTTTAAGATCACATTTGACCTACAGCCGATCTGGTCAGACTCTGAAGATGAGACTACACTAAATTCCCAAACTGTCATTACCACTGAGCAAGCGTTTCAGTCGGCAGCTGTGACAGAAGAACACCTAAACAACCTGGAATTAGACAGTAATTAACTGAATACCATTCGCCAAACAAAATGGGCTGTAAAATGCTTTACAGACTGGCTGGAACAATACAACATTAATATGGATCTAGCAAAAAATGACAACACTGAGCTAAACTTGATATTGTGGCAGTTTTATGGCTCAGTCTGTACTTCAGAAGGCGAGGCTTACAGCACACTGTGCAGCAAGTGAGCAGAGTTTGTTACTGTGACGTAGCAACAAGCTGCTAGTAAAGGAACTATAATTTGACAGAAGGAATTGCTAACATTAAAACATATTAAATGCCACATTCCAGGCCCAATTTATTTATTTATTACTTTGTTTATTTAACTGTTGTATAAAAGCAACAGAACACTCAAGGTTGTGTGTTATCGCGAAATAACATCACGGCTGTGACCAAATCACAGCCGTGATGTTATTTCGCGATAACACACAGCCTTGAGTGTTCTGTTACTTAAATAAATCATGGTATTTAAAGGTGTGGCTTTCTTTCTCTTTTTTTTCTTTGGTTCTGATACCAGGCCCTCAAGGTTCACAGGCTTTACAGAAAACATACTAAAAGAAATCAAAGAGAAATATAATTACTTTGGTGCATCTTAAAGCCATTGATTGCGCGTTTTCTGACGAATGGAATCTATTAGTGAATCAGCTCAAGCCTACTTGTAACTCACTCACATACTCTCTCACATTTAGCAGGTCAAATATTCTCCACAAGGGGTTGCTGTTAGCACTCAAATAGTTTTTGATGCTTCGTATCATTGACACTGTGTCCTTGTTTGAATATATATGTTTTTTGTCATACACTTCAATTCAACACAACTGCATGGCGCACATTAGTTCCTATAGTTATTGAATAATTCATAGTAATTACTGAATAATTAGTCTTAAAATTAACAACTGAATAATGAGGATAGGGTCCAAGGGGTTAAGTCAAGACAAAGAATAAAAAAAAAATAGTCGTTGAAGTCTTGCGTTTTATGCTGCAACCCAGTGCAATGGCACTCGCAGGCTGAGCGGTCTTTGTTCTTGTGCTGTGGCAGCTGCGGAGAGCGATGTCCCTCGGGCAGTCATGGGCCTCAGTGTGAGCAGCGCTGCCCCTGCCAGAATGGAGGAACCTGCCACCACATCACCGGAGAGTGCTCGTGCCCGGCTGGCTGGACCGTAAGGCTCACTGCAAACATCCAGCGAATGAAAGACTTCAAATGAATGAGTGGAAGCAACAGGGAGAGAGGAGGGGATTAGGGACGTGAGGATAGAGGATAGATAATGAGAGGAAGGGTGGAGGGAGAGTGAAGGAGAGGGAAAGGGTGAATGAGTGATGAAGGGATAGATGATGTGAGATGAAGCGAGGGAGAGAGAAAAGGGGGAGAAAGGGTAATTAGGGGGCTAAATGAGGGGTTAAGTGTAAGGAAAGAGGGAGTGAGAGAGGGAGGGGTGAGTGACTGAGTAGGAGAGATACTGAGTAAATTTAAGAGCGGAAGAAAATGTTGGTCGTCTGCAAAGGATCTCAAAGCAACCAGTGCTTATTATTACTATTAAAAATGAAATATGCAGTTTTCTGAACCTCATTAACACTGGCTTTGTATCGTCTTTGTGTTAAAGCACTGAGGCTTTAGTGATAGATTTGATTGGATTTGTATGGATTAGTCTCTTCTATCCTCCAAAATTCACACACGCTCTCTCTTCTCCTTCTCACTGCGCCACAGGGGTCCGTGTGTGCCCAGCCTTGTCCATTAGGCAAATATGGCATTAACTGCAGCAAGGACTGCTCGTGCCGCAATGGTGGACTGTGCGACCACATCACCGGGCAGTGCCAGTGTATGGCAGGCTACACTGGCCGCAGGTACACAGCAGCATTTCTTCTGGCATTATTTCTTCTATTCATGGCTGCAGTAAATGTGCAGAATGTGACTTCATCACAGAACACTCTTTGTCCTCTCAGTGGCGTCCCAAATTGCTCCTTCATCTTAGCAAAGCTGTGATTTTCATGTTTTTTTCTGCAAATGACTCAACAAGAAAATTGGACCTAAAACTACAAAGTAACCACTGAGTCAAGCACCTCTATCACAATGTTTCATTTTGTTCATATTAAAGAAATCAAAATGGACCTTTTCCTTGGTCATATTAAACACAATCTATTGTGTCATTTCATTTAAAAGACGAAATTCCCTTTTCTCTGTAATCTTTGATCAAAGCGTGGTGACTTTTGCCTGCCACTAAACACCTTATGACATTTGACAACGTCAGTTTGTATAGGACAGGGATGAATTAAGCTAGCCATAATATCGTAGCATGATTTCCCACCCCTCCCGTCTTCCCCACCCATCATCGAGCAAGAACGCTGGCCGTCAAAATTGTCATTTTAGCTTTATACAAGTACACAGTGAAACGACACAACATTCTTCTAGGACCATCACAGGAACACAAGTGCAAAACAATGCAATATACACAGTGCAGTAAATACGAAAAAAACTTAGAATAAATACAAAACAGAACACAGGCACCACACGGTACTTAAGAATATGTAGAGTTGTGCAAAGGAGGATGTAACATACTATGACATATTAGCAGATTAGCAGATAGCCTAGCATATCTCTGCTGTCAGAACAAAATTTCTTGTCTCTGAAAAGGAAAAAAGTTTTTAACTTTTAATAGAAGTTAATGGAGAAATAATTTTCTCCAAGTAATTTTGGACCATTTCTGTTGGTCCTTTCATCATGAAATTTTAACACAACATAAAGGACAACTGGGCTTTTCACATTATGTCAAAAAATTAAAAATACGAGGTTTTGTCCCGACAGCAATGATATATAGCGTATATGAGCATAGCAGCCACTGAGGTAGCAGCCAGAACAGCAGTGGAATATGGAATCTCTGCCTTATCACTCTTGTCACTTGATTTACTCGCTCACCTTTACTTACGGTTTTTGGACGGGTTGTAAAATAAACACATCGGTTGTTTCAGTTGGTTTATGCTGCGATTTATGTTCATGTTAACACAAATGAGATCGCTCAGTTACCTCACAGTCTCTGTGAGGCTCTAAGGCAGGTCAGCGGATGATGGAGGGCATCGTGTACCACACACACACACACACACACACACACACACACACACACACACACACACACACACACAGTCCATCTTCTCACACTTTTAAGTAGTTACTCTCATACATGGATGTATTTTAATGATAACCAGACAGTCTTTTTTTCAATTGCTTGCTGTGAAAATGTAAGAAAGTGAAAGCAACATGGATGCTAAAAGGCTAGCCAGCTAACCGGCACATCGCCTCGTCTTTGCCTTAAAAAGTGAAAAAAAAATACATATTAAAATAAAGCTTTCAACAAATGATTCAGAAACTTCAGCAATTATGTTTTCAATTCCTTCGGCTTTTCTGCAAAACAAACAGATGCCTGCTTTTCATGTTCCAATCAAATCCTCTCAAATCATGTCCCACTCACAGTTACCTCCCATCCAAATAGTCATTCTCACTTGCAAGTATGTCACATTGAGGAAGAAAAATGTGTTCTGATTTCATGGTGACTTTGAGGTTCATTTATTTGAACGACCTCTTGCCTTTAACAGACAGACATCAATGGTCTGGTGTGTTTCTTTACTCATTAGTGTAGTGTAGTTTTACCTGCTCTACTTTTGTGTTCATCTTTATCTGTTCCTGTTGTGTCTATCAGTCCCACTCCCGACTCTCCACTGTTCTGTTAGGTTTCTGCCCATTAATTACCAGTAATTAAGTTGTATTACGAGTCAATTGAAATGGCTGGGTCTCTTCATTTTCCTGTGACATCCTGAGGGTTTATTAGCTTGCTAAAGCGATTCTCTGCTGGATGAAAACACTTCCAGGACAAGCCCTTCTTTTTCTCTAATATTTTGCAAAATTGCCCTCATTCATTTGCGCTGTGACAGGTGAATTAACCCAGCAGGAATAATCTGAGATTGCGTTAGAAGCCCCCCTCCCCTTCGCAATAACACCCATCTCTCCCGATACGGCTGGTGCCGCTGTAATTTAAACGTGAAACATAACTAGTCCATTTTATAATTTAATTGAGCTATTTATCTGTCTCCTAATGGCTTCTTTGGACACCCGAGATTGATGCTCTGCCAGGATTGTATATTTAACTTCTTGTAAAAGTCCTTTCTCCTTAAGTCACTTTGCTATTCCATACAGAGAACAGGCCCCAGTCTAATTGTATTCACTGTAGTTAATGACAGTGGTCTCACCTTGCTCTGCTCTAGAGAAGGAAGCCGGCTCAGTGATGAGCACAACTAATGCCAAAGCAGCCCAGAGCTCTGACTTACGACCTCTAGTTTTGCCCGACCATGTAGATGACTGTCTCAGACTGTGTTTTTTCTAATGGGCTCCTTGTCTTTCACTGTCACTGAGTAAGAGCGCGCAGCAGGGCACTGTGTATTAACCCTTAGAAGTTATAGTTATCACAGGTGATAAAAAAGGGTAATGTGGAGGTACCAATTTTAAGTTGTCAAGCAATAGTACATTTGTGTAGTGGTGATATTTCCACCCTCTATACAGCAGACAGGAGGTTCAATGTCCTGCCTGGGCAAGCAAACCACTATATTTGCCTGTATCTGCAATTGTATGCTTAATTGTAAGCTGCTCTGGATATTAGCATCTTTTAAAAAATTAAAATGTCAGGAGTACAGATTGGAATCTGCCAATACAGAATGTAAATTGAATAATATCATTAATTACATAAACTCTTATGTAATTCAATTTGTATTTTACCAGTGTTTCAAAGTGAATGAGTTATTAATTTCGAAGACAATAAATTGCTAATGACTCTAATTGCTTTAATGCTGTTAACACATTTTCCTAATTTGACCCTTGAACCATCCGTAGTTCCACAAAGCTGAAGCTCTTCTTCAGCTTATTATTTGAATTTGCTCCTTCAATGTTGCAGCACCTTAAATGTTACTGCAGTTACATTCTGGCACCTATATCATTTAAGGTGGAGTGGCGAATTCAAATAAGAAGCCAACTTCAGTCTTGTGCCAGTTCCAGCCTAAACAACCTAAGGCCTAGCAGCTTGCGTGCTGTACCTTGACTTCACTGCTGTAGTTCTCTGGTTCAAATCCAGCTTTTAAATGGCGAGTTCTGTTGATAGATCTCTTAATAAGACCAAAGGCACAGAGGACGCCTTCAGCAGACAATACTGGACGTTGCTCGCAGGAGATCTATGGATAAGTCAATGCACAGCAACCTAAAAAAGCAACAGTAAAGTGTAAAACTACAGTTCCTCTTAAAACAAGATGTAATGTAGCATTACGAAGGTGAGAGACTACAATCGTGGAGCAGATGTAACAAAGTATGTAGAAAATGCATTCACCTTATTTATGTTTAATCACAGGATAAAATAATGTTGTAGAATCATTGAAAGTAATAAACATAACACTTTTTTGTCCACCAATGTAGCTAATAATAATAAATCCACTACTTTTTTAAATTTAAAAACTTCCTTAACGGTCAAATTTGAGCAAAACAAAAAAGGGGATTAATAGTAATTAACTGTAATGCGATTAACCATGATTATTTATTTTAATGGTTGATAGTCCTAGTAATTACATTTGAGTAGTATAGCACTCAAAGCTAATAACTCTACTTTTAAGGGTTAAGAGTATGACAGGGTGCTCTACTTCAGTAAAGTGTGTCTGATGTGCCCAGGTGCCAGGAGGAGTGCCCCGTAGGCACGTACGGCCCGCAGTGTGCCCTCCATTGCGACTGTCAGAATGGGGCCAAGTGTTACCATATCAATGGGGCGTGTCTATGTGACACAGGCTTTAAAGGACCTCACTGCCAAGACAGATTCTGCCCCCCAGGGTTATATGGCCTCATCTGTGACAAGTACTGCCCCTGTAATGCTACAAATACACTCAGGTAAGCACACGCAGACTCCTGAACTGAACTTACTCGCTCTAAGGATCACAGCTGAAACCTAAATTAGACATTGTTCTAGCGAACTAGACATGATATACATTATAAACTTTGGGAGCTCAACCGCTGTCATGTACATCTGCAGTGTCTACAGGTATTTGTTCCAGCCATGCACCACAGCACCCGATTGCACTAATCAGGTTTCTTCCTTGTAAAAGCAGAAAGCTCATTAGGGAAATAAGGTGATGCTGTGCAGGGTTAGAATATATTTGCCAACACTACACCCCTTGTCGAGGGCTAGAACTATAATTGTTCCTGTCATTCCATCTATCTCATGTACAGGGCTGTGAAATAGTTTTTGAAAAAGTATCCTGATTTTCTTTATGATTTTTGAATGCTTTTAAGTCTTTAAATAAATTGTATCATTAGACAAAAATAACCTTAACAAACATAAACACATTATTTAAATAATTATTATTTAATTTATTAGGGAGCAAAGATATCTAATATGTCAATCACTCATATGAAAAATGCCCCCTTTAAATTAATAACATCTTTTATGTCCTTTAGTAGCATTAACTGGAACCAGCATTTCCTATAATTTGAAATTAGCCTTTAATGTTGTTGTGAAGGAATTTGAGCCCATTTTTTTTGCAGAACTGCTTTTATTCAGATATATTGGTAAGTTTTGGAGCATGAAGTGCATGTTTCAGGCCCTGGCACAGCATCTCTATCAGCTTCAAGTCAGGACTTTGACAAGACCACTTCAGAACATTCATTTTGTTTCTTTTCAGCCATTTGCTTTTTTGTTTTGGATTATTGTCTTGCTGCATAACCCGATTATGTTTCAGCCTCAGCTCCTGGACAGATGAACAGGCACTCAATATTTAAGAATTCTTTGGTAAACAACAGAATTCATGGTTCCTTTAATAATAGTAAGTTGTCATAGTCCTGAGGAAGCAAAACATCCCCACACCTTCCCACTACCATCAGTATGTTTGAATGTTGGTATGATGTTCCTATTGGGAAGTGCAGAACATGCTTTACAGCAGATTTAAAGAGACCTGAGTCGTCCAAGGAGTTACACTTTGGACCGTCCATAGAACATTATTCCAAAAGGCTTAGGGATTGTCCAGGTGTTTTTTATAAATGTGAGGTGAGCATTGATGTTTCTTTTGGTTAGCAGTGTTTTCTGCCTCACTGCTCTTCCATGAATGCTACTTTGCCCAGTGCATTTCTTACTGTAGACTCATGAACACTGACCTTACATGAGGCTACAGAGACCTGCAGTTCTTTAGTGACTTTCTGGATGATTTGCCTCTGTGCTTTTGGGGAAAACTTTGGCAGGATAGCCACTCTTGGGAAGATTCACCAGTGTTAATACAGTGCTGTGAAAAAGTATTTGCCCCTTCGCAGTTTCTTCTATTTTTGCATATTTGTCACACTTTAATGTTTCAGATCATCAGACTACTTTTACTATTAGACATAGATAATCATAAGTAAACATAAAATGCTGTTTAAATGATTTCATTTATTGAAGTAAAAATGTTGTTCAGCCCTATGTGGCTCTGTGTGAAAAAGTAAGTTTAGCTACTAAATCAACCAGTTAACCAAAGTCAATTGACTGTTGGGTTCAGTTTCACTAGCCACACCCAAACATGATTACTGCCAGACCTGTTGAATCTAAACATCAATTAAATAGAACCTGTCTGGCAATGTGAAACAGGCTAGAAGGTCTCAAAAAGCAGCACAAGATGCCACGTTCTAAAGAGATTCAACAGATGCAGATGCCAAACAAAGTCATTGAAATGTAACAGTCTGGAAAGGGTTCCAAAGAGATTGCGGAGGCTCTGGGACTCCAGTGAACCACAGTGAGAGCCATTATCCACAAATAAAGAAAACTTGAAACAGTGGTGTACTTTCCCAGGAGCGGCCAGCCTACCAAAATTTCACCAAGAGCGCATCAGCGACTCATCCAGGAGGTCACAAAAGAACCCAGACGAACATCTAAAAAACTGCAGGCCTCATTGCCTCAGTCAGTGTGCACGATTCCACAATAGGGAAGACACTGGACAAAAATGGCATCCATGGGAGAGTTGCAAGGCACAAACCATTGCTGACCAAAAAAAGCACAAAGTTGTCTCATATTTGCCAAAAACATCTAGATGACCCCCAGACTTTTGGGATAATATTCTGTGGACTGATGAGTCAAAGGTGTAACTTTTTAGAAGACATGGATCCCGTTACATCTGCCATAAAGCTAACACTGCATTCCACCATAAGAACATCATACCAACAATCAAACATGGTGGTGGTAGCATGTTGGTCTGGGGCTGCTTTGCTTCAGCAGGTCCTGGACGACTTGTCATAATTGATGGAACCCTGAATTCTGCTCTCTATCAGAAAATCCTGAAAGAGAATGTCTGCCTGCAGCTGTTACTGCCAAGGATGGCACAGCCAGTTATTAGGTTAAGGGGGCAAATACTTTTTCATATGGGTGATATAGGTTTGGAATAAATATTTGTCTTGGAATGATCATTTAAAAGCTGCATTTTATGTTTACTTGTGTTGTCTTTATTTATATTAAAATGAGTTGGATGATCTGAAACCTTTGAAGTGACAAGTTAGCAAAATAGAAGAAATCAGGTGAGGGGCAAATACTTTGTCAGAGCACAGTAGATTCACCAATGCTCCTAAAAACTGTTTTCGTACTGATATATTTTAACAGCTTCCTTTAGTCATGGCCTGATGTGCTTGTTAAAAACGTAGTGGCGATTTCATCAGTCTGATGGTAAAGTTCAATACAAGTGAGGTTTACATTCATCAGGGCTGACTGCATTCGAGCCTACCTGGGTTCAGTCAGCTGAATCTCATTATCAATTAAATTTGGCTAATTTGTTGCTTGAGTAACTAAGGAGGCCATTACTTTTTCACATTGCATGTTGGTTAAATTTGCTCCTATATATATAATAATTCGTCTTTGAAAAGTTTCTCTGTCTAATATTACATTTTATTTAAAGATCTAAAAGCTGTGGCAATATACAATCATAGAAATACTTTTTCACAGCGCTGTAAATCCTTTAATGGTGATAGTGTAACAGTAACATAGGTCAAGGTTACAGTCATATTAACATTCTCACTCAAATTATATATAGTGCCTTGGGATAATATTTTAACAAATGATACTTGCACATATTTTTCCAATTAATATTTTTATTGTGAACAGTTATTATTGTGATATGCTCTAGTATTACAATTGCTCTAACATTTATTAAAGCCAAATTATGTTATCTGTCTGCAGATATTTTAAAGAAGATGAAAATCTGAAATATGTTGCTTTTGTATGTTTGTCTCCAAACATTTATACGGTAGAGCAAGAACAGCTTAGTTCTGTAGAATGTACCAGCTTTGCACACTTTTTCCATTCTCCTTGGAGAGAATATTTGTAGTAGGTTGTTTAGGTCAGTTGGATGATGCTTGAGGACTGCAATTTTCAAATATTCCCACAGATTCTCAGTAGAATTGAGGTCAGGACTTTGACTGGGCCCCTGTAGGACATTCACCTTTTCGTTTCTGAGCCACTTCACTGTTGCTTTAGCTTTGCGCTTTGGATCACTGCCCTGTTGAAAGGCGAATATTCTCCCAAGCGTCAGTTTCTTAGCAGAATGAAGCAGGTTATTTTCCACTATTTCTCTCAGGTTTGCTCGATCCATCTTAACAAGATGTCATGAGCCTGCTGACTATATAGGAGCACATGAGTTCATAAGAAAAATATGTGTATGTATGTAATCTAAGAAATGTTAATAACTTTCAAGAGGTTTAAATATTTTTACAAAGCACTGTATACTAATAAAGTACTCAACTACTGTGGAAAAATAGTGTTGCTGAACTGGTCCTTGAAATCTTTTTTGGTGTCCAAGAAAAGGTCATGCTAAAAGGTCTGCTAAATACCAATGGGTTCCATGCAGTCACATGATTTTTTTCCTCAAACCTCTGGCATTAGTGCCTTATTTCAAAGGACAGTGAAAAACCTCCAACTCTGTAAAATATTTTCATGCAGAAATAAGAAGGTATGATACAGTGATTATGGATGTAAGGCATCCTCATACCACTGTAATCAGTAACAGCTTGTGCAAGCACCCAAAAAGAATCAATTTTTAAAGGAAAATAATTGCAACTTTAATCTAAGCAGCAGTTGAGGAAGTCACTGTAGAGCTCTTTTTCATAGAAGGCAGTGGCCAGCTCCGCCCTCATCACTTTACAGCCTAACCCAAGGGTGTAGCGCCGAGAGCCATTTTACTTCATTTAACTTGCAAGTCGAATTTTGAACACCTTTCAGCGGTAGCGTACCACTTGCTCTTTATCGTGACCTGTGCTTCATTCATTATTTCTAAGCCGCATTCACGGCTAATGCAATGTTAATGTTCTGATATGGGTGGATTGGGCACCAAGACAGCGGAGCTCATTACAGTATGAAGGAGAAAAAGGATGCCCCATCCATCTGAATGGAGAGCACAGACAGCAAGATGGATGAACTTGTGCCTGGCCTTGGTTCCTAACTTTTACTCTGTTGTTGTTGAAATGCTGCTGCGTTTGTGTTGCCTTTTTTTTTGTAACTACTCTCTTTCTCTCTCCATCTTCTCATCCCTCTTCCTCTTTGTCCCTCTCTCAGCTGTCACCCTCTCTCAGGGGAGTGCTCCTGTGCCGCAGGATGGACTGGCCTGTACTGCAATGAGACCTGTCCCCCAGGCTACTACGGCGAGGGCTGCAGCTTGCAGTGCCACTGTGCCAATGGAGCAGACTGCCATGGGGTCAGCGGGGCTTGTGTCTGCGCCCCTGGCTTCACTGTGAGTCCAGAACTGATCATCCAAATTACTGGCCTAATCATGTTGAAAGCCCCTATGATGAAATACTGTAAAATAACACCTGACTCCTGAGCTATTACAGCAGATTACATTGCTTCTGAAAAAAAGGAGGGACTTTTTTCCCTTTGTTTTTTTGATACTTAAAAAAAACAATCATTTTTAAGGGTAATCACATGTTGGGTGAGCAATATCAAGAATAAAAGAGGTGCATTGTCATGGAGATCTGGCACGCAACACCTCTGCCATCTCACAAAGTGTGTTCTTCAAAGTTATTTTCCTGTCATCTCACTTGAGGCAGTAGTCAGCAAGTGAAGTTTAGCTCTTTGAAAATGATCTCTTTAGCAGGGTCGCGCACGCACACAGATACACTCACTCACTTGCAGTCTCTCACAGGGAGGCTGAGAACAAGGTGAGACTCTTTAAGCTCAGCAGGCACTGGGCGCTTAATGCTGCCTCATAATGGATGTGCCCTATTACACGGCAGGTTTGGGCTTAATACAAAGACCTTGCCAAATGGAGGAAGGAGAGCCAGGTACATGGACTCTGAAATAGATTATGTTTCCTAGACTAGACTCCCTCTGACATTAATAATAAAGTGCCCAGTGTATGGTGCATGTTACACAAATCAGAGCCATGGATCAAAGCAGGTCCTGGATCAGTTTTCTTCCACTAGCTTCTGAAATGCAGACAAGGAAAAGAGATTGAGGCTGAGAAGAACAGTAGAGGATGAAATATGGGTGGTCAGAATAGATTAAGAATTAGGTTTATATAAGTCAGTGACCTAGCCTTTGTGTTTTTTTTTGTTTTCTTTTGTTTTGAGATATGGCATGCTATTGTCGGTTTGAACCTTGTCAAAAAGCAAATGTAGTTTCCTTTGATTTCATACAATAAAAAGAAGAAAGAAAGACAAACTTGGTGAACAGTTTCCCCAAGATACTTTACGCTAGAGAGAGTAGAGAGTATTGCGAAAGAGAAGAAGAAATAGACTCCATGCTGGAGATAAAGACCGAAGCAGCAGGCCCGATTAAGACAAACACAGAGCGGGCATGTCTGCCAACTTTTACCTTGGCTGGAGCCGCCGTGCTGTCTGGTGGCAGATACTGTGGCGATTTGAACCAGCAAGCGGAGGCACAGACTGCATCGTCTTTTTTCCCCACCTGCTCTGAGTCTTGGATTTGAGGGGCCTTGTGCCAGTTCCATTAAACACAGCTAGAAGAGCTTTGGCCAAAGGGGCTGAGTCAGCCACTATACGATGGAATGGGGACACCACGCTCCGTTTCCCAACAAGATCTTCAGTTCAGTTGTCTGGGACAACAGGGCTGAACTGTTTGGCCTGGGCCTGGAAGAATAATGGATATGTAATAGCCCCCAGGCATCTTTTCTGAGGAGTTCTTATGCATTGATATGTGTAGTGGTAGAAGAGGAGCTCTTGCTGCTGGTACTATACTGAGTTTGGATGTGACCTTAAAGAAGGTTGATTGTAGCACTCATGGAATGGAAAACATGGAAATGTATTCTCACTGACTCGTTCCTTAGAAAAGACCATTAGAGTGGAAATCTGACAGTGCTTTGTTCCATTTTAGTCTGAGCCCTGCCATTGCACTTCATCATATGCAGTTCTCATTATTCTGGCAGCTTTCAATCTTTTCATCTTCACAATGTCAGATTTCATGTGACTGCCACCAAAGCTCCCACTGTACATTATACAAATTAATTGTTCTTGTGAGCTGTTCATACCATGACTCTGCAAGCTGTTTTCACACCAATGACAAGGGTTTCAAGCCAACTCTATCTTCACACATTTTCAGTGTTGTGTTATTTATGGGCCAACAAAAAAAAAAATGGAATCCGAATTTGAGTGAGGATGTTCATTTGTGTATATGTGCCTTTTATGTTCTCTATATTTATCCATTATGTTGTTTATCCTGTGCCATACTTTTTTAATCCCCCAAGCCAGGTTCCTCTGCCAGTATGTCCTGTAAAGTGATATGACTTATTCACATGCTGTGCTGCTCTATTCCATAACATTTTAAGACTTAACAAATTCATTGGAGCCAAGAACAGCTTTCCTCTAAATGGAAGACTTGCCTTATCCCCTATGAGAAGTTTCTTCCTTAGCTCCTCAGTGAGTGCTCTAACCTAGTGTGTTCAGAGAAGCCTCCAAATCCCTGTGTTCATTTGTGGGTGGGGGATGCTTCTACCACCAGATTACTCACCAGCAAATTGCTGGTGTGTTAGAAGTCAGGCCAACAAACTTTCCAGCCGGCACGTGCTGCTGCTGCCCTCACAAACTAGTTTCCGCGTCTCCACAACCTCCTGCAAGAGAATTGCCAATGTTAGCAGTCTGGAAGCTGTCACTTTCCAGCGGAACAAAGATAATCGCACCGTAGATTGATAAAAAATTAATTCGCAGATGTAAGCTTTTCATGTGGGCATGTGGGGAGAGAATGGGCGCAGATGGAACGGCAGCGTACGTGAGACAGAGCAAGGGGAAGAGGAGGAAATGACAGAGAGTAGAGAGCTGGCAATGAGAAGTGAGAGCATGTGAGGAAGAGACTGATTGAGAGACAGCGCAATAGAATAAGGGAGAAAGAGAGAGAGAGAGAGCTTCACTTTGAGTCTCTCTCTCTGCCCCCGGCGCCCTGTGGAATGTCTCATCCAGGCTTCGCGCTCAAACCTACTTCGGGATGCTAATGAGCGTGCTCCATCCCCAGTGCTGGCGAGCGGCAGGCAGGAGCCGCCCTGCTCCCTGCTGCTGCTCTGCTAATTGGGAGGCTAAATCATTGTGTCAGCTGTCAGTCAGAGGCAAGGATGAGAGAGCCACTTGCTCGTGATGACCAGCTCGGGGAGAGAGGAGCCCGGTAAAGCTCAGAGAATTGTGCGGAGCCTCGGCTCAACAGGGGCCGGGGCTTTGTGGGCTCTGTGCGCGTCTCGGTCGCCCGTCACTGGATGGTAATGGCTGAGTGAGGCACTGAGAGACCGGGTGCTGCTCAGACTGCCGGCTCATTAAAACTAGGGAGGGGGGAAGCTTGGCTCTGGCACTGGAGCTCCAAGCCTCCTCGGCTCCCAAATGCTGTAGGGATAAAGAGAAGGGCCAATTCCTCACTCACTCCCCTTTCTGGGAAGGGATGACCATGTGGATTTGGTGTGGGTCTTACACAGAGATTGCACACAGATTTTTTTTGCTGGTTGCAGTTTGGTAATGCTCAGTGAAGGTTCAGTGAGAGTCTGATACTAATAAGATGAAATGAGTGGCTTTAGTTGGAGTGTTATTAATTAGCGCTATTATTGTTCTCCCTAGGAGCTGGGTCTGTGTTGCAGATATTTCAGTTTCTTGACAGTGAACTAGTTTGCCTTGAGCCAGCCAGCCTGCTGACCATTTGATGCTTGATATTTTTTTATTCTTCTCTGTGTATGTGTTTCTCAGGGAGATGACTGCTCCCGCACGTGCCCACCTGGATTTTATGGAACTAACTGCACATCCACCTGCTACTGCCATAATCAGGCCTCCTGTTCCCCCATCGATGGCTCCTGCATCTGCAAAGAAGGTACACTCTCTCGTGCTCACTTTTTCTCATTCTCCTTTAAACTCTGTCTCATACTCAAATAGATTACCGATATTTGCATAAGCCCAAACAAGGTTATAGCATGAGCCACACGAATTCAATCAATGCGTTGCTTAATCAGAATCATTACAATCGATTAACCATTGCCAAATTAATCAGATCTTTCTTTGCTTTAAGACAGTCATTGATGTTGTGAGAATTCCTCCCCATCTAGATTTGTAGATGCTGCATTATCGACCTGTTCGTTGCAACCTGTATACTCAATAGCACATGCAAACTTCTGAATACATGGGAACTCATATATTACACATTTATTTCTCTTCTAGTTTCAAAGCACAACTAAACATTGTTATCCTTTAATCAAAGGTCTGTGCATGATCTGCCTGAATCATATGCAGAAGTCAATTTAGATGTAAAAAGCACAACAGCATGGCCTGAACTCCTGAGAGCAGCGCGAGTTCATGGCAGCTGGCTGACCGCAGTCGACCATGCTTGAGGACAGCACTGGTGCTGCATAAACATGGGCTCATGGTGAGTGGAGCCCAGCACCGCTAGGCCATACGGCAGCAGCAGGGCTGCAGGCCCAGTCCCATCAGCCCCGGCACAGGCTCATTACAGACGCCACCTTTAATCTACATTCCATTCATAATTCACCACCCTGCTGAACGCCAGTGTTCTCCACGGCCTTCCTCCTCTATCTCTCTCTCGCAGTCTCTCTCTATTGTTCTCTTTCTCCCTCTTATGCCTAGTCTTAAGCCATGCATATATTCCATTCATTGACCACAGTGCAGCACAGGCAGCAGGAGGCTTAGGTCTTCCCGACGCCTTTATCAGATATGACCTTGCTTCCCCTTTCTTCCCTCCTGAGCTCTCGCCTATCGATTGGACTCAATTATAGACTGGAGGGAGCGCATTTGCGCAATAAGGAAGCCACACAGTGTCGTCAGTAGTGAGTTTTGTTAACAAGTAGTTTTCTCAACTCGCCTCCTCTGGTTACATGTATTAAGTTGAAAGAGAGTGAATGACTGGGCTTTCCTTTGCACTAGGGATGATGGGCAACATAGCAACATGTTATCATTATTGTGATACATAACACACTTTTCAGAGCATAGAGGGTTCTTCTAGAACATTGATCAACTGCATTTATCATCAAAACAGGTTTAGACTAATTATAGAGGGCCTGTAAATGATAACAACTACTGTATAGTAACTGCATAAATTGCATAGTAAGAAGAAGCTGATTGTTTTATTAAATCATTCATGTCCGCATCTGACTGTATCATGATAAGGAAAAATGCAGAACTTTCACAGTTTCGTCTAAAGTGGTAAAATATTTATACCACTGACTTTTGCATTACATGTATTACATATCATTTTTAGACCCATAAAGTACAGGTTATTTATTTTTCAGAAGATATTTCTGAGCAGAATAGATGTACGTGAATCCACCTAAGGAATGAGAAAGTCAAAGGAAAATAAATGAAACAGGAGTTCCCAAACTGAAGTTCAAAATATTTTTAGAAGATAGAAAGAAAATGGGACAACTATGCAAGACCTGGTAGACCAGCACAACTGTCACTGTCAGATAGACAGTCTTTAAACCTTTCATCTTTCAGAGAGAGGAGAAAATCAAGCTCCACTTTTGCTTCAGATATGATAAAATGCACAAGTGTTTCTGTCCATCCTTCCACTGTGAGAAGGCAACACTGAGTCTGAAAGAATGTGTAGCTGTCAATAATATTGAGAAAAGGAAACAGACAAAAAAATGAATTGCAAATCAAACAAAGAAGCTGCTGGTGTTCTCAGAACAATGGTCTGACAACCTTGGAGTCCAGACCTCAAGTGAATGTGTGTAGGATTATTTGGATCATGAAAAGCAGAAAAATGCAATCAATTTAAAGACTGAACTTATATCCCTGCAGATTTCAATGAAAAACTGAAAGTAACTCTCACAAAAAGAATGGAAACTTTAAAAATAGCAAAGCATAGACATGGTAAATACTAATATTTTGTTATCATATTTAGTTGGTAATTGCATTTGTGTAATTTGCCTTTAAGTATTCAGATTAATAAATTGAACCTAATAGCCGTTTAGACCGAAAGTTAAATAAAATAAATGAATGGTGGCCTCTGACTTTTACACTTCACTGTAGATCAGTCATCCCATGTGACCAGAACACTGAATATCATATGATACATTAAGTGATTAAAAACTCACTTTTTAGCCTCATGATTTGATTCGATTTGAAACATTTCTTCAAATGTATGCTCAGGTCAGGTAAGAGGACATAGGAACCAAAGGAAATGTAACATTTCAGATGTGGACATGGGATTATATATTTTTAGCAGTTGTTTGATTTTTTTTTCTCTCTTGCTCTCTCTGTCTCTCTCTCACTCACTCACTGTGTCTTACATCTCAGGTTGGCAGGGTGTGGACTGCTCCATCTTGTGCTCCAGTGGAACATGGGGTCTGGGCTGTAACCAAACCTGCGCGTGTGTTAACGGGGCGGCCTGTGACCCCATGGATGGATCTTGCTCCTGTGCGCCGGGCTGGAGGGGCGAACACTGCCAGCTACCTTGCCCTGTGAGTGTGTCTTCACCAGCTATAGAGACAGTTATCTCTGTCTGTTGCAGCATATCCATGCTGACAGTGTTCAGTGTTTTGCTGATATAGATTTGTTTGTGCGCATGTATGTCAGGATGGCACCTACGGGTTGGATTGTCGGGAACACTGTGACTGTAACCATGCCGACGGATGTGACCCAGTCAGTGGTTATTGCCATTGTTTGGCAGGTTGGACAGGTGAGTTACAGCATGCTATGGCAGCACTCGCTTTATGCCAATAAACACTGTCATTAATTGATAGATGATAGCTAAACCTAGCAGGAGAGCCCACACATACAACAGCAGTGGCTCCAACAGCATGTAGGGAGAATTAAACCAGCTAGCCTGTAGCAACAGGTGTAAGAATCATTTTCATTCCTCTCTGATATCAGTAAGATCTGTGGAATCCTTAACGTAAGGAAAATGTGGCAAATTTGTATTCATGACTATATGGATTTGCACCGAGCTTCTGTTAAACATTACTATAACAATTTGTTCTGCTGCTAACTGATACTTCACATTATCCTGTTCCTTAAAGTCTAGGTACAGACTTGGCCCCAGTTAAATGTCCTGTTCACTTTGACATTTTTCAAACATTAAACTGAACAGGCTAAATTAAAATTTATTTGACACAATTACTGCATTGTAATAAACTCTTAATGCGGCTTGCATAATACCATTAATTATACTGCTTAGCCTTCTTGCTGCCAAACCACTGTTAGAACAGATCTGTATCTTATTTTCCTTTCTGTATGGCATTCAGGCCAGTGAAAACTACAATGTAAACTACAACTAATCACAGTAAATTTGAAATACTGCCTGAAGGCAGCACCATATAGCCATTCTTTGAGCAACAGAGTTTTATAATGGCTGCCTGTTTTAAACATGCCATATAATTACCCTGTGCTCACTCAGGAAGGAGCTAACAGCCATGTGGACGCACGCAGAGCAGGCTTTCAAACTGTGCTAAACCCTTCTGTGATATAAAAGTGGCTGACACTGGGTCTGTATGTCCGTGTTAGCAGAGCCAGAGAGAGAAACAGGCTCATCTCCTGTGTTCAGTAGAAGGCTTGTGCTGAAGAGGTTATGCCTGCAGGGGCTATGTCTCCCTCCACCCAGGCACCTGTTCTGGGAAAGGATTCTGCTTTTATTAGTGGCAAGAAGTGAGCCAGCCGCTCAAATATCTCACGCTCTGAATCCTGCCTCGGTCTCGGACATCTGCCTGGCCTAATGGACTCACCGGGGTGCAAATGGGCCCAAGAGACACACAGAGCATGTAAAGAGATACATGGTGCATGGTGGTGATTTATGGGACGTGCACAGAAACACAGTCCTGGAAGGACATACCGAACAAGAGAAAAGGGTATGGAGGCCCCAGTTTGGTGTTTGTATGTGCGCAAGGGAAAAGAGTTAAGCAAGAGAACAAGAAAGAGAGGGGAAAGAGTACAACTGGAAATCAAAATTCATTACTTTTATGGTGTCATATGAATTGCTTTGATACCAGAAAATTATGTCTCATTCAGTAACAGATTTCAGTACCCAAGTAGTCAATATTGTCAGTGACAGTGAGGCTGCAAGCATTGCTTATTCCGAAATCTAGACTGGTGATTGGCTGTAATACCATAAATGAAGTGATAAAAACTAAAAGTCATAATAGAAAAATATAAGAAAAACAACACTGTAATAACTGCTGGAGCCATTGCTTAAGTGTAAACGTGTTTCATATACAGATTTACTTTGGCTGGTTTCCATTTACACTTTTCACTAAAATGCATCCCCAGTGTGACCAGATGAGATCTGATTTTATATGTCATTTCCATGTTATTTTTGTTTACTTTTCCCGATTACGATACAAGTCAACAGGCTTGGCTCGAACATTTTCATCAGCCCAACATGCAAGACTCTTAGATTGAGGATAAAGCCAGCCTCATGCATCCCCATCTTTTGTTTACTTGTTTATCCTGTTACTCAGGAGGTGCATTTCCACTCACATAGTTGTATATGATGAAAACACATTCCGTTTACACTTGTGTTAAATGTTGTCATGATGCATCTCTGACCACCTCCAAATGTGATTTGAGTGATCCAATCATAATCCACTCACAATACAAACTGAGGGTGTTTACTCCTGGCTTTTCACATGTTGATGCAAGGTGTAAACAAGCCCATTATGTCACCAAAGAGGACTAAAGTGATTTTCTATACAGAACGTACAGAGGGTACAGTAATTATTAAATAAAATTTGATATTGAACATTTTTTACATAATTCTAACTGTATTTGGTTCAGAAAGAATATGGTCGCAGTCAAAACACCCTGTGTCTCTGACTTTTTGCATAATTCAAAAATACCAGTTATCCTTTGCATTGTGTTACAATTTCATTATAAATGGGACAGTAGAAATGGTCAAAAGTTACATTGACTTACATTAAAAGTGAAAGGTTTTTTGTTTCTTCTGTAAATTTATTATTTTGGATATATGAGGTTTTCTTCCTACAGTGACGATGCTGTCTTGCAACCCTCAGATCAAAAACAATGATGACTAATATGGCAATTTTAACACCCTTACCATATTGATACTAGTATCAACAAAAATAAGAACCCTACCCAGCAAGTGGGTTATAATAAGACATGGTAAATCATGAATGCTAATAAATATGATATTACAGATAGTTCGAGAGCAGCTTGAGAGGAAGGTGAAGAGGAAAAGCAAGATGGATGTGCTGCTCCTGAGGGAGGAGTTGGCGTAGTACCCGGTAGTGGTGTAGAGGTAGAAGGACTGAAGGAGAGAACGGACTGAAAGTGGAGGTGTGCCTTAGGATAGACAGGTTGAGAATATATTTTGTCAAAGGAGAGTAGAATGGGAAAAGAAAGAGATTAAATGCTCAGTCAGAGAGAAAGCGTATGTGTGTGTGTCAATGAGTGTGCATGCGGAGTAATTGAGAGGGAAAGAAGGAAAGACAGGAAGAGGACAGCAGGGATCTGGTGTTCGGAGAGCTGCAGAACAAGAGAATTGGAATGTAGCACTGCGCATACTGCAAGCTCTGTGTTGAATTGTTCATAGTTCAGTATACGGTATTACACTGTATACATATATCTGAAGTATCTGTTACATCTCAGTCAGGTGTCTTTTTTGGGATACATATATTCTTTTTTTTGTATTACAGAAAAATACAGACACAGAAAAATCAGTCCTCTCCACAATATTCCCTTGTGCAGATGAACCTAATAAAATATTTACCATTATTTTACCGACATACTCACCCCCTGCGCTCACACACTACACTATTCATTCATTCACCAAAGTCCTAATGAATATGTTACATAACCTGAATGTAGAAAGCATGTGCAGCATTCATAATTTTACATATTCAAAGGACATTTTTAGGGCTTTTATGCATGTTTTACATGCATGTGCATTCCCCCATGTGTATGTGTGTGTGTAAGTTGTGGTATGCAGAGGAATGACTTGTGTGTGATGGTACTGTCCATTCACCTCTTACTAATTGGCTACTGGTAGCACTGAGATGTTTTTACTCTTTATTTTATATTTAGAGGCTTTGCCTCAGTCACTCCTATATTTCTTTCTTTCTATATTTTTTTCCCTTTTTTCCTTCTATTTTTCTTATTTCTTGCTTTCTTTCTGTTTGACTTTTCCCTTGTTTTCTTTCTTGCTTGGTTTCTTTCTTTTTCTTTCCTTTTCCTGCTTTCTGTTTTTGTTTCTTGCTTTTTTCTTTCTGTCTTTCTTATTCTGTCCTACTTTCTGTATGTCTTTCTTGTTTTTTCTTCCTTCCTTTTTTGCTCTTGTCCTTCATTGATTTTCATCTTCCTTCCTTCTTTCTTTCTTTCTTGCTTACTTACTTTTCTATTTAACTTTCTCACTTAAATTCTTCCTTGCTTGTTTTCTTTCTTTTTCTTTCTTTCTTTCTTGCTTGCTTACTTTCTTGCTTGCTTTTAGCGTTTTTCTCTTTCTTTCCAGCACTCTTCTTCTCTCTCACTCAGCTCCACAGACTCTCTGTTTGTCACCATTAGGCAGTCGCCGCTCTTTTCTATTCTAATTCATTGCTGACAGTAAAGGCAGAAAGGGTGGTGTTTTTTTTCTGCCCAGGCCAACAGAAGCTCAAACAGGCTTGCCCCCTCTTTGAAGCACTCTGGCTGGGCTTGTCTTAATCGCCTGCCCCAGCAGCCCCCATGTCGTCAATATGCCCCCCCTCACCACTGCCACCTCTCCGCTCCCTCACAAAGGCTGTGCAGGTATGGAGGCCGTCCTCAGAGTTTGGAGCCAGTTCTAATTCAAAGCCGAGCCACTAATGCCACTTTAATGGCTGCGCCACTCGCTTGGAGAAGTCTCCGTCAAAGGAAATTTCAAATGAGGGCTCCTGAGAAAAGGCTGCTGCTTGAAAGGGTGCTTAGAATGTGTGTGTGTGTGTGTGTGTGTGTGTGTGTGTGTGTGTGTGTGTGTGTGAGAATGAGAAAAGAAAAGGCTAGAGAGTACATACAGTTATATATGGTCGTGCAAGTGAGTGTGTATGCTGAACTCTACACTTTCTTCTCAGCTTTTGTATATAAAGCATAGCTCACCTTAGCTGTAAAGGGGCCAGTGTGGTTTGCCTTTTTTTCTACTCTTTCTCTATATTCTATGTGATTTCTGTGCTATTTTACATTCTAAGTTTATCACTGCGTATGAGTATATGTGTGTGCTTGTATGCGTGGTCAAAAGTAGGCCTGTAGCAATCATAAGATTTTGGCTGATTATTAATTTTCATATACATAATTGCAAATAAACATTTAATTTTCTTTTTTTGAAAGGTGTTATTAACAAATGTCAAATAAACAAACATTACCCATGGCTGCCCTCTAAAGATGTTATTAACTAACAGCAAATTAACGAACATTACTCACCAGTTTTCTAAAGGTGTTATTAACTAACAGCAAACAAACAAACATTACTCACTGCGTCTCACTAACGGTATCATTGAACAAACATCAAATAAACAAATATAACCCACTGCTGCCCTTAAAGTTTTATTAACAAACATCAAATAAAAAAAACATTACTCACCACTGTCCTCTAAAGGTATTAACAAACATCAAATCAACAAACAGTACTCACTGCTGCCCCCTACAAGTGTTCTAGCACCAGTCAGAAGTTAGAACTTTTTTTTTTGTTCGTAAGACCCATGACCTGCCTCAATAAATGCCTTTTTGCTTTCTTTTATTTATGTGAATTTGTCTCAACCCAGCGACTAAAAACGCACTCACATCACCTTTTTTTGCGACGTAAACATATGTTGTGAAAGCTAACAACTGTGGACAATAATTGCGGCCGGCTTAAATAATTGTGGTGAACTCAAGTAATTGCGATCAGGCGATTATGAAATCATTGTGACAGGCCTAGTTAAAAGTGACCTCTTTTTGGCCGCATTACATGTGGACTTCTGACACTGCACTTCAGCATTTGCAATTCAGGCCGTCCATCTCTTCTGTTTGTGTGTGTGTGTGTGTGTGTGTGTGTGTCCCTGTTGGACCTCTCCCTTGCTACTCTCCACACAAGCCCTAGCGCAGCTGAAAGAGAATGGCAGAGGAGGCCGGGCCGCTCGGGGGACTCGGCCCTGTTAATGAACACGCTGCACTGGCAGGGAGGCCCAGTCTGATCAAAAATACATACGGAGCAGAGCACAGCGCCGCAGCCAAGAGACGGCTGAACCCACACAACCCGCGCTTTCAAAACCGGGACTGATGTCTTCAGAGTGTGCCGCCACTCAGCTCCGAGTGTATACACACAGACACACACCCTCTTGAGTGTCAGCTTAGCCTCACTCTCGGACGCTCATACACAAATGCACTTATATAGAGTACGCAAGCGATGCTGTAGACCACTCCTGTCCTGTCCCACTGGCTCCTTGTTTTTTGCAGAGATGCTGAGAGATCTGATGCTGTCACAGCTTCCAAAAAATGTAAAAAATAAAACACTGCCGCTGGTTTTCTCTGCCCCTCCCATGCACTTCTCCTCTTCACTGCCTGCAAGCACTTTTGATTTTGTTTTTGTTTTCCTATATGCCAGTTTTCTGCGTCTGTGGCCTCTGTGTGTTCAATTTGTCCAGAAAAGAGTCTCTCAGAGACTGTGTGCCTATGTGTTTTTTTTTTCAATAGGGATCCACTGTGACAACGTCTGCCCTCAGGGTTTCTGGGGGCCCAACTGCTCCATGACCTGCTCGTGCCAGAACGGAGGCTCTTGCTCCCCCGAGGATGGCACCTGCGTGTGCGCTCCAGGCTACCGCGGCACCTCCTGCAAAAGAAGTAAGCCTTTCCCTCTGAGGCTCTCTCTCTTTCTCTCTCTCGCTCATAAGAGCTCACTATCTCAGGTCCCTTGACATGCAAGTCTCTTGGTTTAACCGTCCTAGGTTTGCAATGGCGTATGCCTCTATTTTCATTTTCTTAAACTACAGTACTGTGCAATTTGTTTAATTTATAATCAAAACAGCCATTAGGAACAATTATTATTCAGCATCAAGAGAAAAACATTAAAACATATTTTTCACAGAATAATACAACATAATATACCTTTTTTATTTAGTCTGTCCACGCTTTGCCATAATTACAGCTTCCATTCTTTTTGGGAGACTTGCTTTCAGCTTTTCATAGATATATATAGGGATTTTTTTTCCACACCTCAAAGGTTCAGTCTTAAAAGGTGCTGGTTGCATTTTCTGCTTCTCACGCTCCAAGTAATCCTAAACACATTCACTAAGAGTTTGATTTTCAAGTTTTCTTTTTTTTTTTGTCTGTTTCCTTTTTTCAGTAACAGCTTCTTGACAGCTACACATTCTTTCAGACCCATAGCTTTGTCTTCTCACTGTGGAAGGATGGACAGAAACACCTGTGGATTTTTTTCAGATCTGATGTAAGAGTGGAGCTTGATTTTCTGCTCTCTCTTGAAAGATGAAAGCTTTAGGTACTGTTTACTGATGGTGACAGTTTTGGTGGTTGACCAGGTCTTGCATGTTAGTAGTCCTCTATGTCTTTTAATCCTTTTTTGAACTCCAGTTCTGGAATCTTGTGTTTTTTCACTTATTTTCCTTTGACTTTCCTCTTCCTTATTCAGGTGGATTAATTTGCAGTATATCTAATCTCATCAGAAATATCTCCTGAAAAAGTTGTTGTTAACCCCTTCAAATCCCAGGATTATTACATACTAAGGCTTATTACCTACAGCAACTTGAACGCCAACTGGTTGAGCTACTCTTATGCTATAGAAGTGTCTAATAAAACTTTTTGCCTGCTGGCAGGCCCTGACCTGTTAAGGGGTTAATGGCTGTTTTGATTAGAAATGAGTGTTCTCTGACTTACACACTGTACCGTATGTCTCACTTATAAATCACTGAAACAAGCAGAGCCATTCTTTTGAAAATGCAGATTGCTACCCATCAGTCTATAAATTTTTGTTCAGAAGCAGAAGAGGAGATTTTTTAGGATTTGAATTTAATAAAAAGTTATTGTGTATACAGTCTTGTGTATAATGTCCTTGACATTTTTTGAATGTTGCCACCATTTCAGAACTGTGTAATTAATTTTGTAAGTCTGTAATAATATAGCAAAACTGAACAGCAGTAATCACTCTAGACCTCTAACTGTTAATATTGTTGAAGCAAGCAAGATCAGATGGTGCACATCAGGGAGGGTCATGTCCAGTACATCCGGATGCTGGCTCTTGAGGAGTCGAGTGTGGGGTGGCCCAGAGAAGGCTGAGGAGAACAGCACTCAGCTCTCGGTTATAAATGTGGGCACGCAAACCCTTCATCATGGAGCAGATCTTAATCACTCCAGCCACACTCATGGCCCTCTGTCCCGGATAGAGGCCGGGGGGCCGCGGGTGGCCTTCATCAGAGAAGCCTCTCACAGCCTCTCTCCTCTCTCTACCAGCATGCTCAAATGATAAGCCTGCTGATTGCTGGCCATTTTCAAGGGGTCAAAACCCATAAATAGAAGCTGGCGACACAAATATGTACAAGTTTGGGAGGAGAAAGGGGAGGTATGTGTGTATATGTGAGTACGTGTGTGTGTTTAGGGATTAGAGAGCGGAGAGAAAGGGGACGTGATTAATCTTCCCCACACTGCTCACTGTTCTACAATTATCTTAATTACAAAGGGTCCACCGCCCACAGAAGGAAAGGTCAGCCCGTGCTGCTTTCCCTCACTACTTAACGCTACAGCAATTAAAGCAAATCAAGATCCTAATGAAGAAAAATGAGTGAGGAGCAGCACTTCCAGACAGGCCTGAGTGACGGAGAGAGGCCAGGTCTTTGCACTCTGCGTGACAATGAGCTGGACAATAAGAAAAAACAAAGCCCCTAATTCAGTGCTCTCCGCCTCAGTCCTCAAGCCTATTCTATCCATTGTTTAGATTATTTTGGATGATAGCTATCATTAACATTTTAAGACTGTTTCTGATGCTAAGACATTGTAACTGCTGAAATACAGATGTTCATCATTGAATCATAAACTACAGTGGATCTAAAATACTTGAACTTATTTTAGCAGACTTGCTTTGCACTTGCTTTCATTCCTTTTTTTCATTTCATTTGCTCTAGTTTCTCTTATAGTTTCTCCATGGACCTCAATGCTAATGGAACTGATAAATATTAATGGCCAACAGCTACTTGTTTATTTGTGTGACACTTTCTGCTTTCTTCCTTCCAATATCTTTCTATCCCTTAACCCTTATAAGTTGAGTAATTAATGTCGTTTCACTATACCATTTAAATATAATTACAAAATTATTTGATTAATTGCATGGCTAGTTACATGAGGCATTACATTTATATTCAATTTACATTCTGTATTGTCACATTCTAGGCTGCGCTTCAGACATTTTTCTGTTTCGGTGCCAACAAATGTTGTTTTCTTTCAGCAAAACAAGATGATACGCATGGCGATTACTTTCCATCAAATTTACATCAGTACAAAATATCTCCTCTTCTACTTGCAAACACAAACATGGTATCAATGGAAAGTCTATAATCAGTATTTCCAACAAAATTTCTTTGCTTGATTTAATGAGCAACGAGTGAGAAATAACTAATATGAAACCATGATAGGTGTCGACCTCTAAAGACAGTAACCCTGATAATCATATCTTCCAAAGCGTATAAATTCACTGATACCCATATAGTACAAGTCTAACGTTTAAGTCCTTGGCAACAACATGAACACTCACAGATGAAGCGAATACCGTTGATTATCTCAACAACAGCACATATCAAGGTCTGGGATATATTAGATGGTAAGTCTGTTCCCGTAGTTGACATTTTGGCATCAAGACCTGAGCGACTTTGACAACGGCCAAATTATAATGGCTAGCACCTACAAAAGCACCTACAGTGGGCACGAAAAAGTCAGAACTGGACCTAGGAGCAATAGAGGAAGGTCGCCTAGTCTGATGAATCCCATTTTCTTTTACATCAAATTAATGGCCAGGTACATGTGCACTGTTTACCTGGAGGAATGACAGCACCAGGATGCACTGTGGGAAGTGTGATGCTCTTGCCAGTGTTCTGCTGGCATTCATGTGGACATCAATTTGACACAAACCACCAACCTAAACATCATTGCACACCAGGTACACCCCTCTTTCAGCAGGATAATGCGCTGTGCCACACAGCACACATTGTTCAGGAATGGTTTGAGGAACACGATGAAGAGTTCAAGGTGTTGCCCTGGCCTCCAAATTTCCCAGATCTTAGTCCGATCAAGCATCTGTAAGATGTGTGGGAACAAGAAGTCTGATCCGCAGCGGCTCCACCTCGCAGTTCACAGGACTTAAAGGATCTGCTGCTAATGTCTTGGTGGCAGATATCACAGAATTCCTTCAGAGGTCTTGTAGAGTCCTCATCTCGGCAGATCAGAGCTGTTTTGAGAGTTGTGTTCTACAATGGCCTAACAATACAAAAAATGTCATGGCTTTCTTTTACAGTCCCTTAAGTTCCAAGTATTAACCAGCTAAGGAACTACGTAATTATTTGGGGTAAAATAATGGTGAACTTCAATTGCATTGAAGTTCCCAGCAAGTTTTGGGTATTTACTGGTTAAGTATGTGGTACAAGCTCCACAGTGTTGTGCAGTCATTTTGGGTAAAAAGTACTCTGTAGATATATGACATAAAACACAAATATAGTACAAACAGTCTTACATAGTATATATCTGTCTAATACCTATAAATGAACCTGAATGTGTTTGCTTGCACGAGAGAGGGAGAGTGAGATGATAAGCTAAAAATTGCTCACGGGTTTTGAAATATTAGCTTATCTGATTAGTCTGGCCTAGTCTTCAGTTCACATATAGAGTGACCTGCATTGAAATAGCAGAGCTAGCTGTCACATAGTGGACAGAAAAATGAGTCTACTGACCTCAAGTTCACTTTGGAGAACAAGCATTCCATGTAGCCCTTTTCCCACAGCCAAGAACAGCTCCAAGCTGTCCTTTTCCGCAATTTAATGTGTTTTCTTTTTCTTTTTCAGGCAAACATTGGCACTATTATACAGAGGGATTTGATTTACATGGCTTTTTCAGCCAAAAAAAGAAAGCGCATCTAGAGAATGTCATCATTTTCTTACATTGTAGATCTATCACCTGTAAAATCTTTATGGTTTAATCTGACGTGCAGCAAAATTGAATTCGCTCAGTCTGACATGGAGTTTGTCCAAGCTTTTATTTGCAGCATGTTGGGCAATGTGACATGCAGTAAACATATAAGATTGCTGTAATTATACAGTGTAAATCAGGCTTAATTCTAATTAAGCATAAAGTGAGAAACAAATCTGTATGTGACAGAATTTGTGTTTTGTTGTTACTCTTAAGGGTTAATCATCTTTTCTTTTGTTATCTCCTTTGACTGGTCCTCTTCTCTTTTTTTATCTCCTTCTTTCTGATCTTTTCTCCCTCTTTTCTGTGGCAGTCTGTTCTCCTGGGTTCTACGGCCACCGCTGCAGTCAGAACTGCCCTCAGTGTGTGCACAGCACAGGTCCATGCCATCACATCACAGGCCACTGTGAATGCTTGTCCGGTTTTTTTGGCCCACTGTGCAACCAAGGCAAGTGACTCTACTTTCTTTGTTTCTTCCACCCCCTCTCTTTCTGTCTGTCTCTCTCTGCCCTCTGTTCCCCACAGATCCTTGGAGGCCTTTGTTACAGATCATATCAATGGAAAGAGTTAAGAGGGAAAAGTTCTCTGTACTGAGAACACAAAGACTAATGGATTGCACGTATCCACCGTTTAAACTGTCTCTCGTCCAGCTGATGCAACAACTGTTCATACACATCAAGTTTATTACAGAGAATGATGACAGCTTTTGATGCATGCCTTTAGTGAAAAGACATCATGTTAAAACCCAAATCACCTGCAGAGGCGCATATTACATGTTAAACTATGACAACGTTATAAGACAGTTAATGACCTGGTTTAGTTGTGATCATCCTGCGCTGTGCCATATATCCTTGGCCTGGTACAGTATGGTACTGAGTGGGACCTGGGGCACGGTGCCCATCTGCGACATACTGAGCTGACTCTGCGCCTCCACCACAATGCAGATAATTGGCATTATCACTGACTCTCTGACAAATAACCTTCAGAGGAAATCTGAATATTGCTGAGGCCACTCTTTCTGGCTGAGACAAACAGTGAAGAGTCAGGTCGATACCGCAGCATTCTTGTTCAATGCACTTGAACAAGAGAGGCAAAGGAAGACAAGCAAGCAAACTCATAGGCAGGCAAGACAATTTGGTTGGTGCAATACTCAGCAGCCTGGAAGATCTGAATATTACCTGAAGCATAAAAGAGATAAAATTGGTTTATTTGTGTTTTCACATTTGACCACACATGATTCAACACTTGAGCTTGGGAGTTAGCCCAAGGGTCCATATACTACATTTTTTGTATAATGTGCATTTGTGCATTTACCCTAGAGGTTCACTTCTAACATTTTGGGGGTTTTCTGTACCAAAAATTGTCATAATTCTTTTTCATTTTTCATAATACCTTATAATTATTATGACCATTTTCCATCCTCTTTTTATCCCTTAAAATTAAATAGGCTGTTTTTGTTACTGTACCTTTAAGACTGTTATAAGGTTAGATGACTCCTGTTCTGGTTGACTGTCATGAATTGTGCCTCCTTAGAAAAGCACTAAGTAGAATTTCAGTATGAATGGGCAGGGCTAAACTGCTGTAGGGTATCTGTAAAATAGTTGGTTCTCATGACATCACAACAACAGTTAATTCAAAATAGGCTGTTTTTGCAGCACAGTTTGCATATGTAGACTATATGAACTGAGTAGTGAACGATACAAACTTTAAACTTGAACACTGTTTATATATTACCTCAAACTCCTTTATTTCAAACACAGCAAGGGAAATTCAGGTATCCACAATACGGGCCCTTTAAAATCAACTGTGTTAGAGCGCTGATACTTTAGGATATATATGTCTCAGATTCTGTAGCTCAAACTCAGCAGCTTTGTTTTTTGAGCTTTTACTTTTACTTAGCTCTCTGAGTTCAGTCTGGCACCTTTGCCTCTCAGCCTGTCTGTGCATATGGGCATTACTAATAAGTGGTGAGAAAAAAATTTTCCAACTGATTGGTCATCCATTGTTTGTTGCTTTCAAGCTCTGAGCTCATTACTGCCACTTCTCAATCACTTTATCAGCCGAGACAGCTCTACTGTTCACCAGAAGCTGATGAGTGGAGTAGTGTAAAAACAGCAGAAAAGCAAAAAAACACTGCAGCAATAGAGTTTGTGCTTCATTCTGTAGTGGGTGGTATGCCCATTTAGGGAAATCCTGGTCTAAGTGGTTTTGAATGAATGAACAGCATTTTTGCAAAAAACCCCAAATTTCACCCTGTGATGAATAAAAATGTTCTAAAGCTGATATGTTTTGTCTTGTGTACACTTTTCCCCTAAGTGTCACTTGATCATGTGATATGAGGTTTTTAAGAACAAGAATATGAATACTGCTACATTCGTGCTCCAGACAAGCTAAAACCCCTGCTCATTGAAACAATGTCACATTAAAGTAGGTCTAATACCATACTTCAGCCTTATTCTAACAACACCAGCTACCCAAACTTTAGGCTACCACTAGAAAAGCAACATAACCGCCAGTCAATTAAATGTGAATTCATGCAGTGTTAGCTTGCATGTAGCAATACCCGTATTTCTACTACTTAACTATTCATAATTCAGACCATCCAGTGATATTCAGAAGAAAACATGTCGACTTCAGAACATTTTTATGTACCACACAGTGTAATGGAGGTAATTTTTAAGAATGCCATTTATTTTTACCATAGCATGAAAAGCTTAGACCTAAAGTTTCTTAAATGGGCATGTCACCAACAACAAAATCTTCGACTTCGGAGGTCTTTGTATACACACCATTAAACTTACAAGGATGCTCAAACCAGACAACTAACTTAAAGCCTTAACTAAGCATATCCATGTTCATGCATAACTTGATTGGCTTGGCTATATTGCATACATGAAAGCATGTCAGTTGTTCTGAAAGACAGGGCTATGTGACATCGTTAAAGTCATGTCAATAATTCAACATCACACTCTCAGTGAATATAAATCAGTGACAGCACTGTTACATTTTACGGATAGAAGTAATGCAGGGGTCTCCAGCATTTCCTGATGCTTTAACTATTCTGCAAAGATGAAGCCTTTGACAAGCTATTAATAAGTCATTCCCCCTCCAGCATTTGAAGTCTGTATTTGTAATTCTAAGTTAGGAGAGACAATTGAAACAGGCAGTACTCCTTCTGGACAGGAAATTGTGCTTAGGTGAGATACTAGACGAACGATTGAGTGTCCTGAAATGTCTCAGTTTTTGCTTGCGCTTATTTAACAGGTTTTGATCCTGACTTGTAAATTCTCAAGCCACAACAGAAGGGGTCATTTGTCTCGTTAGCACTTGTGAAGTACAGATCAACACTGTTTTTGAATTTTACAACTAGGTACAGGATGAAAGTCATGTTACCTAGCAACAAATAAGGTAGAAAATAGCATATTACCCAGGGACTTTATTGTAGGTTTCTCCTTAAAGATTGGCTGTCCTTCTGTTCAGCTTTATGCATGACATGCATGCTGGAACACAGCTCATTCATACAACGCTGCATCTTGCTGGTATAACATTATGGTATTACATAGCTGTAGAAAAAATGTGCTCATCATTTTCCAATATTGCTCTGCAAACTATTCTTCAGCATGTTGTGTACTACAGGTTAGAGCACCTGTCACTGATTCTAGACACTGCAGAGTTTAGCGTTCTGCCTCATTAAGTGCATCTGATTCAATTCATCAGCTAATTAGCCAAGCCTTCGTGACTTGAATTCAGAGTGTAAGAAGAGGGAAAACACTCATCTCTGCAAAGCTGTGGCCTGCTAGGAAATGAGTTTGACCTAATATCAGAGGCGAGAGGATCCTCAAACTCTCATATTGTTACTTTTGTGAAATAATGACTTGTACTGAATAATTTATAGAACTGCAGCAGAGCATCTTAGTACATCCAGGATCTGTCAGCACAGGAATTGAAGTTTGTTCTTGTCTTTATGATGCACTCTCTGTCTAAAACAATACAACTCCAAATTTGGAGGTGTGACCAGCTGCAAAGTAGATGCTGTCACCATCATAACATAATAAACTAAAAAGGAATCAGAGATCAGTAACTCAATATAATATTAGAGCTGCTGAGTGTTCAAATAATGGACTTCACATGTCCGTGATCTACCCGTCATTAGATGAAAGCCAGAGTTCTCAAACATTAGCTGCAAAATTATTAGATCTCTAAAATGACAGCTTGTCTTCCATTTTGCACTTTTTACTCACCTTTCAGAGTCTGTTGAGAAGAGTCTTTTGAGAAGACTGTTTTTATGCGGGGAAGGCTCAGACTTTTAGGGCTGAACCACACCAGTTGGCAGCGTCACTAACCAGTGCCACTGATGCAGGGTTGTTTACGTTGCCTGGGAGACACCACTGTCAATCATTTTGTGTTCTGACACACCCACACAGTTCTGAGCAGGCAGCAGGTCTGAATCTTTGAATCATTTGTCTATTATTAAACTGAATTCATTTATATATATTTTTTCTGAGGCGTATCTTTACTATCAAAAAAAAAAAAAATTACACATTTCAAACCATGTTGACAGGGGCTTTGAGAAGATTACGAAATCAATATATGACAGCCAGTAACTGACATTTAGTATTGTTGGCCATATTTTTGCTTACAAAGCAGTTTTTTGAAAAGTGGCAACTACAAATAGATGATTCAGATTTTTAGAATATTTACAGATTTGTCTGTATTTGACCGATTTGGGACCTTTCTGAACTCCTGCAAGAAAACATTGTGCAGCCCACTGCTGGATGACACTGTTAAAATAGCACTGTTGGATTACTGTAGTAAAATTGTATCTCTTGGATCTTGTAATTTGTGCTGCCTTCACTATGTTCAATTCTACTTAACACTAACTCAGTCAAGACACTAAGGCCTTCATTGTTTTTAAACATTGGAATAGGCTTCATTGTGGTTCTTTTGCTTCCATTCAGGAGCCTCCAGCTCTGTCCCCTTGTGTTGGAAAATAGCCATGGTCAGTACTCTGTGCTTTTGCAACCCTGATAATGACTCAAGGATCACATTATCAAAATTCAGCCGGAACTCAGCATTAATCATGAAACAATGCTATACTGTTATTACTGTGTAATACTATGACATACATATTTGTATTAATATTCTGACTTCGCCAAACTGAGACAAACTGACATAATTTGTTCCACAATGTGATTTATGTTCATTGACAGTTGTTTGAACAAAGGGTCCCTAGGCCCTCTTCCACTGCTGAAGAAGAGAAAATATTGATTATGGGGTAACAGAACTACAGACATACACGTGATTTAAGTTGAGTTTTGGGTCAATGAGGCAGATTTCCAGCTCAAACTAATGAACCTTAACATCTACCTCCTGTCCCACAGCACCCAACTGAGGGTAGACTTCTAAATGAAATATAGATACAACTTCTCATAATAATTAACTAGTCTTTTCATGAATTAGGGAAAGGCAGTGGGCATATATAGAATTCACTTTCATGGCTTTCAGAGCTGTCTCATGAATAAATGTTTAATATGTTAAAGGAGAAAAAGGATAGAGTCGGGGAAAGTAGGGGAAAGAAACCATACTGCCGTTAATTTGTCCGGATGATCATTACTGGAAGAAAGGCAGGGCTCAGGGGAACCGTCAGTAGTTTGGAGTGTGTTGGCGTCCTAGGCCTTACCAAGTCCACGCTCACGTGTCCAGGAAAGCTCTAATGAAGCTTGGCCAGGCCGAGGAACGATGCTGAGAAATAAAGCCGAGACTGTGCCCCACAACCAAAGGAGCAGCGGAGCTCCCTCTGGCTAATAAGAACCTGCTTTGAGGGAGTTGAAAGAGCCCTTTCCTCAAGGAGAGAGGAGGGCCGTGGAGATATGATTATTAAAATAAGCCGCTGTCACAAAGATTTAATTTCAACTTTTCTTTAAAAGGAGACACCTTATCTGATTCCATTGTGCCGTCCCATTTTTCCTACATGGCAGAGGCGGCTGTTTACCCAGCGGTGGGGTCTCTCCTTGTCTTTGGTGAAGGGGCAAGACCCCATTGTATGTACCTGATTGAATCCCCCACTGCCCTCCTCCCCCAAACCAAGAGTAGAGGAGTAGAGGAAGAAAAAAAAGACCTGATGGAACTTTAATCTGAAATGAAATCTCTAATTGAGTAGAGTGTCAGAAGGCGGCTGAAATATTCGTTTTATTAAAAATGTACACAAGCTCTATTTTAATTCCGTGGCACATCAGTCGTCCTTGTTCTTGCGCACGGCGAGTAGAGGTGGCACAGATGGATAAACGGGGGCACTGATAGATGTGCAATGCTCTGCTCTGAAGCCTTATGAAACAATGCCACATGGCTACCGTTCACACGGCCCCATTCTAGTGTCTTGCATTGCAAATGCTCTGGCTCTGGGAAATGTCATGTGCGTCGTTGTGGCACGTGAATGGTTAAGTGAAACCCAGTTGAGAATCTGTCATCTTGAAGAGTTTACTTCTAATCCTAATTTAACATTAATGAACAGACAGAAGACCGAACAAGGCCTTGATGAACTCAGAGCACAGTTAGGCACACCCATATATTTCAAATATTGCCAGAGTCGAAAATTCAAACAGATCAACTGTTCTCTAATAGAGCTAATTATAACTCCCGGTGAATTTAGTGGGAATTAAAGCAGTAGTTCTGATTCTAATTAGGGCTGCATGATACGGACTAAATACAATATCATTACTATATTGCTACATACTGCGATATACCTTTCAATATATATTCAAAACATATCAGTGCATCACTGATGTGCTGTAGTTAAAGACTGGCCTGCATTACTTTTGACCAAAATTTTTTCTGTTTGTTTGATTATATGAGTGGCTTCCTTCATCCAAAACTCCTAACAACTTCTGTGATTTGATTTTTTTTTTAATTTGCATATTAAACACACGTGTGTTATTAATTTACATTACATGCAAATGTAATGTAAATTAATTTTGCATATTGAACACATCTGTGATCCAGAGTGACTTACAATTTAATTTTGTCATAGAGACAGACAACTTTAGCATTAGGAGTCCAAGGGCTCTTATTGCTCTAGGGTGTGTGCTTTATCAAGTAGAGAATCAAACCCCAATCTGCTGCATGGAGGGTAACCCAGTATTCTAAATCAACCACAGAAATGTACAGTGGCAGGTTTTTCTCCCACATGAAAAGCATATGTTTATACACTACAACAAGCTCTTTATTCCACGACAAAGGAGTTTTTGTTTTTGTGTGATATGGGACCTTTAATGTGTTTATTTAGCTAGGTTTATATCAACATAATTTTATGTGTATTTTGGCTTATTGAATAAAAAAGATTTTATAGAAATGGCAGATATCGAATAGCATTGCCAAACTTTGTGATAGCTGTTTGCCGGTAAAAAAGAAATGCGAAAATTATGAAGGAAAGGTACATGCAGAATAAATACTGTGAATGCAAAGTCATCTGACTGATTAGGTGTTTCTGTTTTTGCCTGGTTGTAGGAAAAAAACATGACTGAATAAGGCAGCAGGTACCTGTGAACTGACAAAGAAATGAAAACAAACTTTTTCCCCCTTTGATTAGATAAAGGTAAGTTATAATTTCATCGTCAGTCCACAGGTACCTGCTGCCTTATTCTGATATTATGGTTATATTAGACCATACAAGACAGTTATGTTTGCATCTGTCTTGTCTCTGTGTTCTTATGAGGTAAAACGCAGCTGTAAAGTGAATGCAAAGAGAAGCTGCTCAACAATAGAGGTTTTTGTGTAAATATGCTCCATATTTCTCATAAGTGTTTTTACAGATGTGATGTTGAGAGTTTAATTCTCTTGTACAGAGCTGATGGAAACGCAGCCTTATTTGCATATTTCTTTGCAACATTTTACTTTGACAGGTCGATAAAAACCAGGCTAATGTCTGTGACTTGGTGATAGAGCAGTGTAATCAGATATCGGCGATGAATGGCAAGTTATCTGACACTGATCCTTGACAGGCAGCAATGGCCCATTTGATTTAAATTTGATTTCAACAAGTTTTTCAAATGAGATTTTTAACAAGTAAATACTGCGATAATCATTTCCTAGATATCACCCAGCCATAATCTGTGTCTGTGTCTGGGGTGTAAATTTATCTGGCAACCTTGATGTCCAAGTCACATGTATGTTTTACAATTAGTCCTGTTCCATCTTGTCCTGTCCTAACATACCCTACATGTAGATCTTCTCTCAGCAGTGGGAAGTGTTAGTTGTAAGAAAAAGTAAGTGAACACATCCTCTGCAGAGAACACACTTAAATATCACATTTTTCTGCAAATTTTAATGCCCAATTTCTGTTTATTTGCTGACTTTAACATATTGGAAAAAAAACTGCATAAGATATTAAATGTGCCACAGATTTTGCATAGGTCACATTTTATCTTGGTCTGTAGGTCTATTTTTTCCCAATATGTAAAATTCAGCCAGTAAACAGAAACTGGACATAAAAATGTGCAGAATGTGTTCTCTGTAGAAATTGTGTGCTGATTTTCACTTGTAACATGTAGTTTGTCCATGGGTGCCCAGATTTTTGCATTTGACTGTATATTGGGATATAGTCGTGCGCTGAGTGTGTTGTGTGTTTGCAGTGTGTCCCAGTGGACGGTTTGGAAAGGCCTGTGCTGAAGTGTGCTTCTGCACCAACAACGGCACCTGCAACCCCATTGATGGCTCCTGCCAGTGCTTCCCTGGCTGGATTGGAGATGACTGTTCGCAGAGTATGAATAAATTAAGTACTCTGAATTTCTGTCAGTGCTTCTCTCACTCTCTCTTTCCCTCTACCCCCCCTATTCCTTCTTGTTTGTCTCATTTCCTTTCTTCTTCATTCTCTTTCCCTCTCTCTCTCTCTCTCTCTCTCTCTCTCTCTCTCTCTCTCTCTTTCTCTCTCTATCTGTCTGTCTACCTCTATCTCTGTGTGTCTTTCTCTCACTCTCAATGTCTTTTTTTTTACCTCATTCCCTTTCTTTCATTCTGGCTCTCTTATCCTCTCCCATGTCCACCTAATGTCAAGCCAGCGCATAAATCATCATCACGGCCATATTTCTTTCTAAAATGACCCACGAGCACCACTGATGGAAACCGACCGTTTCCTCCATAAATTACCTCCTAGCACGCTTTCAATGATTTACACCGCTTCAGAGTAGAGATATGAAACTGAGGCGCGAGCCACAATGCCTTACAGAATTTATAGCCCGCTACTAGAGGCAGTGGCTAACCCTTTATTTATGTCGAGGTGAAGAGATGCACAAGTGAAGAATATGTCTTTCAGTGACAGTTTCATTATTTGTATTGAAAAGCGAGAAGAAAATGTGGGTTTTTTTTAAATAATGTTGATATTTTTCTTGGCTCGCGGCACATATCCTAGTAGGTTTAAATCAGTTCTCCAGATTTCACTTGCAATTCTGATTTCATTATCTGATTGACATTCTGTCTTGGCAGTAAGTGCCATATATTAAAATGTGAACACAAGAGATACACAAACATTCATACAGATAATACAGCACAGCTGGCTACATTAGGCCTATTGTGTGTGCTGAGACACACAGGTTTACATACTGTATCAGGTCTATGAGCGCCTGTTCTTGCATATACATGTGTATGAGAGCCTTCATTTGACAGTGTTTCTGGCATCTGCAGCGTGTCCAATAGGCCAGTGGGGACCTGACTGCCTGAACTCATGCAACTGTCACAACGGAGCCCAGTGTAGTCCCTACGATGGAGAGTGCAGGTGCAGCCCCGGCTGGACTGGCCTGTACTGCACACAGCGTGAGTCTCTCTCTCTCTCTCGTACACACAAACCTCTCACAAACAAACGCACACATGCAAATGCTCCACATCACTCACAGTCAAACAGTGACACCTGCTGGCATTCCAGTGGAACCACATGAGATGTTATAAATCAAAAAGGAAGTAAATTAGAATCATTTTGTAGGCATCTCAAAATGGCACAGCCCTGAAATGCAAAAGTGATTTTCAAATAAATCACACATTTAATTATGATCTCACTTTTCTCATGTCACGATAAATATACCAACAGTGTCCAGATGGTGCAAACAACTGTCTTAACTGCAGCCTTTCATTCGACAGTAATCTGTCACCCATGGTCATTAAATCAATCATTTATGTAATCTTGACGAAACCTCTTTTGTTTCCACTGTGTTTTCATTCATTTTTTATATCAGCAGTGGTGCGTGCTCCATTTTACTCGAAGGATGATGAAATCAGTTTGTGTTTTGCTGCAATGTTTTGCTCCAATGGGCTCATTAGCTTAGTGTCCTTACTGTGTGAACCGTGTATGTATGGGTACGTCTAAGCAGTGCAAAGGACTGTTCCACTAATGCGGCATAATTAACTCACATTCTTTAATAGACATTAAATAATTGCACTCTTTTGTGCCATCTGGTTGCACTGGCTTTGATAATGTAGGCTCTCATGTTTGACATTGTTAATGCCGTCAGTAAACTTTGTGGGCCAATTTACTAGACTCCGCTTAGGCCTCAACCTAGACTCAAAAGTGTTTTCAGTAGTGAATCACCATTGGCATTGCAGTTTAGTCAAAAATAGACTTGGACTAGACTAAATCTTTATATGTGAAAGCGTCTACATACAGTGCCCCCCCCCCCAAAAAAAAGAAAATAAATAAATAAATTTGGACATTTGTGTCATATTTAAAAGTGTATTAAAGGATAAATCCACCCATTTTTCAAATTATATGTGTAATAAAACCATTAAGATATAAACTAAATCATTCAGAGTGGTTTGGTGTAAGATGCTGCATTCTAAAGAAGCTTGATGAGTTTTTTTTCACAGTGGTGGTGATTGGAATCAGACATTTGATGTTTAGTTCCCCTAAAAGCTCACACACAGAAAGTAACTACATGAAGTAGTCATGAATATACTGCCTGATGCCTAAAACATTGTTGTGTCACGGTATATGGAGATAATGCAGGGCATTGCAAGGCAAACAGTTGCCAAAGAAAACATTTTTTGGGATTTACCACTAATTTTAGCATTACACATGACACATATAGATACAATAGTCAAATGAGATGGCAAAACTGGTGTTGTAGACATCTCAAGCTCTGGTTCCTGTCACCACCACTGTAAAGAAAAAAGAGCAGTTTCTTTGTAACCACTCTTATTTTGTTTACATTTTAATCATTGAATTGTGCAAAAACTCTGAAAAATCAGAATTCTCATTATGTTGGGAAACAAAATGTCAAACCAAGTGGTATTTATTTCAAACAGACCATTGCAAGACTGTCATTTTCTTTTTGCCAAAGTATTCTTTCAAAAGGCAGCTGGTGTGTTTTTTTTTCAGACTTCTGCAGGTTTGCATCCAAAATGTCTTTGTATACTCCTAAGTTCATGATCCTATCAATGAACACTCGCTCACCAACAACACTGTAAGAAATACAGTCCCAGATTTTGATGTTTCCACCTCTGTGTTTTTTCCAGTTCCCGTTGGAGCTCTTCTCCAGGCTTTCTCCACACAAAGAGCCTACCATTGTTCTGATTTTGTGTTAAATGTGTTTCTCTCTGAAACAGACAATGACACATTTCATGAAATAAACTAAAGAACCTCTTTTTTAAAGTTTTCCAGTGGTTAACGTGTCCAAATACTTTTCTTTGCTGTATATTGTAAGTTGTAAAAGTGCTAAAGTTTTCTCTTTTTCTCTCTCCGTTTCTCTCTCTCACACAGGCTGCCCCTCAGGCTTCTATGGGCGAGACTGTGCTGAAGTGTGCCGCTGTCAGAATGGAGCGGACTGTGACCACATCACTGGCCAGTGTGCCTGTCGCACTGGCTTCATTGGGGCCAGCTGTGAGCAAAGTAAGACCACTTTGTGCTTGTGAATGTGTTAAAGTCACCAAATTCTGCAAATCTGACAATGCTCTTGTGATGAAAGTGTGTGTAATCTATAACCGCAGTGCATTAACTGTGTGCTTGTGTGTGTATTGCTCTTTCTGTAGAGTGTCCTCCTGGGACGTTTGGCTATGGCTGTCAGCAGCTATGTGAGTGTATGAACAATGCTACCTGTGACTATGTGACTGGAACCTGCTACTGCAGCCCTGGATACAAAGGGATTCGCTGTGACCAGGGTAATCACAGCTCTCTTACACTCACACACACGCACACACATTAAATCTCATTCAGCCACTATTATTTTGCAGTTCTTTCGAATAAACTTAGAGTTGCCAGTTTATCAGATACACTTGCAGAATAATACACCTGTGCAGAAATCAGAGACCACCTTTCATTTATTTAATTTCCTGTCAAAACAGCCATTAGGTCATTTATTTTCCAGGAGTTATTTCTGAGGAGATTAGACATAGCATAATCCACTTGAACTACAGAACTGTAGTTTCCAAAACTGGAGTCCAAAAAATCATCTTTGAGAGGTAAGACTGAATCAAGCTCCACTTCAAATCTAAAAAGAAGCCTCCTCTGTTCTCAGAACAATGGTCTGACCACCCAAGAGTCCAGACCTCACTGAAAAAAAAGATATTATACTTAGCGTTGGAAGCTTTTGCATAATTTTCTGTTAAATGTGTTTTCTGCTTTTTTCCCCGATGCTAAAAAATGAATAACCTGATGGCCATTTTGACTGGAAAATAAATTAGTGAAGCGGGGTCTCTGAATATTGTTCCACTTATGGATAGGGTAGAAAGTAGTGTTAAATTATGCATAGCAAACGGTGGACTTCAGTCAGTAATTATGTACCTACAGCATGCATCGATATGGTAGAAGTAGCTATTAAAATACCTAGTGAGTGTAATATCAAGTTAAGTGTACTTCTCAAACTGGCAATACCTTCTTACATTAAATAAATTCTATATATAACTGTATATATATGTGTGTGTGTGTGCGTGTGTGTGTGTGTGTGTCAGCGGCCCTAATGATGGAGGAGCTGAATCCCTACACCAAGATCAGCCCAGCCCTGAGCTCCGAGCGCCAGTCGGCCGGCGCCGTCATGGGCATCATCTTCCTTCTCCTCATCATCATGGCCATGCTCAGCTTGTTTGTGTGGTACAGGCAGCGGCAGCGGGACAAGGGTCAGGACATGCCGAGCGTATCCTACACTCCGGCCCTGCGCATCACCAACACTGACTACTCGCTCTCTGGTGAGAAACCCCACTGAGACAACAGCCCAACAATGTGGTACTCATCAAAATGCCTCCACAGGCCCCCCTGTGTCTCGCTTTACCTGCTTTGATCATTAGCAAGGCTGAAGAATCTTGCACTGCACTGTTGTGAATGTTGCATGAAGTTTCATTAACTCAGCCTCAGGACTTTTTACTCTGTCTTCACTGTGCAAATGATATCAAGGCTTTTCTTTTTTGTCTATGTAGCACCGGGTCTGTTGCACTATGCATCACAACTCAGCTTTGTACCTGGTGTAAGATTAGATTTTGCATTTTTGTAGGAGTAGCATTTTATCCTCAGAGACAGGGCAGTGACAGAGCAGGAGGATAGGAGGATAGACTCTGTGTTTTGAATAGTTCTGTAGATGTACACTGAGTTGCCATGTTATTAGGTACACCTACCTTGTGCATGCACTCATTGGCCAGTTTATCAGGTATATCTATCATGTGGGTGCACTTACTGACTGTAGCCCATCTAACATGTAACTACTATGTTGTAATCACTGCTGTGCTGAAAATGGTCCACTACCTAAAGCTGGTCCTTTGGTGGTCCCTTTGAATTGATGCAAATTATTGAATTGTCAATACTAGGAGTTGTGCTCCAGTCAGTAATTGTAAACCTACAAAGCACAGATGTATGGTAGGTGTAGCTGATAAAACGGCCAATGAGTGTAGAAACAAAAAAGTAACACTTTACTGAAGGACAAAGTTCATAAGGCAAGACAACATCTACCATCTATAAGGCAAGATAACATGACATCATGACAACTGACATAAACCTATATGAATCATTCTGACAAACTGTTTTAAAGTTAGAGTACAAAACCCATTGCAGACTTTTAACTCACTTGGACTTTATACTAAAATCCTTTTGTTTTGAATGATCCTATACCTCAGTTGTGTTTATTAAAACAAATAATTGAACATTCTTTTCTTTCTACCAGAACAACCATAACACTACTGAAACTTTACCAGATGTTTCGGTAGTGACTGTTTTGGTACTGACAGTTTTAGCTGTTTTTGTGCATGACTCAAAAACGCTAGCCAGTACATGACTAGCAAACACAGCTTTGAAAAGTTGCGCACACTAAAAAATCATATTTTCAAAAATCTTTTTTTTTTTAAACCACAAGAAGTTTACCTAATTGTAGAAAACATGTGTTTGGTAGTGATGATTCCCAATGTTACACACTGATTTTTTTTGACGAGATTAATTGCTCACCATGTGGGGCCATGAGGGACACTTCCTGCTCTAAAATGCAGGGTATACCTAAAATAAGGCTCCACTTATGGATTAAATCTCTTTGTGCTTCAGTAGTGACATGAAAATGTGGGACAGCATTTTTTGAATAAAGTTTTTTTATTATTTAAAAATTAAAGTGATAAATCTAAATCTTACAACTTCACTTCAAGATCTTAAAACTTAAAGTAAAAGTATTATTTTCACAAGTTGTAATTTAGGAGTTAGGGTATCCTATACATGATATTTGGTATATATTTTTCCTATAACTATCTCAATTAATGCCTTGGTTTGAAATAGATCATAACATAATCCTTGTAAATATCTAAGATCTGAATCCTTTGTTGTTTTTTTAAATAGTTTTTTTTTGTACTCTGGGACCACACACTAATTTGGTAGAATGGTCCATATAGACATTAAAGGCTTATTCCAACAAGTGTCAGTTGTTTATGTAGGTTAATGTCAGTTATCATGAAAGGCTTATGTTTCATGTAGCTTAACAAATACTGCCCTTCAGTAAAGTGTTACTGGTATACCTAATAAACAGACAACACAGTGCACTACATAAGTGCACTATGCACATTTTCTGTCTGCCAGATACGTCTCAGAGCAGCAGCAGTGGACAGTGCTTCTCTAACCCCAGCTACCACACTGTGGCCCAGTGCACCGGGCCCTCTTCCAACACCAACAACCTAGACGGCACGCTCACTCTGAAGGTAAACACGTGCACACACTGCAATTATCCATGACCTTTTCACAGTTATGAAATAAACCTTGAATGTAATTAATCTGTTTTTTATTGCTTTATCACAGAAAGGAGACAGGAACAGTTCAGAATGGAGAGCATACTGCAATTTGAATGACCTTGGTAAGTCTCTACTCCACCTGTGCTCTTAGTACTGTGTGAGAGTGCAATGCATGCAGATATGCTCATATTCAAAGCAGAGTGTTACTATGTTACCTTAAAACTACAACATACACCCCTGCACCCGCCACCCCCTCCCCCGAAACAAACCAGACAGAAAGGTATTGAAGAATGAAATGAGTTTTCCATGTCACTACCAACGCTAGCTGATCTCCAGGCACAATAGACGCTGCGTGAGGGCCAGCCATCCTCCACTCAGCAGTGAGTGCTGATGGCAAGTGTTTTGCAATAATAGAAGCTTCCGGCACTTGCATGTGACGTCCCCTGCTGTGGTTTTAATAGGTCCTCGCTGTAGGTACCCTCTCACACACATAAACAAGTCCTTCTCAGCCTACATTACCCAGGGTCACTGTGGCCAGGGGAGAGAAGGGAGCTCATTAGTTTCGTGCCCCTCCTCCCGAGGCTCCTCACCCCATTATGTCCGGGTGCAGGCCGGATGATAAGGCTGCCGCAGCACATACGAGGCCAGTGGGGATTTGAGCTCAGGGTTGGGTATTTCCATCAGCTTCAGCACTCCGCCCTCAGAGGAACTAAGATTACACTACCCAAGACCACAAGTTCAGGCAGGGAGGCAGTCGGATCACCTAACTGCAATGAAACATGACATTATTTTCTCGGCGGTACAGGTTCTATGATTCATAAAGGAAAGATCGCAGTCTTCGACAGGAACAGTGTGTGACATGGAATTAGCTTTTATTCTTTGTGTGAGTGATCTTTACTTTTCTAAATAAAGTGCTATTGACATTGACATCAATTTGCTCCATTGTCCTGAGATTTGTATTTACTCACTGAAAATTATGTGCACTACAATACTGTGCAAAAGACAGAGACCATCAATGTTGGACGAGAAGACCTGGCTCACAGGCGATGTTCCAGTTCATTCTGAAGGTGTTCGGTGGGGTTGAGGTCAGGGCTCTCTGCAGGCCACTGACTTTTCTCCACATCAAACTTATCAAACCATGTCTTAATGGTGTTCACTTTGTAAACAAAGGGCACAGGCCTGCTGGAACAGGAAAGGGCCTCCCCCACTCTGTTGCCACAAATTTGGAAGGATATAATTATCTAAAATGTCTTTGTATGCTGTAGCACTAGCATCACTCCTCACTGGAACTAAGGGGCTGATCCCAAACCCTGAAAAACAGGCGCAGACCATTATCCCTCCTCCACCAAACTTTAGTTTGTCTGCAGCTGTTCGGCCATGGAAACCCAGTTAAAGCACCCATTCATGAAGTTCATGAAAACCAGTTCATGAAGTTCTTGTTCTGATGTTGCTTCAAGAGGCAGTTTGGAACTCTGTTAAGGAGTGATGCAACAGAGCACACACGTTTTTTATACATTTCAGCATTTGGTGGCCCCGCCTTGTGAGTTTGCATGGTCTAGATGCTTTCTTTTCACAATAGTAGCACTTACTTACAGTTGACCAGGGCAGATCTGGCAGGGCAGAAATTCCATGAACTGACTTGTGGCAACGGTGGCATCCTCTTATGATGCCCTACGATGGACTGGTGACCTGTCCAGGGTGTTTCCTGCCTTCCGCCCAAAGACTGCTGCGATAGGCTCCAGTACGCCCCATGACCCAGAAGGATAAGCAGCTTAGATAATGTGTGTGTGTGTGTGTGTGTGTGTGCTTGTGATCTACTTAACAAACAGACAACACAGTATACAAGTATACTATGCATATTTTCTGTCTACCAAATGCGTCTCAGAGCAGCATCAGTGGCCAGTGCTTCTCCAACCCCGGCTACCACATTGTGGCAAAATGCACCGGGCCCTCTTCCAACACCAGCATTTCACACTAATAGCACTTACAGTAATACTTTCATTTCACAATAATTGCGCTTACAGTTGACCAGGGCAGATCTAGCAGGGCAGAAATTTCACAACTTGTGGCAAAGATGGCATCTTATGAAAGGGCCACATTTAAAGTCACTGAGCTCTCCAGAACGACCCAGTGCTTGTCTCTGGACACTGCATGGCTATGTGCTTTGATTTATACACCTGTTAGCAATGAATATGGCTGAAACACCTCAACTCAATCATTAGAAGTCATTAGAAGCCCTGTTTTTTCTCTTGTTTTCTTTTGAATTTTCCCTCCTTTATGCAATTTTATTATATTAAGATGTATGTTTTCAGAAATATCTTCTGGAAAATGAAGCACTTGCACTTAATAAATGAAGGATGATCTGTGACTTTTGTACAGTACTGTATGTTCCCTGAAGCCTCCTGAAAATAAAATGTAGTTTCTTTTAATGCTACACTGTACACTATAAATGGTGAACAGAGTAGAATAAAGGATAAACAAAGGGCACGTTAGAGCCGTGCAAGTGGTTGATAACCAGTATGCTATCATGTTTCCACAGAGTCTGTTTACTCTGAAAGCAGGAAGCAATGCAAATACTTAAATAACTTTATCAGAAGGGAAGTCCAGTTAATGTTAAGTGCAGTGAAGTTTACATTCTTCACATTACCTTGAAGGTCTGGAAAGATTTCTACAGGGGTGGCCACTGAAATTAAGTATATTTCCTATAAAAAAGGCAGGAGACATCTTGAAAGAGATTAAGAGAACTGTACTAAAAATGATTAGATTTTAGGATTCCATCACATAGCTTTCTTTTGATACATTCGTATAATATGATTGAGCTCGAGCTTGAATTTTGCCACTGGGCCTAGACTGCGTTGTAGCCTTCTATACTATCCTTACAGTTTTTCCCCTGTGTGTAATAAACCCCATCTCAGCTATGCAGAAATCTAGCACCCATTGGGGAAATACAGTTGCAGTGAGTATGCGGAGATGAAGTTATATAAACGTATAGAACCATTCCAACAACAAGCGCTTCAATAACAACATTAGCTATGTGCACCGACAATCTCTTGCTTAGTGTATGTGTCAGCACTTGTGCCACAGGTATAAATGGTAATTTCTGCTTAGATCAGAAACACAGCTCTTCTTTTAAATGACAAATCCTTATAGTTCAGCTCAGCATTCCCCTTAAGCTTGCCCAAGTCTTTTATTAGAAACTGTGCAGAAACCAAAAACCTGTCAGGACCATGCTGATTATAGTAGTGCCTTTAAAGACCTTTGGGTTCCCTTCTCTGATTCTTTTACTATCAGTTACATAAGATTGTATCATACTTTCCAGCTTAACTTGGAAAGTGTCCTAGTTTTAAGTTTTAAGTATCTTCTAGTTTTAAGTTAGTCCCCCAGGTTATTATTACTAGTTATTCACTAATTATTGTTATTGATGTTTGTGCTTCACCTCATTAGGTGTGACACGGGAGGAGACGCTAACACTGCGGGACAACAAAACCACTCGAATGGCTAAAGGTAATGACCCCAGAATGTACATAACATCGCTGTCCAAACATGTACATGAAAAACATGTATCTCTACAATGGTAATTGTACAGGAGAAGACCAAATGCAATTTTGGAGCATTTCTACTGGTCTGTTCATGAAAATTTGTTTTTGTCAATTTTTATTTTTGAGACTGCACCGTTTACTTTGCATACAGGCCAAGCTGCATGCCTAACCTAAACATACCATTCTCATGGAAAAAGGTAAACTAGGCAGTATGTCTTTCTAGCTTTCTGCTGCTTGACCTTTACGGTGGTCAGTTATATTGAGACCACCATGCTACGTGACAGCCCACAGCATCCACTTAAGGCCCGGAGCCCTTAGCCCTCTCTGCCTGTCTGAGTCTCAGTGCCTGTGATTAATGCGAATCCCTGACCTCCCCGGAGCTTGCTCTCCAGACACACACACACTGGAGCTCACACACCCGCCTCCTTAAATTGATCTCTCAGGTCCAGTGTTGGCTTGGTTCTGATGTAAACAGCCTGACAAAGGGAGCTGCAGTGGGTTAGACTGGATCAGCTTGGATCAGTGGAGAAACTTTCAAAAGTTTGGCTGCTGACCCAAAAGACCACAGCTTGCTACGCCAGTAATGATAATCTGGTTTGGAACTTTCCGTTTATACACAACCAGCCACTCCAGTAAGTACACCTCCTTGTATCTACACTGATTGTCCATTTTATCAGCTGCACTTACCATGTAGGTGCACTCCGTAGTTCTGTAATTACAGTCTGTAGTCCATCTGTTTCTCTGCATAATTTGTTAGCCCCCTTTTACCCTGTTCTTCAGTGGTCAGGATCCCCACTGACCAATGAAGACAGAACAGGTATTATTTGGATGGTGGATCATTCTTAGCACTGCAGTATCTACAGTGCACCTGATAAATGTGCCTGATCAGTTAGACAGTGAGTGTAGATACAAGGTATCTACATTGTATCTCCATTTTTCAGTTTTTGACGTAATTTGAAAATGCCTGTTGCCGTTTATATTGTGTGTAAATTTCTTGAAGAATTGACCAAAAGAAATATCCCAAAATTACTTGAAAAAAATGTCTGGTTCCATTGACTTGCATTAAAAGTAAAGCAGTTTTTTCCGCCTCCTATATATAACTTTCTGTCAAATGTTTTTTTCTGTTTACACAGAGTTAGTATAATTTACCAAAAAGCTCTAATTGTGTTTCATCTGTCCAAAGGATAGTCTCCCAGAAGTACTATAACTTTTCAGCATGCATCTGGTCTGGCTTTTTTGTGTTTTGCTCTTATAAGTGGGGACTTCTTGGGTCTTCTACTATGGAGCCCATTGTATTGAAACTGTTGTATCTTGAACTTGAGGGTCTATCTCAAAGTTTTCCATGGTTCTTTCTCCACCATTCAAACAGTCTTTTCCTTTTGTCTAGGGTCAATTTTCCACTTATGCTCACATTTAGAGATGTTGACTACAGCTCCATGGGCCTTAAATTCTTGATAGTGTCGGCAAAAGTAGTCACATGAATATTAGGCTTTTTGGAGATCTTGTAGCCTTGACATTGATCACGCTTTGCCATGACCTCATTAGAATTCTTTTCCTTATCTTTTCCATATTTAGCTTGATATAATAGTCTGATTGAAATATCTCTACAATACAACTACTCCTTATCATTTCTAAAGGTTATCAATAATATTGCTCAGGCAATTTAGAACATCTTTGTAGAACAAGCAAGAATTCAGTTCTTTTCACATTTTTTGTTTTGTTCCACTGCATTTTGAAGACATGCATGTATGGATTACAAGGTCTTTTAATTTTAACACTTTTCAACAAAATGCAAGCTTACCAGTAATTTCAGCCATGTCTGTATCTGGTCAGTGATGGTCCTATGATGGTTCCTTTCCATTAATGGAGAGTGGCTGATAAACTGCAAGCTATAGTCAGTAATCTTAAACCTACCTGAAAAAAATGGTCAATAAGTGTGGTTAGAAGATAGGTGTACAGTACAGTAACACAATCCTCTCCCTGCATTCTAACAGGACTCGCCTCCTGAGGATGCTGTTGCCAGAGGTTATATGTAGCCCAGCACAGGACAGCCATACAGATGTGTCCCAGACTATAGCCTCTCAACCTTTTCTATCTCAAGGCCCATCTATTTATCACTAAAACGCATGAAGGCCTACAGGAAAACAAAACGTTTTGGCTTAAAAATGTCATTTTCGGGTAATTTACAGTGCAGCTGTGTTAAGTGCCTTCCCCTGTATGTAATGTGTATCAGGAAATGTAAAATATCAACAGATAAAATTAATGGAAATTTGTTTTATACCAGAAATCAGGCAGAATGGTAGCACATTAAGTGGAATGTTTCTATAACCGTTTCTTTTTTTCTTTTTTTACAGCAGTATAAAAGTCAGGGAAGGTGTAAAAAATCAGTGAAGCTACCTTTGGGGGGCATTGTTGCAGTGTTTGTATTAATATTGTTTACTATTTGAAAACATTTAGTATTTTGTTTTAAGTCAATTATGTTTCACTGATTTTTATGACAAAGTGCCATTACCAGCCCACTACTGATCACTGGCCCCATCTCAGTACTGGACTGGTGAACACCAAAGGGTGTTTGTGGTCCATGGTCCAGTGATTGAGAAACCCTGGACTAAGTAAAATCAAATCAAATCAAGCTTTATTGGTCTCACACACACAGTTATACACAGTTCAGTGAAATGCTTATTTGACTGTCTGTTGCCTTAAAAAACAAATATACAGTAGAAAAAATATAGACAGAATATATAAAAGACTATATAAAATTATAGGCATATTATAAAATACAAGTATATGTGTATATATATGTATAGTATGTGTGTAGTGCCAATGAGCAAGAGGCAGTGGAATGAAAGGAGTTAATAAATATTATAAATACTTATAAATATGGCAGTACATATTGTGCATGTAGGGTGTATGGGTGTTGTGCAGTTGTCCTGTAATATGTATGTGTGTATGTATGTATAAATAATCCTAGTAATTGTAACCCTGGTTGAGGGTCTGAATAGCCTGAGGGAAGAAACTCCCCCCTCATTCTCTCTCTCAGAGAATGAAGTCAGAGTAGAGACAATTACTAAGTCTTAGTAATGCGAAGATAATTTGAGCTCATAAAGTCGCTCAGTTTCCTCAGCTTCTTGTGTTGGCTTATGGTTTATAATGTGTTTGCGTTTTCTGCAGACTACATCAAGACATCCATGTGCAGCTCCAGCTCCTGCTCCCTAAATAGTGAGAACCCCTACGCCACGATCCGAGACCCACCGGGCTTGGCCTGCAAGCACACAGAGAGCAGCTATGTGGAGATGAAGTCTCCTGCACACAGAGACCTGACGTTCTGCTCCAGCACCAGCACCACCCTCACCTCTACAAGCAGGAATGTCTACGATGTTGGTGAGTCAGTGATGGTGAAGGTCGTCAGGAAGCCACCAGGGGCAGATTTGTGAACACACAGAGCTCAGTGTTATTGCTAAAGCTGAACATTGTTTGCATTCAGTTGGATCCACATTACATCACACTATTTCATCAAACACTTCATCAAAGATGTGTAATGTCCGATCTCATCGTAAAATGAGTGTACACAAATTTACAGCAGTTTCATTATTTATCAGTTTCAAACACCCGAGGATCAAATGTGCATGGCAGATTAAGCAGTCATAGAGGACTACAGTGTTCAGTTTAGTCTATTCCATGACTGGGCAGACTGTTTAATGTAGGACAAAGGCGGAATTTGAGGTTTGTGCTGGAGTTTAACACTTCACAATCACACCTTTCTGTCATTTCAGACAGAAATGAGAATGAAAAATTTCAGAAAGGAAATTACATTGTTTTTCCACATTTTATTCTTTTTAATTCTATTATTTAAGCTCTATTGCTTCCTCACAAACTCCGCCTACAAAGACAACCATTGGCTCATGAGTCTAACGACTGCTTTCCTTTTATTTGTTACGTTAAGATCAGCATAAATTTGTGCATGCTTCATGTAAATTACATGTGCAAATTTTGAGTGTTGTTTGAGATTTCTGTGGTAATTTTACTTTTTTTCGACGCACTAGCTGATTCATCAATTGCACTCAAATCTCTGTTCGTTTTGAGGTTTTTCAACACACCTGCAAAAAACAAATATTTTGATATAGATAATATTCACAGTAAAATGTTTGGAAAAGTTCTGCCTGAGGTACTGTTCACCAAGAGCCAAACTGCTACCACAAAAGAAGTGGCGCTTTGTTTAAGCCTGCACATGATTTTGAGCTACAGTAAGCAATAAGCAATAGCTACAAATAACTCATAGAATAATGAATATGTAGATTAATGCTGAGATGTTCAGGCTACAAAATTGCTTGACCGGTTTAAGGTGCTAGTTCACTAGAGAAACAACATGTGAATTGGCTTCCAGAACAATTTTTTTTATTGTCAATTTATTATTAATTATTGACAACACTGAATAATTGTTTCAGCCCTCTTTTGCAGTTTCATGAAATAGACGTAAAGTAGTTCTTACTAGGGCTGCTACAACTAATCAACATTATCAATAACATTGTATCATAAAAGTTTATTGGAAATTAATCTTGTTATTGATTAGTTGGCTTGATGACATTTTTCGCTCCCCATTTACATTAATGGACGGAAAGAGTGAAAATACAGATTACACACTACAGTACATGGTTATGCATGATTTAAAAAGTCAAAAATATGAAAACACTTCATTTTAACCTCAATCAAAACATTTCCTGTAAAACGTGTAAAACTGAGCTCATCTGGCACAGAAGATATGGATATTCCTTGAAAACACATTATGGCCTTTCTCCCATACAAAAATGATGTTTTGTTAATACATTGTTCCTTTGTTGTTCCTGCACCTTTCACATGGATCAAAATGCCATTCCTCAGTGCAGAGGATCTGATGATCTTGATAAAAGTCATGCAAATACAAATATGATTTAGAAGATAGGGTGGGTGTTTTATATTTGAAAGAACAAAAGGAGGGAAAAATAATTCTTGAAAGAAACATTGTGCATGATGTGAAATATTTAGTTACTGACAGACAACTGGCAGGACATTTCCTTTCCCCAATTAATCTAAGCTACGATAAATGTAAGTGCTAATTTCTGTGCCACTTTTGTGAATAAAACCCAGTAGTGTTTAAATAGATGATGATTGTATTGGTTAGGGCTGACAACTGGCTGCCAGTCATAGGAATAATTTTCCATCACACAGTAAAAGTTCAAGCATACAGTAAAGAACAGACATAACTTTGAATGCTGGTGGCGGCAAAGGGAGAAAAACCAAAGACAATAATCACATTTGTAGATTGAATCATAGTTCATAAGTTCATCGATTATGGAAATAATTGTTAGTAGTAGCCCTAATAAAACAAACTCTTTAGTAAATTCCCACTCTTTATAAGACAAGCCAAAGAAACTAATCAAAATAGCCATTAGGGTATTCATTTTTTTTTGAAGATTTCTTAATATATTGAATATGAGAATCCATCCTTCCATAAAGAAGAAGAAAGTCAAAGGAAGTGAAAAAACAGGACTTTACCAAACTGGAGTTAAAAAAATATATGAAACGGTAGAGAGAAACTGGACCTGGTAGACCACCAAATTGTCACCACCATGTAAACAGTACTTAAAGCTTTCATCGTTGAGAAAATCAAGCTGCACTCTTGCTCTTAACTGATTAAAAAAACCACAGATGTTTCTGTCTATCTTTCCACTGTGAGAAGACAACTCAACGTTATGAGTCTAAAATGTTATGTAGCCGTCAAGAAGCCGCTACTTGGAAAAATCTCTGCAGATTTCTTAAAAAAACTGAAAGCAAATCTTTCTAATAGATTAGAAGCTATAGTAAAGGATTTGACACACTAAATATATATTTAGTTGTTGAGGCTTCTGTGTAATTGTCTGAAAAAATATATATATAAGGTGGTCTCAGACTTTTGCGCAGTACTGTACTATGTACATGACAGAATACTATACTGGTAGTGTTTAACCACTACATTCTCCTCTCTCTCAGAACCCACAGTGAGTGTTCTTCAGGGACCCAATGGCTTGGCCACTGGTTTCTCCCAGAACCCATACGACCTGCCCCGGAACAGCCACATCCCCAGCCACTACGACATCCTGCCAATGCGCCACAGCCCCCCCAACACCCCACCGCCGCCAGACAGCCCCCCGAGCTCCCTGCTGTAGAGCCCAGGCCACAGCCTACCTCCACAATACAACCTCCACCACCTGACTCTGCAGGACGTTCTCGTTTATCTTTTTTATCTCATCTGATTTCTGTCCATCATGCTCACGCACAGATGCATGAGAAGATGGACATAAAGGCAGCAGCGATACCACATTTTGCTGGATTTTTGTGTGCGCTTACACTGATGGCAGGGAAAGATACAAGCAACTACTCACTTCTCTGCATTCAGACCTGGATGAAGGGATTTCATTTTGTGCAGAAAAGACTGAACCAAGGAGAAACGAAGAAATCACAAAAACCTGAAGTACTCTGTAATAAATTGTAAATATTGCAGCAGATTATGGGGCCAGCAAAGTACTCTTGATCAGTTCCAGAATATGAGTGCTGTCTTCAGCCATGGAAGGAACATTCATGGGAGTCTCGTGTATATAATATCAGTGGTAGACTAATAGATGGCTCATGCTCCACAATGGTCCATCTGTCCCCTCTACCAGTCAAACAGTGACTGACCCAGGACATCTTGTTTGGAGCCAAGGGGAACTGTCAGCCACAGATGCAGTGTCAACCTCGACCATTCACTAGTTAAAGAGGACTCAAAACCCTTAGTGACAAAGCATGGTTAAATAGTAAGTAGTTATTATTGTACAAAGAGAATTACCAAAAGAAGAGTTTTTAAGAACGTTACTTTTTTGATAACATTATAGTATATGGGACTTCAAGACTTTAAACCACATTCATGGGGTATTTTAAAAATGATAAAACAACTGTAGCTCGATACAACTTGTGCAATGTCACTAATGGTACTAGTCTATCAACCTGCTGTTTCATAAAAATATTTTATGAATGGTTATATTTCAAGGTAGCAGGTGTAATGTCATGTGAATGTGTGAACTCAAACTATAGTGTCAAGTTATTTTTGTTTTGTTTTTTTTCCTTCTTTGGTAAACATATTTTGCCTTTCTTATTTCTCTTTGTATTCTCAAAATACCAATTGGTGGTTCTTAAGGGAGGCTTTTCTTTTGTATTTATGTATTTATGGTGTATTTATTTGTAATTTATTTGTGATGCTTTTGTTTTTCTTTCAATTGTAAAGTTTAAACGAAAAGTCAAGCATGAGTAAATTATACCAAGTGACGCTTAATTATTTTAATGGTTGCGCCATTTATGCGTACATATTTATAATATACAATGCAAGTTAGCTTTCATGTCTAAGTAGGTGCATCACAACAAACAAAAACCATCTACATATTTAGAAATCGTACTACATTTGGAGACATTTCGCTTTTCTGAAGTTCAGTTTGGTAAATCTGCTTTGCCGTTTTACTTTGTGCTATGCCCTAAATGTAGTTGCATACCCCTCACTAAAGCAATAACATACTGACAATCACGCATAAGGACAACAGTGCAGATTATCCATCCATTCATAGCTGGAGAGTGTGCTTACGTTAAGCTCATGTGAGCTGTTAACACAAAATTTCATTTCATCTTTGTGTCATTTAAATGCCGCTTGATGTTTTCTTACAAAATTCAAAATAAAGTGTATGGTGAACGAGTCTCATTTGACAGTAGCCCTTACATCTGTGACATTAGTACAGACCCATTAGTACTTTTTTTTAACCAGCTCGCTATTCTAGATGAGTTACTTCTCCTTTCCTGAAGGTTAACCACTTCTGCTTTCTTTCATGATGAGGGATATGACCAAAGAGTATAAGGGAACTGAAATGAGACTGTTTCAATTAAGCGGTTAATAATTTATGCGTCAAGAATGATGAAATCAGTAAACTATTACAAAAAACTGGCATTACAAACATTAATTTCACATAACAGTCATCACAAATCTTCAAAATGACCTGTGTAGCCATTCTTTTATTTTTCACTTTGAAATTGGAATTACAGTGGATAGAGTAATAGTATAATTATAATAATAATAATAATAATAAAAATAAAAAAAAATCACAGTACAGCGCAGACAAAAAAAATGTTCTTGAGGCAATATGTGAAAGATAACTGACAGTCAGAACATCAATATCCAGGTAAACTAATTAACACAAGCTATGTGCAGTGCTTAGGCTGGGCCTAGCCGTGCCATCTGTACCCATACATCATTGGCACCGCCCCTCATGCTTCTACCGGTCAGTCACACATCAGTTTTAAGGTCCCGAGGGCCAGTCTGAAGCAAGGCCCAACACCATACAGACAGAATGCACAGAGAAAGACAGTGCCATACTTTATATATGTGTATGATGTGGCCGATCCTTCACAACAGTAACTAGATTCTGTTTGACACTGTTATATTGCTATGTTCATACTGAGCGAGGTCTAACACTTGGGGTCAATTTTGTGAAAACCTGTCGAAAGGCTCACACCCATACACTTTGGCAACGTCAGTCCACACTATTCATTCTGATTCTGTTTTACTACACCAGCTACTACAGCCTGGGAAAGGCTTAACCACCTTAACCCTGGAGAGCCATCACTTCTTTCTATTTCAGTGAGAATCCTCCTAAGTGGATATTGGTCATGAATAACATTTTGAATATCAATATTTTAAGGGGTGCAGGCTGAGTAGCTGATGAGCTCTGAGGTTATTTGGTGTAACCACAATATACCATGCATTACAATTCCAGTCCACACTAAAATTTCTACTTCACACAATACAAATCCTTAAGACAGCTATGATGCACAAAACTGTTGCAGCTTGTGGCCAAGCCCACATCTGCTGAATCATAGGAATGCTTGATTTTACAATCACAACAAGATTATACTGGGCTACAATACATTATACATTCTTAATTTACTCTGATCATTTTTCATAGACATCGCACATCCTTAAATTTCAAGAATCTTTTATAATGGGGCACAATAATATGCTAATAAGTCAGTCAGCTACCACAGAATAAATACTTGTTAAAGGTCTAAAAAATTAACTGTAGTGTGGGTTAGTTCAGGAATATTGTGTTTGGTGCAAACATACAGAAAAAGCTCCAGTCTACAGTCATCACTTATGGTCATATGAGCAGTATTTCACCCCTGCTGTTCTAACCCCAACTTAAAAGAGTGGCACTTTGAAGGGGATAAGCTATTATGTTAGGTGCCATGTGGTCTTGAGAGGTGGACGGTTTATGATTTTCCCTGACTTATTATATTACTTATATTCTGATAGTGTTTTCAGAGTATTATTATAATAATTTTAAGAGTCTGGTTAAAGAATTGTGCCTGTATTTACTGTCAAACGCTTAAGATTTTCACTTTTTAATCACAAAATGGATTGATCCTCTATATATCTTCCTAAATTTGGACTTCAGTTGTTCTTTATGACAGATTTAACCTGGCTATTAAACCTGGCTACAAGATCAATTGTATTACATATGAAGGGCAAAAATGGAGATCACATCAAAAGGCAGGAAACATCCAGAAAAAGACAGCAGTCACACAAGAGAGTATGAATGCTGCTATTATAGGACTACTGAAGATCATGTGATGATGGCCTCGCGGCACTGCTGCGCAGAGCAAGAGGACTGCGGAAAACCCCCACAGTGGGAGCACATGCGCGAAACTGGAGGCGTCCCCGTGTGACATTCCGTTGAGAAAGGCACTAGAACCACTACTCTACCCCACAAGAAGATGCAAGAGAAGCACAAGATGAGTGAAGACAGCAGTAGCAGCAGCAGCAGGAGCTGTGGGTCAACGTGAAGAACCATGTCCGGGGTGTTCCCTGTGCTGAAAGCTACAATCCTCCTCCTTCACCTCCACCACTTCTCCTGATGCTGATATAAAGCATGCAGGCATATTCTGCCACAGGAGCCACCACCATCTTGGTGACTAATGAGCAAAGCTACTGCCCAAATGGTCAGCGTCAAAATATGTGATAAGTGTGCGTAAGCTGGCATTTAAGTTTACATGCAAAGTGACGTATAGGCTCAAAATGCAGCCACAGCCAAAGATGGAGAAGTCAATGGTCTCTGGGACCTAATGCTAATCTAACATGTATTAATGGAGACTATTCATCTGTCTAAATCACAACGCCGATACAGTAACACCTCCAATACTGCAGGCCGCAAGCCCTGCCACTGGCTGAGCCACAAACACGAGGCGGCCGCTTACAACATGGACACGAACAAACCTTGCACCTTTTCGCAAAATGAAATAATATATTAAGACATTTCTGTGAACATCAGCATGACTGATTATTAAAATTCTGCAATATAAAAGCCAAGGACGGCAGGAAAAAAAATGATAAGCTTAGTCCAGAGCGCAGGTGGTGACCCTTTTGAGATCCGAGGTTTAGAAACACAGCTTCTGTGCTGAAGCCTGGCCATGCAGCTGTGTCTCGGAACCAAAGCAGTCTTTAAGAAGTGGTGGGGGAGAGGGTGGGGGGTGAGAGGAGAGAAGGGAAGGCAGGGGGGTGAGGGCTTCTGCAGGTGGGCTGGGAAGAGGGTCATGGAGGGGGCTAGATGCTCTGGCAACACTGCATCTTTGGTTTATTCTCAGTGGGCTGCACCTGGATGGACACCACGTTGTTGCTAGGTGACATGTCGTTGTCCCGGCGGTCAGACATCTGCTTCTGGGACACGATGCGGTAGATTTCTGTGGGATGAGGCAAGATTTGAATACCAAAGCTCAGTAACTAACCTGAAGCTGGAGGTTATTAGTTAAGCTTCTAACAACACGAATGCCGTTCTGGGATCCCTTTGCTTTGTTCATGATCAGTGGATGCATAGCCAACAAGCCCCAAGATCAGTAGTGCCATTCTGAGGCGTTTTACAAATGCAGAATCTGGACTCATTATGCTTTTATAATTACCCTTACCCATAAAAACCTCACAGGACGCCTGAGGTAATGTAATTACTGTGTTATATCTGATGCCCTTTTAAAAATGTATCCTTTGAGTTCACTATGTAGAAAGGACGTTAAGACTAGGCTCACTAACAGAGCGGCAACAGAAGCAGGAAGCTTTTTATTACAGTCACGTCAGGCTAGAGGAACTCAGAGGACCCACCCCAGCAAGGCCAGGCCTTTGATTAGTCATTCATAAGGATATGGCCTTCAGCCAAAAGCCAATCACTTACAATCTCCCTCTCTCTCTCTCTCTCTCTAACACACACACATTCACACTTTCCCAAGCTTATCTGTATGCAATTCTGCTCATCAACTTTTATTCCCCTCATGTTTTGTTTACCCTTCACCCCTTCAGATTAAAAAAAAGGGTTTTATCCTTTACCTGACACTGCAGATAAGGAACCAAAAGGACATGCCAGCACCTTCCTCACCTCCTGCACTAAAAAGCCTACTCACCAGTCAAGATGGTCTGAAAGGCTGTCTCCACATTAGTGGAATCCAGAGCTGATGTCTCAAGGAAAGACAGCCCATTCTTCTCTGCGGACACAAAGAACATTCATCCACTAAGATAGCATCTCACAGTCAGTTATCTAGCTAAAAAGAACACAAAACTGTTTTGTTTTGTTGTTTTTTTAAGGTAGCCTTTGCCCTTACTTTATTGCAATATTTCTAAATTAAAGACACGATCAACAAGGTCATAATAGGAAAGAGCACAGCACTAGGTTGTTCTAGGCCTACGCGGACATGCATGTCTGACCTGCAAACGCGCGTGCTTCATCGGTGGGCACGGCCCGGAGGTGACGCAGGTCGCTCTTGTTGCCGACCAGCATGATGACGATGTTGCTGTCTGCGTGGTCTCTCAGCTCCTTCAGCCAGCGCTCCACATTCTCATAGGTCAGGTGCTTCGCAATGTCATACACTAACAGAGCCCCCACAGCTCCACGGTAATACCTTCAAATGGAGAGACAAATATTTGAAAGAGGGCATATAGATATTATGCTGAACACAAGTGTTTAGTATATGTACTATTTTGAACGTTCTGATTGTAAATATTGTCATCTGTGGTGTGGACGGGTGGCGGCGGTGTGTCTTACGCTGAGGTGATAGCTCTGTAACGCTCCTGCCCAGCCGTGTCCCATATTTGGGCTTTTACAGTCTTCCCATCCACCTGAATGCTGCGAGTGGCAAACTCCACTCCAATGGTGCTTTTGCTCTCCAGATTGAACTCATTCCGGGTGAAGCGGGACAGAAGATTACTCTTCCCCACACCAGAGTCCCCGATCAGAACCACTTCAAAACAAAACATAGAAAGGATTCAAATTTCTGCATTAATATCAGGTAACATCTATTTTATTCCAGCCAAACATTTTAACATTTGAATGTGCTGCATGCTTGGACTTGTGCAATCTGTTTACCTCCAGAAGCCAATGCTAGCCACACATGTGAACAGCAGATGCCCCCACCCCACCCCCACACTGTGACAACACAGCAGCTCAAAGACACTAAGCAGAACTTTCTAAATGCTGGGGTTAATTTCATCAGTTCATTTAATCATCAGTCATGACAGATAAATAGTGTTACCTATGCAGGTGTAGAAAGAAAGAAGACATACAGGGTCTGCTTCAGATTTTCTGGTCTAATTTGTCTTTAATGATTAATACCTTACACCCGTCCTTCTGCCTAACCCAAACACACATAGACAGTCAAAAGCCAACCAATGCACCTACATCTTGTCGCCTCTAGAGAGCGATGCATTTTATGAAATCTATGACTTCCTTTATTATGTACATGTAATTATTAACAAATTTTAAGACATAAACATAGCAATAATTGTCCAGGGAAGGCAAAATATAGGTTAACATTTGCTGAATGTCGGTCAGCAAACACACAAAAAAGCAACGGAAGTAACGTTATCAGATTAATGCTACCGTCGTGTGGAAACAGTTTATACGTGTAAAATATTTAATGTAGACAAGGCACACTGACTGTATATAAGCTTGTTGTGAACTGACGAAAGCTGTCGTTGACATAGTTAGTTAACCTAGCTAACGCTAGCACTGTAGCGAAATTAGCCAGTATGAAATGAGCGTTGCTCCAAGCTAGTTCTGGCTAGCTAATACAGGGAAGCCAGTTAACCATGAACAGTAGGACATCAATGTTTCCGTTTCTATTTAACTGTTATGTTTTTCGTTACTGGAAGAGCTAGCAGAAGATACGACAAATCAGTCAGTTACAAGTACATCATTTTCCATCTGTCAACAAATGTGTTTAACGAAGCTGGCTGGCTACGTTAGCTCCAAGACTTCAGCTGCCTGGCTCGAAGTCTCCTGTAAGGTGTGGTGCTGGGACAATGTTTGGATGGAGTTCAAACAGCCAGAACATATGCGCCCCCACTGCGGCTCGCGGGTTATAAAGGTATTAAAGCTAACCAGCTGCCCTTTTAGTCATATTAATAACACCGCCAAACACCTATCACCACCGTCTGTGAAGTTTACTTGTAATGTTTTTCAGCAGTAAACGAGCTTGCTAGCTAACGTTAGCTAGCCTGGATGGAAACAGTTAACGCTAGCTAGCTAAGAAATGTTGTTATAGCTCTTGTCATAGCTACGATTAGCTCTATGCCTCGCTAGCACTGTAACTTAACAATAGGAAAACCAGCAAGACCGCTGTCGGTTATAAACGTAAGATTGTAGCAAATGTTATTTACCTTTAAACAAATAGTCATATTCGTCGTCTCTTGTTCCCATCTTGATCAAAACAAAGGTTAAACAGAGATAGATAAACACTTAGCAAGTAGAAGTGGCCGCCGCCAGCCCTGTCCTCCCCGCTCCGCTGCTGCACTGCAGTCAGATTGTGTGATTAGGCGGTAGCCATGCTAACTAGTTAGCAAGCGAACGAGCTTCATTCAGGGGTTCAAAACAATCAGTACCATTTCAAAATAAAAGCTTCGACTAAGCGACGACTAACCCTAAAGATGATGGGTCGTGCTATGAGGGAAAACGCGCAGTCTTACGTTAATTAATTTAAATCAACTTTGAATGCTTATCCCCGTGTTACTGGAAAAAAAACTGAAAAACTTGCATCAGACCCAATTCAATAAATTGAACAAGAACTTTTAATTTTTTCAGGGCTACTCTCTGGCAATTTTACACACTGATATTATAGTTTTTTCTGCATTTCTCTTCACAGACTACATCTGTACATTTCTCTTCACATACATACACATGTACACATACATATGTACTACATATGTACATGTGACTGTCAACAGGAATGGATGTTTGTATGTGTATGTGACAGTGTGCATGTATAGCAGAATGGGAAATTCTGTTGTCAGTTACTGTGGGCTATTAAATAACCAAAGACAAATTTCTTGGATATGCAAACATTCTTGGCCATTAATGTTTGCATTTAATTCTCTAATATATTTCTCTCTTTGCATCTAGTTCTCCAATTCTTTAAGCCTTTCCTTTTCTAATTATTATAGACAGCAGTTTTAACACTTCGAACAGATTCCGTTCACTCCAGAGTAGCGTTTGACTTGCACTTTTGATCACTGAATTGCTGAAAAAAAAAATCTGAAAAAAATATTGATTTTTTCTTTTTATGTATGCCAGTATTTTTGTTTTTGCTCTGTTGTCTTTCTGTCTGAAGTGTTCAGATCCTGCTGCTGCCTCAGTAACCAGTCTTGCCCGTAGGGATGATGCTGGCTAAAAGGTGGTCTAAACAAAAGCTTATTTTTGCCTGTGGGATGCATCAAAGCTGTCCATTATCACCTTTAGTTTTTGCTTTGACAATAGAGGCTTAATACTTTTAAATGTAGGACTTTATCCTGTATTTATGGTGTAACATAGGAAAGAATAGTGAGCTTTCATTAATGCTAACTCTAAAGACAGTCTGTCTTTCTTTGTCAGAATTTTTTTCAGAAAAAAAACAAAACATATACCTCCACTTTTTTCTATTTTTATTTTTCTACATCGGTTGAACAAAACAGCTGTCCTTTGCTTTGTTTGAAAATGTCATGAAAAATGGGGGAACAGGAATGCTCCAAAATGGTTAGGAATAAAATGTCTTTGCACTAACCTGCATTAAAAGTTCTCAAAACATTTCTGTCTTCTTCTGTAAAGTTACAGTTTTGGAGATACATGTTTTTTTTTAAAACAACAAAGTTATCTTTGATTTTACTTGGAAGAATTAATGCAGCAAAAGTGAATATCCTGCCCAAATTTCTTTATTTGTTCCAATCAGTTCTCATCTTTTTTTCAAGGCCTTATGTACTACCATATTTCCAAAAAAAGTTGGGACGCTGTGCAAAATGTAATGTCATTTAAACCCTATATTTCATTGAAAGTAGTACAAAATATCAAATGTTGAAACTGAGAAATTTTATTGTTTATCGAAAAACATCTGCCCATTTTGAATTTGATGCCAACAACATGTTCCAAAAAAGTGTGAACATGTTGGAGGAACAAAGGTCTGGTAAATTTGTGTAATGCTAAAAAAACAACTGGTAGTTAATTGGCGACAGGTCAGTTACATGATTGGGTATAAAAAGAGTATCCCAGAGATGCTGAGTCTTTCAGAAATAAAGATGAGGAGGGGTTCACCACTCTGTGAAAGACTGCACAATCAAATAGTGCAACAATTCAAGAAAAACATTTCTCAACATAAAATAGCAAAGAACTTTTGCTTTTCATCATCTACAGTACATAATATCATTGAAATATTAAGAGAATCTAGAGAAATATCTGTATGCAAGGGACAAGGCCAAAAAACAGTATTTGCTGGCTGCGATCTTTGACATGATTCTGTAGTGGAAATCACTGCATGGGCTTAGGAACACTTCTGAAAACCACTGTCTGTGAAAACAGTTAATCACTGCACCCACAAATGCAAGTTAAAACTCTAAAAAGCAAAGAAGAAACCATATATAAACAGGACCCAGAAACCCTGCCACCTTCTCTGGGCCTGAGCTCATTTAAAATGGACTGAGCCGAAGTAGAAAAGTGTCCTGTAGTCTGATGAATCAACATTTCAAATTCTTTTTGGAAATCATGGACACTGTGTCCTCTGGGCTAAAGACCACTCAGCTTGTTATCACTGCACTGTTCAAAAGCCAATATTCATGATTCATGTTTTGGCAACATATGCTGCCATCCAGATGACGCCTTTTTCAGGGAAGGCCTTGCTTATTTCAGCAAGACAATGCCAAACCACATTCTGTATGTATTACAACAGCATTGCTCTGTATTAAAAGAGTCCGGGTGCTAAATTGACCTGCCTGCAGTCCAGACCTGTCACCACTGAAATGAAAAATATGACAAATGAGCCCCAGAACTGTTGAGTAGCTGAAATCCTGTATCAAGCAAGAATGGGAAAACATATCACTTTCAAAACTACAGCAACTGGGCTCCTCAGTTCCCAAACACTTACAGAGTGTAGTTAAAAGAAGAGGTGATGAAACACAGTGGTAAACATGCCCCCGCCCCAACTTTTTTGGAATGTGTTGCTGGCATCAAGTTCAAAATGGGCATATATTTTTCAAAAAACAATCAAATTTCTCAGTTTCAACGTTTGATACGTTGTCTTTGTAGTATTTTCCTTTAAAAAATACACTTTATATGATTTGCATATCAATGCATTCTATTTTTTTATTTACATTCTGCACAGCGTCCCAACTTTTTTGGAAATGTGGTTGTACTATAAGTGTGTTCAATTTGCCCTCATACAGTTCAAAGCATTAAACAATATTTTAACCTGTCATAACTACATCCACAAAATAGGTGAGACAGATGTTATGATTCTCTCTGTGATCTTAGTCGTATGTTCTTCTTCTGTCCAAATTTGTAGTTCTCTGGGTTGGTTTGTTAATGCACTTTCTGAGGTCCTTGAAATTCACCTGCAGGCTTGTCCAGTGATTGCTATTCTTGGAGTTCCCAGAGACATAATCTCTCTCAGTACTAAATAAACAGAAATGGTAACATTTGCATTTCTGCTAGTGCAACATCTTCTGTCTTCTGTGGAAATTGGTAAACTCCCATTTTCAGTGGCTAAAAGATTAAATGCTTTTCTTTAAACCCAGGATAATTCAATTAAATTATTTCTTCTGTTCTTCCAGAGATTAAGTCCTTTATCACCTGTGGTGAGAGCTGGGGGAGCTGTCCCAAACGTTTCTTTGTCTTGATCCTAACTATTGTACAACTTGTCTGCGTTTCTTTCCTTCTTTTTTATATATAGTTAATTTAAATAGTTTGTAACTAATTTTTGCTTTATTTCAATTTCTTTTTTGCCCACTCCTACAGCAAAATGTGGGATGATTCGGTCTCATTGATGAGACGTCACGCTTTCTTGTGTTTAACATAGAATTTAACGAAATTAGTGTTTGTTGGGCTATCGGTCTTTTATTGTGTAAAACCGGATACTTCCGATTAAATGAATAAAAGAACCGCTGCCTGATTTTAATTGTTCGTGTGTACACACGTATGTTGTATGTATACGAACCTAAAACACTTTATTCACGAATAAAAGAGCTTAAAATACAAGTCTCACACCTGTTATCTGTCAAGATGTCTGACCTCGGCTTCCTCTCTCAGAGGTTCCATGGTGTAATGGTTAGCACTCTGGACTCTGAATCCAGCGATCCGAGTTCAAATCTCGGTGGAACCTATACATGTTTTACTCCCCACAGCATCGCTGCAGGAACGGAAGAAAACAGTGATGTAATGCAGTGTTTCCCAACGGCGGAAAAACACGCAACTGTGCATCACAGCTGGTCGAGATAGCTTTATAAACACTGATGTAATACATCTGTTGCATAAGCAAGTTTTTGTGTGTCCAAAGAAGGACCGAACTGACCGAATGAGCAACAGAGAAAGAAGCAAACAAAGAACAAATTCAAACGGACTTCAGGCTAAGTGCCTTAAATGCCTCTTTGTGTCAACATATTTAACTCCGAAAAGAAATAATGTCTGAATTCACTTGAATTATTGGCGCACTGCCTGCGACCGGCCACACGGGAGCAGCACTTCGCCAACGAATGAGAAGACATTCCACAATGTTCTTTGAATACTCCACTCATCACTGGTGTCTGTAACATTGCTCTTCGGCTGAATGAGGGGTTCTCAGCCTTTTTCACCCATTTATCATTAGAAAGTGTGAAGGCCCACAGGAAATTCCAAGAAAATCTGGGCTAATTCGATGATGCTCGGGTGCCTACACACTTAAAAAAGAGGGTTCTTTAGTAAATAAGTCTATGGTTCTATATAGCACCAAAAATGATTCTTCTGTAATGTTATAAGCTTGACACTGTAACAACAGCAGAACCCTTTTTGGTCCTTTATACAATCATTTTCAACAAGGTTCTATATAGAACCATATACAACACATTCTCCATTAATCTGAAGAACCATTTCACGATCCACATAAACATTTTATTATGAAATAGTTCTTTATAGAACTCATGCCTTTACTAAAGTCCCCAAAAGAGCTATCTTTTTTTGAATGTGCACCTAACACAAGTCACTGAACATAAAATATGAAAAGATTAGGCCAACATTAGTCTGGTTTATATAAAAACCAGACAAAATGGTAAGTGTTTTTCGTTTCGGGCAAGAATTATGAAGCTGCTTTGTGCATTGTTGTTGCAGGGCTTATTAATAGCGTTCACCCTTTGAAAACATTTTCCATTGCTTTTTATTACAAGTGCCTTCAACGGCCTACTGAAGACCCTCTCAGCATAGGCCCGAGGACCACCAGAGGGTAGCCTACTTCCCGGCCTTCTTGTGGTCCACGGCCCACTGGCTGAGAAACCCTGGACTAAAACATTCACTACAGTAACACCTTAATTTGGGAGCTCGCACTACCAAAATTCTGATTCTCATAAACAGCAGTATGTCTCAGAATAACGAAGCCTCAGCCTTCTCACACCTAAACTGCTCGCGAACACGTTTTGTTCACTATATTCTTTTCAAAATCACCGATTTTGCTGCTCAGGCGGCCGGGATGCCCACTGCCTCCGCCCCGGTGAACTGACGTCCTTCGCTCGCTGGTGGTCACGTGCGCAGAGAGCAGGTTTAGGGTCGGCGCGTGCGCGTGGAGCGCCAGCGCATCCCAAGAGAGAAAGAGGGAGAGACAGAGAGCGAGAGAGAGAGGAGAGCTAACGGCGGTGTGCTGATCGAGAGGAGCTCTCACACATACGGTATTTATTTAGCTCGTTTGTTTAAAGTCTACGGGAGATAACAGGTCGGTTCTGTAACGTACCCGAAATAACGTGTAGAGCTGAATTAACGGTTTAAGCTTCAATTAACTGACCGTCAAAGCGCCGTTCTACTGATCCCGTAAGTGTTGCTGCAATATAAACCATTCTGTTTGTCAAATGTGTCATTTTAGTGAAATATTTACCTCATTATTAATAACCGAAACAGCAAACTGTGCGGAAATGTGCTGTTTTAGCTGAATTGGTGTAGCTGGCCGACAGAGCGGTGATGTCGGCGGCCGTGTGGACGTAACGTAACGTAAGTGTCGCTGAGGGTTGATTTGTTTTGCTAAAGGCTCTCGTGTTGTGATGATGTCGGCCCGTTCAGGCTTTACCATCAAAGCGTAATTTAGTACGCTACAGCGTTATATACAAAAGCTTGGTCATTATTTATATGTTTATTTAGTTATCCAGTGAATATTTTTTAGAAGTGTTAGACTATACGAATATTTTGGTCTTTGGCTGCAGCCATCAACGTGATCTCATGACTCACGAAGCCCTCCATCCCCTTTGATGGTGATAAATAGTGTAGACCACCAACTACGGGTTTGTATTCTGTGAACACCCTAACTGCTTTGCTCTCAGTTTGCCTGTATTGGTTTACTGGCATGGTGGAACAGGTCAGTGCGGCCAGTCCATGTGAACAGATCCCTGTGGATCTTTAATGGATGAGGGAAAGATCGCTTTCATGTTCTCATTTGATATGCTGGATATTGATGAAAACAGTTTCCAGCTCTGTGGATGAGCGTTCAGTCTGAAATCCGCATGCTTATTTAGTACCAAAGCATTTGAAGTTACTGTGGAAAATTTCAAGTTCAAAGACAGTAAAGATGTATGTATTACATGCCTCCTGCTGATTTATTCCTGGCCTGAGAGTGGGTTTAAATCGTGTCAGATTTCTGAGAAACTCTCTGTAGCCTTGGTAAAGCAGACTCATAAATGGAGTGTGTAGGACGTAAATGGGTGTGTAGGTAAAAATTTGCCAGTACGATACCATGTGAAATCAGTTATGATATGAATTATGATTGTTAATGTTCATAAATGGCTGTATTTGTGTTTGAGTTTGTGTAAGTCCTAACTGAGGAGCCACTCCACCCACAGGAGTACATTAGATTAGATTGTTGTTCATAAGTGATGATGAGATTTTTGTGGTCAAACTTGCCAGCCCACACTGACAGGGCAGGGCCGCTTGCCTAAAGCCTGGGTGTTGTGTTTACTGAAAAGGGTGATTTAATTTCTCATCAACTTGAACAGCCTTATTTGTGACATGTCCAATTGAGACGTTTGTCATGTTGTCATATTCTTTTTAAAACTGCTTTTAACAGTTCAGCGTATCTTGATGGCCTGTTTTATTTGCATTTATTAAATCCTTAGATAAATTAATAAATGCAACCTGTGAAGCTTTGAACATGAGCTGTATGGAATGCAGCCTGAAACATATCAGTGATCTTGTCAGAGGTAAAATGTTGATCCTCAATTGCTCTTGGATGTGCCATTCTTTGTGGTAAGAACTTATGTTGTTTTACCTGTAACCCAGTCTGGTCTCTTGGACAAAACATTTTGGGATAGGAATAACTAGCCTGCCTCCTCCTTTCCTAAGTATGCGGATGTCTGCTTGTGTCTCGCCATGGTGCAGAGGAGTCAAATGTCCACCTCTGTGGCTTAAGCAGGACCAGATGCTTGGCCAAGTGTGCTGTGTTAGTTCCCGCTTCCTGCATTCCCCCCTTGGCCTCCCTGCTGCTCCAGAGCTGTGCTTTAGCAAGAACCTCCCTCGTGCAGACAGCACTGGCCCTGGGCCACAGAACCCGGCTCCTAAACAGCTGCATGAGATCAGGCTCATTGTTTTTGACAGACTCTTGAATTGGCTTATCCTCGGCCTCCTTAGAGCCACAGGCTGGTGAAAGAAGGGCAATGCTTATCTTGCCAGCAGCCACGAGGAAGCCTCCCAGAGAGTGAAGATAAACAATACAGCTATTGGAAGATGGCACGCTGTTGCACCACTGCCGGGAAGACTATTGTCCGGGGAGAAAGAGTTCGTTTTTCACATTGGGAGAATTTAAGGCTTTTAGGCCATGGTCTGTTAGCAGTGATCTATGAGCAGCTAGCGCGTCTAAATCGCTCATGCCACTTTAGTGTTCGCTGCCCTACTACCCTTGTTTAGGTCCTAGAATGCTAGTTCGTACTACGCTTGTTTGCCTTGATTCACAATTGAATATTTCTGCCGATAAGCAGCATCACATGAATCATCACTGTACATGGTTTACATTCCAGTAGAAAACTGAAGTTGTACAGTATTGACATCCTGTTCTGGTCTCGGAAGCTGAGCCAGCATCAGTCTGTTGAGTTGCGATTTCTCCAGTAGATGTGACTCATTTCAAATCAGCCAATTTAAAGTGAAAAAGGGAACCACTGCAACTACTAGCCTGGGGTCAGTTCTCCTGGTCCTCAGTTCCTTAGAGACTGGCAGGAAGTCAGTCATCGTTAGAGCAGAAGAGTTCCCTGTCTCTTAATTGGTGACCCAAGGAGGCAGTGTCTGCTCACGCACTCAGTGCTGTACTTACGCAAGTTCCTCATGGCAGGATTTCCGCTGCGTGGGACCCACACCGACTCTGTGATGAAAGCAGCGCTTCCAGTTTGTTTCCGGACATTCCTCCATTTCTGTATGATGTTGCCATGGTGTTTCTCAATCAGGACGTTACTTCCTGTCTATGCCTGCCCATTTTTGTCAAGACATGTCTGATGAGTGATGAGTCAGGTTCAACAGTTATCTTAGTTGAATCAGATAACTGCTGTCTACCTAAAGGCTTTCATTGACTTCAACGGTTATCATAGTAATATTATTGTCTCAGGTCACTCCCAATTTGAAAATGAATCAGATGTTGAATTAAGCTTTCACTTATGGCTTTCTCAAAGTACAAAGATTGTCATTAAACTGTAAATTTAGTTGGGATGTAAGATGCTAATTATACTGAATAAAATATTCTTCTTCATCAAGTTTTGACATTTACAGATCTTACAAACATCACTGCAGATCATTTTTTAGGCTTGTATATAATTTCTCCCTTCTCAGCAGAACAGAAAACAATAAACATTTTCTGCTTCTTTATTTTTTTTTTCACCATCGTTGCCATGGTGAAGATTATAATTTCTCTGTGCTTGCTGCCAGTCTCAGCGGATGGCGTGGTTTTTGGACTGGGAGATTATGTCTATATATAATCCTAAATCTCTCACGTAACATGTGACACATCTGCTGTGTTTTGCGTCCATATTTTTAGCGGAGTTTTCTGCAGCCTGTGGCCTGTTGCACAGGTGTGGGTGGATCTGGGAACAGAGATGTTTGATAGTGGGCGGCCTCGTGTCTGTTGCTCAGAGAGAGTGATCAGAAATGCTGTTGTTTTGCAGCTCAAACTCTAAACGATTTTGTGCAAAAACATAGAAAGCAGAGGGAAAAAGGATCCAGGAACATGCGTTGATTTTTCTCTCAGAGCTGGAGGGGGCAGAGCAAGCATGTTCTAGATGTGCCTCTAGCCTCAAGGTTTTATAAGGATGAGAAGGATTAGGGGTTTACTCCCTACGTTTAATCTCCGAGTCTAGTTCACACCATTGAAACCAGCTATTTTTGTCACCATCCTCAAAATATACTACAGCATATAAACAAATGCTGCTTAATCTTCATCTCCTCTAACAAACCAGCTTCTCTAAATAAACATGGGTGTGTATGAAGAAGTCCTCACGAAGGAGCTAGTCAGTAGGTCAGTTTTGTTTCCTAAGCTTTTAAGCCTTGTCCCGTGACTCCGCTGGCCCATAATGGAAACCACTGAAAAGCCATTACCTCCAAAGCTCTTGGCCACCTTACACCCTACAGAGAGCCAGAGAAAGTGCTCGTCTGCTGTATTAGTATGGATGATGGCACTCAGCGGGCCCACAAAAGTAGGCCTGGACAAAAGCCTGTCTAATGATATCAGTACTGTAATGTAAAATTAAAAATGTTAAAAAATTGGTATAATGAGCTGGCAGTAGAGGGTTAATACTGTTATTCTTGGCCTGTGACTGCAATATTACGCTCATTTAAATTCCAAGATGTTAGCCAAATCTGCTGCATGGCATTAGTTAACAGGCAGAAAGTACATTTATTAATGCAATGTATGATGATGGTATAAAATCAGTGTTTTTGTACACCTAACATCTTGTTTTTATAGTAGGGTCTGATTTATACTTTAACTGCAAAAGCGTTTCAGATTGCGTGTAGATGTAATTAGTGGGACATCTTGACCCAGTATTACATTGAACAATGGTAGATGACTTTATTAGCCCTGTCCTATACTGACCCAGCAGGGGCATGGATCTAGCCGTTTGTCACTGATTCTGTGGGCATGGGCGACCTGCAGGGAGAAAGTGATAAAGCAGGTAGGGACACACACAGCCACGCACCACTGGCCACAATCTCGCTGCTATTTATGGGACCATGAAACGCAGAGAGAATCAGTCACACTCAGCTGGTTATATGGTTGGAGTTCTGTTCTAGACCAAGGAGGTACTTTCACATGTGTGCTGTAAAATCCCCAGCCTTAGCCCATTTAGAGGAACTGCTGAGATGCTTGTGGCATTTCTAATAGCGACATCTGTTCTTTTGGAAACAGCACATTTCTAATGTCACAACACAAGTCAGTCTTGATTTATTCTATTGACACTTCTTACATGGATGTGCACTCCATTTAAATGTTTATTCTCATAGTACATTTATTCTGTGATGAGAAATTGCACAAATGCCTTCAAAGATCCATAGCTCATACGATCGGAAATATGCCTTTATGCACAGCAGGAATGCTTGGTAATTGCTACCACATGCTCTTTTTCCTATTTCATCCAAAGTTAGTGGCATATGAGTCAGTTTTTGCTGTGCGGGTGTGTTAGATGGTATCCTTTTCCAAGCATAGGAAATACAGCAAGAGAACTAGAGCAGAGAAAGTCATGGCACACTCACAGTGTTCTGTACATTTATGCTAAATGTGGAGTTTTTTGCATGTCTATATATAATCACTGCTTGAGCAAACAGCTGAGTTTTTTAAAATGTCTTTTTTTTACATCAAGGAGATGCTGGAATGCGTTTTGTGTGCATTACTATGCATTCTTTAGATATACCTCCTGCAATGTAGTCATGCCTCATCATGCTTCTGTGCAAAAAAATCGGTGTTGTATCAGAGATTCACAATAGCCAGTTACTGTCTGTCCTTAAAAGCAATATGTGATATTCCTGTATTTGGCATTCATGGTTTAGGCTAAAGTTTCACATAACTTTCTAAAGCGAGTGTCTTCCTGTAATGTAGACCTTGTGTGTCCTACTTTCCTCTGCCTGCATTTGCCCCTCTCTCATGTACTCTCACTCTCTTTTTCTCTCCCCTCTCTCCCTGCCTACCTCTCAGATATACTGTCCTCTCTCTATGGGGAAGGTAGAAGATGGAGGACAAAAGCCCACGTGTAGCGGACTACTTTGTGGTGGCAGGCCTGACCGACTCCTCTAAACCTTTCGAGGAGGATGTGACCTCAGAGGAGGGCTGCCAGAGGAGCTCGGCTCAGCCCAAGGCCCCCATCACCGATGTGGCGGTGGTTATTCGCTCTCAGGGTGAGGAGGTACCACGGGGCTACACCTGCATAGACTGCACCCCCTCAGGCCTGCCCGCCGAGCTGAACGGAGGCAGTCTCATGGGCCCACAGATATTCCTGTGTTACAGACGAGGCCGGGACAAGCCACCCCTCACTGACCTTGGGTGAGTTCATCTGTGTTTACCCTTCCCATGCTCCAGTGTTTTCTAGTTTACAGGAGATAATTATAATAGATATATAATAGCAGTATATGAAATAGATAGTAATAGTGTATTAACGAAGCAAAGTTTGCTTAAGCAATAATTGCTGAAGTAAATAATGATTTGGTTTGTGAGAAAATCTTCGAGTAAATCTCAATATTTTGGAAATAAGGCCTAGGATAATTCATGCAGCTTGACGATACCTTGTACTTATGATTAGGTATTTTGTGTTTTTCCTGTTTAGCTTTTAAAGTCTGGAGTTACATGATTCAGCTTTCAGGCAAGAAAAGAAGCAGTTGCATCAATAACACACTGAAGACATTAGAATTCAGAACATCTCCATATCTATTTTTAGATGCAAAACAACAAAATGTAAAAATGTGTCCAGTGTGCATAGAGACAGCATTCTCTGAGAAACAAATCTTAACATAATATAATCACATTTAATCACCTAAAGCAATTCACTTTTGATTACATTTCTTTGTAGAAATGGATCTTTTAAAGATATACAAAAATGACATTGTATATTGTGAAGCATGTATGCACCAACATTGTCTGTTCCCCTGCTTATTTTCCAGAGTGCTCTATGAGTGGAGGGAGAAACTAAAGCCAGGCTGTCACATTATCCAGACCACACCCTCCGGTCGCCCAGCCAACATCAGTAGTTCCTCCTCCCAGAGGATATACATTACGTACCGGCGTGCCCCTGAGAGTCATTCTCATTCCTCATTGGCTGTCACAGACATTTGTGTCATTATTCCTGGCAAAGGAGAGACACCACCACATGCCTTCTGCAAGGTGGACAAGAACCTCAATAGCAGCATGGTGAGCAGTTTTGCCCTTCTTACTTACAGGCATGTGATCAGTGTATAAATAGTCCTGTGTGTGATAATTCAATACCGTTACAGCCCTGAATGCTAAAACAGCACCCAGGATTAGTTCTGAGTTTACTAACAGATAGAGTTGTAAACATATATTATGCCAGTTTTAGTGGTTGTGGTGCTGTTTTTAAGTCTCTGTTTTTTCAATATTTTTTTCAATTGCCAGCTGCAATAATTCAGCAAAGTTTCACCTTTTTGCCTGCTTTCTGTCCTTTTTCAGTGGGGGTCCTCAGTATACCTGTGCTACAAAAAGTCTTTGGCCAAAACCAACACTCTAGCATTCAAAGCAGGTGTGTACCGAAATGTACTTAAATCACCTATACAAGCTATAAGCAAAAGTGGTTTTCAGCTGAGCAAGAGCAAGAGTGCAGCAGCAAGCCAGTTCCCCATCATCGGAGAGACAGGGGCGGTGGTCATGCGGTGATTGATACTCTCACAGGGCAAGGGGAATGTGAAATCATGATACAGATGCTCATTGCCAGAACATGTCCAACTCATGGGAATAGCGCTTATGTGTTATGGTTGGGCTGCACAGCCCAGTCGGATGAAGCTCTAGCCCCAGACTTTTGCCTCTAATACATTTTTCACATGGAAGAATTACCACATAACTGATGATGTTTATTGTCTGTCTTCAGGCCTCTTGTCCAGGTACCCTGAGGACGACTATGACTCTTTCCCTCTGCCTGAGTCAGTACCCCTCTTTTGCCTGCCAATGGGAGCCTCCATAGAGTGCTGGCCCTCGCACACCAAATACTCTCTCCCTGTTTTCTCGACATTCGTACTCACAGGAGCCTCTGGAGAGAAGGTGAACACACAGTTACTTCTAAATGCATGCTTGGGCACACACACTGCACTGTTCAGTCCTCAAGTCTGCCCCTGCTCTGATAGCGGTTTCAATAAAATCAGACACAGGCGAGAGAGGTGAATTCTCTTGCTTCTTTCAGAACTGTGGTAGGAATTTCAATCAGCAAGAGACTTATGTGCAGCATATCAAAAAGTCACATGAATCATGACCTACAAAAGGAAAATTCAAAGGGAGATGAACATTTATAATTGGTCTGCTTAATAATGCATAGGCCAAATTCTGTTTGGGCTAGTAGAGAGTACATTAGGATCACCAAGCGCATCAACGCACTCCTACAAGCACAAGTCCCCAGGCTATTCACGTTGCACCATTCTGTAATTTATTCATTTAGGTGAGTGACTTCAAAGAAGCCTGACTATGTCGAGATATTTCAGATCTGGCTGTTCTGAAAAGAAACAGACAGCCTAAAAACAAAGCAGTGTCTCTTGAGCAAGAAAAGAATTGGCGTGCCTGGAAGAATATTTATTGGAGACTGTTTCAAAAATAGATCAAAACAATTGATCTGCACTTTGATAATTTGATGGCACATGTGGGCCAATTTATGTTTTTCCATGTCCTGAAAGCATTATGATGTTGACTGTTTGTGACATCGAATTGATGGGGTGTGTGTTGCATGTTCAGGTTTACGGTGCAGCCATCCAGTTCTATGAGCAGTACCCTGAAGAGAATTTGACAGAGAGACAGCGCTCTCAGCTAGGCCTGCAAAGCGGTGGCCTGAAGGCAGACGACTCCATTTCAGTTCAAACCAACAAGAGCATCTGCCTTCTCTCTCACTGGCCCTTCTTTGATGCCTTCCGCAGCTTCCTCACCTTCCTCTACCGCTACTCCATTTCTGGACCTCACACACTGCCCATTGAGAAGTTCGTGTCTTAGCAAGTCTCTTTATCTTTTGATTATTTTGTTTTGGATTTGCATGAATATATTTTGAACTAAATCCATTTGGATATTAAGGTTTAAGTATTAAACTAAATTCATTGTGTCTTCACTCCAGGCATATCTCTCATTTTATGCACAAAGTTCCCTTTCCCTCTTCTCAAAGACCACGGATTCTTGTGCAGGTGAGTTTGGCCTTTGCTAGATGCTTCCACCCTTTGAAACATTGAGTAAGAAGGGTGCTTGGTAGTTTAGCCGTGCAGCTTTTTAAATAGGTATGTATGTGTTTTTACACAGCTGTCTCCACATGATAGCCTGATGCTGAGCCAGCCAGTGTCCTCTCCTCTGCCTCTGAGGTAGGTCACGCAGACTGTGTCAGGTGAATGCTGCTGTTTACGTGATGAACTGCCCCATCCATTTATAGTTGCCCTTCTGCTTCAAGCCTGTTTCATGTGTAATTGAACAGTCAGAACATATTTCATGACTATATTCTGTGTGGGTAAATCTCTGCCTATGTCTCTGTGTGTTCTCCCTCAGTGGTGGAAGGCTCTCCACACTGCTGATGAACCTGGGTCCTAAGAATGCAGTTACTCTACTGGTTCTGGCTGTGACTGAGCACAAGATTTTAGTGCACTCTCTGCGGCCGGCTGTGCTGACCAGTGTGACTGAGGCCCTAGTGTCGGTGAGTGTGCTGACCTTCACTGCTGAGCAGGGCTGTACCTACATGCTGTCCGCTAGACTTCCTGACACAGTTGGCTTCACTTCCAGCTGTCCATCATTGTGTCAGTGCTCTAAGTTTTGGGGGGATTGTGCTGAGAGCGTTAGTTTCTTTTCTTGTGGTTCTTTTGTCTTAACTGATAGTCAGACTTCTTGAAATTGCTCAGGCTTTAAACTCTTTACTGCAGAATTGTATTACTGCATGGTGTGTGCAACATATGCATTGCTACTGGTTATTCCTTCTATTATGGATTGAGCCTGTAAGAGGGTACTGAATATTTACACTCTTTGTTGCCTCTAGATGATCTTCCCCTTCCACTGGCCTTGCCCTTACATTCCTCTGTGCCCGCTAGCTCTGGCCGATGTCCTCAGCGCTCCATGCCCGTTCATAGTCGGCGTCGACTCGCGCTATTTCGACCTGTACGAGCCACCAGCAGACATTAGCTGTGTGGACCTGGACACCAACACAATCTCCCAGTGAGTGATCTTTTGACCTCTGCATAGTTCTGAACTCTCCAGAGAGTCTCTTTTGGAGCTTGAACTGTGATCTTAAGCTCAACTTAGCTCTGAGCTTTTCCATAAAAATTCCAAGAAAATTGAATCCTGTTTTCCCTCTCATAATTTTAAAGTGGACTTTCTGCTTTGACAAAGATTTTAAGTTATGTTCAGTAAAGGTTCTTAACAATGTTAATGGGGAAAGTTATCTCGATCCATATGGTCATTACATTAGTGCTAAATGGCTCTTAACGGTGTTCTCCAAAAGATAAGAGACCCAGTCCCCCATGTGGTGGCCACATGCTCCTGTTTGTTAGCCAGTTGGAGGATGTTGAGGAGTTTATTGAGGTCAACAGGGCCACATTGCTGTCAGATGGAGTTCTCAGCTTTGCTGTCTGTGGGCCTGGCTCCATCTCCTCTTTTCTCCATTGTTTACTCTTACTTTCTCCTCCCTCTAATGATAAATGTCTGTGCGGTTTCAGCAAAGAGGACCGCAGAGCCCTCACGTGGAAGATCCTGCCAAGGAAAGCCTGCAAACATCTGATCAACACCCTCAGCAATCTCCACCAGCAACTGCTGGAGGGTGAGTGTAACGTCAATATGGTGTCGGCAGACTAGAGAATATTTTTTTCACTCTCGCTTTTCTCCCCTCTGAGTCTCCATTCAAGGACATATTTGGCACAATTCACTGCACTAGAAAGGCTGTCTAAGTGGACTTGCCCTGTCCATTTTGGAATGTGGCTGTATCATTTTATCACTTATCCAGGCTTTTATTAACGGTTGACAGAATAAAATGAGGTAACAGCACTAAGCCTTGAAATGCTTTTTGATTTAAAGGCAGAACACTGTGCTGGCCAGAGACAAGGCCAGGATCTGAGTACCTCTTGAACCTTGTGATGTTATCTGTGTATTGCCTGAGTGCTGATTGATGGTTCTGTTGAAGCCACTGAACTTAACTCTGGTCAGCAGTATATATTCTCTTTCGCTATGTACAGTATGATAGGTATGCCTCTTAACATGTGCTTTAAATGTACTATAGTTCCTTGTATGATTACGTTAGAGAGCACAGTGAAAGTGTGCTAGTGAACATTACATATTCATTGCGTCCCTGATGTGATTTAGGAGTACACCATGTTGTTTCTGTTTAAAAAACAAGTGATGGATCACAGCTCACTCTAGTATATCTGTAGTATATCAGTATACATGTTCCTTGCATAACTATGAAAGGGTAAATGGATCTTCTTCAGATGAGATAGGAGTAAAGACTCTGTGACCTTCACTTATGTAAGGCGTATAAATTTTCTTCAGGTTATCAGCTGAGTCGTGAAGAAGGGCAGATGGAGGCGGCCATGAGTGAGCGGGACCCTGGCAGTGGTGTGAAGAGTCTGCAGACGTTGGAGTTAGAGATTCAAGAAGCTTTCCTGCGCTTCATGGCTGCCATCTTGAAGGGTTACCGCTCCTACTTGCTTCCCATTACGCAGGCGCCCTCAGAAAAAGCGACTGATGCCAGCTCTCTGTTTGACCTGCAAGGTGGGCTTTGCCTCTATTTGTTTATCTGGTTTCAGTTTTTTATTAAATACTGTATCTTCACCTTATTTTGCTGAACAGTAGTGCCAGATACGATTGAATCCAACAAAAGAATGTAGCTTGTTTAGAGGCAGAAAAGTCCACAGGAGTTCTTTGGGAGAATGCTTAAGCTCTGCAGCTGGCCAGAAAGCTGAAATCTGGAACTGTGCCTGTGAAGTCTGGCTCAAATCAGGCCTGAAATTAGCATGGTGTTTTTTTTTTTTCTAAAGACCCAGCTCAAATTAGGCCTGGCTGACATGTCCAGCAAATATCAACACTGACTAGAATGTCTCAGAGCACATCTGCAGCCTCTTATGTAACTAGGGAACATGAGTTAGTTGCACTCTCTTACACCATGTTCTTGCACTGGACCACTCGATCTTAATGTATTGAGTGCATTGAGTTTGACATTATTTGTTAGGTGTCAGTTTGACTTCCCAGCCTTGATTGATTAAATGTGTAATTGTAGGAAACTGGCTGGAAATGAGTGGCCTGTCACTTTAACTGTAGCACACAGTCACTCTTGTCCCTGGAACCTGTGTGTCTGATATTAAAGGTACTCCTTGTTCTGTGCAGGGTTCTTGAAGAGCCGTGACCGCTCACACCAGAAGTTCTACTCTCTCATGATGAAGACTCAGATGTTCATCCGTTTCATCGAAGAGTGCTCCTTTGTCAGCGATAAGGACGCAAGCCTAGCATTCTTTGATGACTGTGTCGATAAGGTAGATCTTTTTTGCCAAATTTAGTTTTTGCATCATTTATGATAATAAGATTATGAAAGATTCTACAGACTTCCCCATTTAATGCTAAGTAAAAACTGCTTAGTTTATAGCTTGAGATCCTACAGTTCTTAATAAAGTGTGTGAGTTTTAAACTATCCTCCAGGCATAAAGCCCAGTGAAGTGCAAAAATCTAAAAAGTTCACTGGAGCGAATGCAGAATGACTTGTAAGAACAATAAGAGTAATATTTTCATTATAAGCTCTGCTGCTCAGATCCTCTGGGATTACTTATGTCAGTTAATTCATGTTCTATGAGCAATGCTCGCTGTTGCAGTCTTCTTCTTTTCAGTTTTCTTCTTTCTCTGATCAATCGCTGTTCTGTCTTTATGCCTTTCTGCCTGTTTTTCTTCCTCACTCTTTGGTTTAACGCTTGTCTTTATTGCTTACGTGGAAAGCTCTTTGGCACAGAAAAAGGAGGAAAGGTAAGCAGCTAGATTCTGCTGTGTTTTCATTTAGGAATACAGAAGTGTTTGTTTAGAGGAATTCTGCCTCAGTTTGCGCTCAGTTCTTTCTGCAACAGTTATTTCTTTGCAACATAATTATCAGGAAGACCAAGGGCAAAATTTTTTGTTTAATTTGTCATCATCAAGGCAAGCTAATTTACACAATTTGGCTGTATGAAAAGAAAATCTATTCAGTCCCTCTTCACATGCAGTGCTTTTGTGACGCAGTGTGAGCTGCATTGACTTTGAGAGTGTGTGAAAGATTTCTTAGGACTCTTAGCTCTCTCTGTGAGTTTGTGCCGCTGGCTTGCATTATTAAAGCACCATTACAGTACAGCCCAGACGAGCCTCTGCATAACTAGCAAGACATTCAGAACCGCCCAGCATTTATAATTCATCCAGCGCCTCACGTCACCGAATGTCTCCGCATATGCTCTGTCGTCTTCACACGTCTCATGAACCTACTGCACATGGACGTTGAATGATGTTATGTTGTGTCCTGTCATCCTGCCACAGTTACTTTGACAGCAATGAGGCAGCAGGGACGGACAGCTTCTTCTTATTTAGAGAAGTAAATGATTTCTTGTTCGCCCTCCACCAGGCTTCACTGTGCAATAAAGAACCGGCAGTGGCTTCACTCTGCCTTACACTGTTCATTAGGTCCGTAAACAGCCAAAGTCACACATCACCTACCCTGGCTTGTCCTTTGCTGTTGAAAGTCTGTGGAGGACAGCGCTTTAGCGGCACACCGGTAATGAAAGTGACGGTGTGAGCTGTTTTTAAAGTGAGTCAAATGTAGCTTGAGCACATTGGCTGGGTTTGCACAGCAGCTGGAACGTTGGCCGGCAGAGCCTGAATGCAATTCAGAGCTGCTCACTGGAATGAAATATGGATGCTCAGAGGGGGCACTGTGACTTCCCTGCCCTGCAGAGCCCAGCACATGCCACTGCACTGGCCTGCACATTAAAGCACTCCTGCTGGAGTTGGAGTCGATGCCATCATGCCCTGCTAAAATAAAAAGCCATTGATCCAAAAAAAGAATCTCAGGTCAGCCTATTTGGCCAGTGCATGTCGGGGCTATTGTGTGTCTGCTCCTCCTGCTTAAGAAGGCTATTTGTTACTTTTTCTAGCAAGGAAATGTACAAAAATAAACAAAACACTTGAGTAACTGATTTTTCCATCCTTTGTCGACAAACAAGAAAAAATGATCCGTTCACTTAGGTTTATTTCTTTGGTCTTGGATGTATGTAGGCCAATGCTTTCTGAAGTGTCGGGGGGGAAGGACATTCAGGCAGAGACATCTACAGGCTAAATATACTGTGGCACTTCCGAGCCACTGGCTAGCCTGCCAATGCACCGCATAGTAATGGTTTCACATCCCTGGAGCAACATGACTTCTCAGCATTAAGTTCAGGTCACTGCACTTGGGGTGTGTGTTTGCGGTAGATGGGGGAAGGCTGGGAGGATCACGGCTTCTTAGTGCGCATGTGAGATCAGCCAGATACAGTGTTGAGGGAGATTATTAAGCTTGTTTGCACTAAAAGCTGTCTCCCATCTGATCCCAGGTCATCTGGTTTCCCCTGCAGGTTTTCATGCCAAATGTCGGCATGGCCAGACTGCAGGAAATCCCTTGGCACTCATTGTTGCCAGGCTGTTGTTTGTGTGTGTAAGGCGGAGGCCCGGCTGTGGTTATGACGAGTCTTTGTTTTAATCCTAGGTGGACAGTGAGAGGCCAGAGGACACAAGGCTCATTGAACTGGACAAATCACATCGCAGTGAGCACACAGTCTACATCACACCCCCAGAGTTGCCCCTTGTGCCTGAAGGAGAGGAGCCATCTATGCTTTATAGGTAAAACACACATACTGCACACATATAGAAATCACAGAAAATGAAACACAAATGGCATACATATAAAATAAAATCAGTTGTTTTCAACAGTCTACAATTTTGAAAAAGCTCCAGGCATGTGTAATCCTCAGTGATTCTTCTCTAGGGATGTGAAGCCCACAATAAAAATCTCCAGGGATCCCAATGTTTATGAATCCCCTCACTCAGCATCCAGAATGTACAATAATAGCTGCCTAGCAGAGCATGTGATCATATTTAAATGCAGCTATTCTTTGGAAATGCACTGCTATTGTGATGTTTTTCAATCTGGCACCTTTGAGCTTGTGCATAGTAGGTTCTAAAGATTCTCTAACAATTCTCTAACGATTGTGACGGATGCCACAATTTATAGTCGTCTGGGTTTTGTATGTACATGACAAATTTTGAGTCAGATTAGTTAAAGGAAAGAGTGAAACGTCTTCTGTTCTGCTGCATTACAACAAACAGTGTTCACAATCCAAAATTTACAAACACATTTTAGTCTATGTAGGCCTGGCAGTCTGCAGTATTGATAGATAACATGTCCTGGCTGCATGTGTTGTGTAGATACAGCGGGTTCCCTGTGCTGAATACAGAGCTTTGTGAGCCCCAGGAGGGCCCCAGCATCCCCATGGCAACCTCGACCTCCAGACACACCAGCCCCGGGAGCCCTGCCGCCATCTTCCGTCGCTCGAAACAGGTGCATCCTCACCTCTTGCTCCTGCTCCATCAAGCCAGAGAATGCTGCTCAAAGAGCATGGCTATTTCTGCCCCTTCTTTTCAACTCTGTCTCTCTGATCCTCCCTCCTTTCATCAGGAGATCAAATCGGCCCAGCGCATGGCCAAGACCTACTCGTCCATCCCTCAGATGTGGTCCAAGTGTCTACTGCGCCACTGTCATGGCCTGTGGTTTATCTGCCTGCCTGCCTATGTGGCCGCGTGCCACTCCAAGGTGCGGGCACTGCGCACCGCCTATGACGTCCTAAGAAAGATGCAGGACAAGAAGTTGCAGCCCCCTGATGAGGTAGACTATGAGAATAGCCAGAATCAATCAGCGTGGAGCTAGTCATCTGAAATAATGGCTGGCTTTTTGTTGTCCTGCTGTGGTGTAACACTTCATTATTTTGTGCCCTTCTGCAGGTGTGTTACCGGATCCTGATGCAGCTCTGCGGGCAGTATGGGCAGCCAGTTCTGGCTGTGCGTGTACTATTTGAGATGAAGAAAGCTGGGGTCCAGCCCAATGCGATAACATATGGATACTATAACAGAGTGAGTGTCACATTGCCCCTAATTGGAACCCACTGGATTACATGTAAACATTGTATTAGTTTTCATAATGTCTAAATTGCTCTGTGCCAGAGATAGCAGTATAAGCTGTGTAAAGATAATGTAAGTAAAAATGCATGTTTTTTTTTTGTCTGAGAATGCATATCAACAGTGATACAGTGTGAGAATTCAGGCTGAATTTAAATAGCTAATCTAATTTTAGAGGCTTACACTAGCATAGATTCCAAGGTCAGCTTTGTTTCACAGGCTTCTTGTCATAAGACAAATGAATACGCTACCTGATAGCTTCTCAAGGGACAGCTAGCATTTCTCTGCCTTGTAAGAAGTCCTGAAAAACACCTAGTAGACACACACTAAGACACATGTCTGGACAGCTGAGAGTTGTTCCAATTCTATCAGAGTAATTACAGCCAGTCCTTGAGAGAGAACACAATCTACTTAAGATAATGAGAGGGGTTACACAGAAGAATTACTTTGTTAATCTGTGTCTGTGTGTGTGTGTGTGCGTGTGTGTGTTTGTGTGCGCGCACGTGCATGTACGTGTACGTGTGTGTGTGTGTGTGTGCGTGTGCGTGCATTTTGTGTGTGTGTGTGTGTGTGTGTGTGTGTGTGTGTGTGTGTCTATGCCAATGCATGTATGTGTTCATGCTCATCTCTAAAATCTCCATGTGTTGTTTCTTTCTCAGGCTGTGTTAGAGAGCACATGGCCTTCCTCCACCAGAGGGGGCTATTTCCTGTGGGGTAAGCTGCGGAATGTGGTTCGGGGTGTGGTGCAGTTCAAACAAGTGTGGAAGAGACAGGCTGGTCAGCCCAAAGATACACATCTCTCAGGTACACACGTCACTGAGAAACAGTAAAAAAAGTGCCAAATTAGATCCAGAGAATAATGGTAAATTGTCAGTACTTTATACAGCATGGTCTGTAAGTAATTTGACAGTAACACAGTTTTTCTTTTTCTGGCTCTGTACCCCAGAACACTGAATTTGAAATGAAACGTTGTCTAGAATATCAATTCGAGTTGTTTCTATCCATTCAAGGGTATTCACATTAGTATGCAGTGGACCACACAGGAATTACAACCCTTTTTATACTTAATGTGATCTAAAATTAAATTTTTAGGTTTAGTACTTGGTTGCAAATCCTTTGCAGTCAATGACTGCCTGAAACTTGTGACTGATAGACATCATTAGATATCCTCCCTGGTGATGCTTAGCCAGGCCTGGAATTCATCCACTTTCTGTCCTTCCTTGTTTTGTAAATCTTTGCATTCAGACTCACCCTAAGTAAGCGAAATGCATGGTTAAAGGGCTTCTTGTGAGGTGAGGCAGTCAGTCTAGGAGCTGAGAGTTCCACTTTTTGGCCCTGACAAAAGCCGTGGTTGCTAGAAGATTTGTGTTGGATCTAAGCAGTTAAGATGCTTCTGTACACTACAGAATTAATTTTGCTTGCAGCTGACTGACTGTAGTCGCATCATCAAAAAGAGTAATGAGACAGTTCCACATGTTTGCAAAATGTTTTTTCTTTTATATATATATACAGGTTAATGACTGTCCATAAGGCCAAATTGTACTTGAACATTCTGATAGTGTTTCTCCTTTCTTAGGAGTTAAATTGTCTTGCCATTTTGTTTATGTTCCACTTACAATCTCCTTGCCACTTATTTTTCATCTATTGTTGTACAGTTCAAATGGGCTACCTACCAATTAGAGCTAATTGAGGTCAAATTATATTCTGTATAAAGTTTGCTTTGATTGGCTTTTCAAGTGCAAGAGAAAGAGACTGTAGAGTCGGAGTTAAACCATTTGCACTTTCCACTCTTTACAAATAAGAGTTATTAATGCACCTGCAGTAAAAGCGTTGACAATACAGAATAAAAAGAAATGTACTTCTGTGAAGCATTTGATTGTCATCCAGCTCTACACTAGTCTAAATACAGACTGTACAGTTATTAAGTCATTGTTGGGTGAAATCCTGTACACAGATGGCATTACTTGATACAGTAAAGTATTATTCATTCTGACTTGCACTTCCCTTATCCTGAAAGTGCTTTTTTCTTCTGCTTTCTTCTCTTCAAACGCAGCCAGTCACATAACACCAGTTCACACTGCGCAGAGCGTATTTCAACCCTCAGCCTGGCCTTATGCTTTGGAAAAATACCCTTTTGACAACTGCAGCTGTCAGAACTTTCACTTTCAAAGTATAAACTCACTAAGGATATACGTGGCAGCCAAGCAACTACTCAGTTCTAAGTTCAAAGCTTTAAAAAGTTGATTATTTGAATGTTCAGTGTTGCCTACCTTCCCACAAAAAATTAAAAAAAGAGAAGTCAGGACGCAAGTTTTGCTAGCAGTTATAGAATAATATGTCTCGACAGTTTTCTTAAATTACTAGTTTTTTGAAAGATAAACATGTTCTGAGTTGGATTGTGCCCTGTGAGACCTTTCAAACATGGCTAAAACTACATTAGTTTTATCTGTGAGAGAGTGATCAAATAGCAGAATTTCAGAATTCATCTCTAAACCCTATTCTCCAAATTCAGTTTAATTCCTCTGATCTATTACTCATTCCTTGCAGTCAATCTCAAGATGCTGTGATCTGAGCATTATACAAATTTCCAGAAAAAAGTCCAGAAAAATTCTGGTAGATGCAAAAGTGGTATCGTCTTTCCATTTTACCACAGCAGTGAGGTTAGCTAATTGAAGCCTGGTTCCTTAGGGAACTCATCTCCACAGCTCCCATCTCCCCGTTATTTCCCAAGACCACAACCTCTGCCAGCCTCCCGGGCCATCCAGCCAGGCATCATTGGGGCCAATTAAGATGAGAGCAGATAGCTGCCCCCCCAACTGTCACAGTTCAGCCTGCTCTTGATCTGATCTCCTCCTATTCCCATGGTGTCACCTGCACTAGCTCATTATGACAGACTCATATGTGGCTGCGACTGTAATAGGCTGAAACTGCGATGCGCCCAAACAGAAGTCTTGTCATGCATACGTCATTCAGCTCAAATATCAGGGATTAATGATCTAAGCAGCCGGTCGTGTCTAGCCACAATCCAGTAATTGATTGTGTTGTTAATGAACTATGTAAGATGTACACTGTAGACTCTTCTGTTTGCTGTGGATTAAGCAGTGTCTCTTTTCTCATTCAGTCTGAGTCTCCTGTTTGTTCCTTTGTGTGCAGATGCCAGTGATCTCGACAGTGTCAGCCATGGCAGTCTGGACAGCACCAATGACTCGGCAGAACGAGCCTCTATTGATACCGACTTCACCAAAATGGACTTGAGCGATGATGGATCCAGCACAGGTGCCCTATCTGACCTCATTCTGCGTCATCCACGCCCTTTTTCTCTCCCTCCCTTTCTCGCCTTTTCTGCAGGACAGAGCTTGTGCTCTCTCATTAACTCTAAAGCCCTCTCCCTCTTTCTCATTCTCCATCACACTCTCTCCCTCCTACTTTTTCTTTCACTCTCTCTTGCGGAAAAGTTGAGCCGTTCCGAGAGTCATTATTTCTCGCTGTGGGAGTAAGGAGAGTTCTATCCCTTTTTTCTGCTTCTTTCCGTTTTTCCTCGACCTCTCATTAATCCCAAAACGCACACACATCTGGCACGGTGAACATCGCCACACACGGTAGGAGGAGATGTCATCACACAGAGAGGGAGAATAAAGAGAAAAGAGAAGTGAGGCTCTGTGAATGTGAAAGGGACTCATAACATAAAGCTATAGGCAGCCCTGCTCACAGGAGAGATCTGAGAAGTAGAAGCTGAGATTTGACAGCAGAGACTCAAACGTACTCAGGCTGTGCATGTGGTGGCTTAGCAAGAGTCTGACAAAGATAGCGAGCAAGAAAAAGGAGAGAGAAGGGATGACTAACCGTGTTATTTTAGCTCACCTCTGGAGGCAGGGAGTGACTATGATATTATCTTTAGGCTCCAGTAGCTTTCTCTGTGCGACTGAATCTGAGGCAATCCGAACCTGTGTACGTGTGTGTTTGCCAGTGTATTTCAGCCCAGTTAGAATCTATATGTGACGAAAGCAGTGCCCATCTCAGAGTGTACTGCAGTAGCTGTGTTTGAAGCCATGCCTGTAAGCGATTTGTATTTATTTCAGTAGATGTGGTGTGCGGCAGTGATGGTGCACAAAATTAGAGCTGCTGTGTTAGTGTTGGGATGGATTTCAGAGTCCAGTCAGATTTTTAGAGCCAGTTTTCAATGTTGAATCTTATCTATGTGCCATAACATTTGAAGTAAGGGCTCCTGGGTGATGCATTCTTAAAAATACTATATTTAGTTCCTCAGAGAGTCCATGGGGAATGTAGTTGTCTGCTAACAGTATCTGTGTGTGTGTGTATTTGTGTGTGTGTGTGTATGGGAGTCTCTGTGTTAGGGCTGAATGATTTGTGAAAAATATCTTTTTTTTTCTTAATAATATTGTGATTGTGATTTAAGTGCAGTTATTTTCTTTAAATTAAGTTCAAGGCCTATCACTTTTTTCAGGTTTGAGTCTTGGACACTGAATGTAATGTATTGTGCCAGCCTGCCAGTTCACAAGTGGTATTAGCTTAAATTTACCCACTTATAAGTTGTTAAAGGGGAACTCCTTTTTTAATAATAATGATTAAATTAATTAAATTTTAACTAAATCATTACAGTAAACGAAGTCATTCAGAGTGGTTTGATGTTAAATCCTTTGTTCTAGAAAAACCTCAGTCAGAATTGTTCGCAACAGTAGTGTTTGAACGACTTCTGAAGAGCTTACTTTCACTAAAACCTCCCTCACATAAAGTCATTATATGAAATGGTGACAAATGCACTGTCTGATAGCTGAGACATTGTTTTACAATAGTTTTGACCTAAAACGTTTTTTTTTTTTTTTAAACCATTAATGGTGGAGAAATACATGCAGGCCGTTAAGCTCCCTCATACAAAGGTATTATATCAAATGGTGACAAATACTCTGTCTGATGCCTTTGACATTGTTTTGTGATAGTTTTGAAATAACGTTTTGGTCTAAAATGTATTTTTTAAAAGCCATTAATGGTGGAGAGGTACATGCAGGGTAAGGCAAAATATTACCCAAAGTAGCTTTTTTTCAGATTTGGCATCATTTTATCATTACCAACATTACATATAAAAACAAAAAAGACACAAGTAGGTTCACTGTTCTTTTTGGAAAGTAAATAAAATGCCTCTCATTTGCGTTGGAGACATCACAAACCCTCGTTTCTGTAACCAAGTTTCTCTAGAATGGAGCATTTCACATCAAACCAAAATGGTCTTGGCCATTTAATTATGTGCAAATTTTGAAAAATCGGTTGAAGTCCATGTTAAGACAACATTGAATTATGTCAGACATAATTAAAATTGCAGCTTCAATTTGAAAATTGTACCATTTTAAATTGTAATTTTGATATAAAAACAAATAATTGTTCAAGCCTCTGTGTGATTGTTGTCTGCTCATTTTAGCCTGAGTGGTTCATGGTGGATCCCTTCTGTGTCTGTGTTCAATTGCAGGTGGTCAGTCAGATCAGGGCTATGACTCTCTGTCTAAGGAGGAGGTGCGGATCGGCACAGGAGAGGAGCAGGATGGCTCTCCTCACATGAAGGAGAAGGAGAGAGTCTCCAGCCCACGTGAGTTGCACATCATGTTGTTTTTCCCAAAGCTCAGTGTGGAGGTGTAAGCTTTAGGACTGAAGCCTCACTGCTTCCACCAAGTGACATAGTATGGTATTGCAAGTCATGCATTAACAATGAAGGGTTTGCCCTCTCCTTTTGAAGGTCATATGTTACTTAAGCTTCAGTGAACACATGAGAAAACATGGTTGCTGTGATTTTTGGTTTTCAGTATTTCCTCACCTTAATTATTCACTCTTGTCCCATATTTTTAGTGTCTGAAACAGGAATTTCTAGAAAAGAGGACACCTCCCCTCCACTGAGACCATCGTCCTCCTCAAGCTTACAAAATGGCACAGACGTCCTCTCCAGAGCCCTCCCCAAGAGACCGAACTCACTGGACATCTTTGGAGAGAAGGCTGTAAGGCCCAGCAGGTTAGATCTGACCCCAGATCAGCCGGCAGACATCTCTAGTCCTGCTTCTGCTCAGGGACTTCAGCAGAAACTGCCTGATTCAGAGAAGGAGGAACATGAAGTAGAGGAGGCCAGTGAAAATATGAAAGCTGCTGTAGAGAGGAGCACCGGTTGCACAGTCACCATGGAGACGAATGTTGCCATGGTGCGCGGACACTGCGGTGTGGAGCGGAGTGCAAGCTGCAGTGGTGCTCTAGGCCGGGGAGTGACTCGGACAGGGATTGAAGCTGGCTTTGACCCACTCTCCCTGCTGGCGGCTGAGACCAAAGTGCAAAGTAAGGAGGCTGGTGAGGCAGCTGAAGCTCCAGCTGCCCGCCGCGACCTAGCTGAGGAAATTCAGCTCTACATGGAGCACTTGAGTAGCCCCATCAGCCAGAGGTCACTCAGCGCGGACCTGCGGGGCCTCCAGAGCCCCTCACCACTCGGCTCGCCACGCCCAGCCACCCTTCTTGGGTCACCAGGCGGCTCAGGACAGCTGCAGCCACAGCCCCGTAGCAGACTGTTCTCCTCTCCCTCACTGCCACAGGGACGCCCCCGCAGGAGCAAAGAGGCACGGCCCACCTCCCTGGCCTCTCCCTCCTCCCCCACACCCTCCACCTCCTCTTTCTCCATGGACTCCCTGCTCACGCCCACTCTGGATGTCTTCAAAAGTAGCTTCCTGTCTGCAGGCAAGGGTGTGGCTGAGAAGGCCAGCCGACTCTATTCTAAACTGTCCTCTCAAACATCTATCGCACAAGTGAGTGAAGTTTGTTTTCTCCCCGTTTCCCACTCTTCAATTATCTCCTTCTCGGTCACTGTAATTTCTGTTTTTCCCTCTACAGGACCTGAACTCTGACCGGGTCAGTGTGTCCTCACTGGGGTCAGGTGACCCTGACTCATCCTCTTTGTTTGAAGGAGACTCTTGCCCAGACCCGGAAAGCCTGTCCTCCCCACAGCGAGACACCTCCCTCAGCGTAACTCGGCCCAGGAGGAGCCCACGCAGAAACAGCCGCTGTCTGGAGAGCCCCTCTGCACCACCCAGACTATTCCGCCAGGCCTCCTTAACCGGTGAGAGTCTCTTTGAAACTTTGCTGGGGTTTTTTTTGTTTGTTTGTTTGTTTTTCTTTTTAGTTGCAGAATAACTTATGAATTTCACTTGTTTATCACTTACTGTTTTCCTGCTCAAGTGCATAGGTCTTGTTTGTTGTTGAACTCTTGAGAGAGACTCTTTAGGCTAGTGTTTATCGGTTTAATGTCAGCCAAAGATAAAAGCAATATAAAATATAGAAAAGTAAATGCTTCTTTGTGTGCCTGAGTATTTACAAACAAGCGCATTTCCCACATATGTTAGAGTATATAGATATACTGTCATTGATGAGAGTCAGTCAACAAAGATGGTGTCCCTCATACGCTAATGACATCAGCAAGAGTCGCTCTGAGTCAGGCCCAAGGTCTTGAAGGTTCCCAAATGGTCACCTTTCACCCAGTTCTACAATGATGGAGTTTATTTTTTCAGTCCCGAATCTCATAATGTTAACATGTCACATTTCACCCCAGCTTGTTTACACATCATTCTCATCATCCTTGTTTTCATTCCGGGTCGCATTCACCCACTCCTCATGTGGCATGACAGAGTGAGACAGAGCAAGCAAGCGAGTGTAGCTCGATAGAGTGTAAGGGAGAAAATGCCTGAACGAATATGTAGTAAGTTAACTGAACAATGTGTGTTATATTCGGTTAACTCATTATTTGAAGAGGAGTTATTATAAAAATTTATTTGAAAACCAGCCCAGCCTGAACCCAATGTTATTTGTGAAAAATGTTTACCCAATATGTTGTTGGGCCCATCAGGCTGCAGACTTAAAACGGTGTTTATTGTAACACAAAATTACCCAGATGTAATGCTTTATTTTAGTGTGCTCTTATTTAAAATATTATTTCTGGTTTGGTTTTAGGCAAGAAGAGTTTTACTAAAAAGACAACTCAGATTCTAAAATATTAAAAAAAAAAACTGTAGACAAATTGTTTGTCTCTTAGCAGGACATTTGAGATGTGTTATGTACTTTATGAGTCCTACAAGGGGAAGTTTGTCATGGCTGCCTAACTATTCCCAATCTGGGAGCAGTACAGCATCACCTGGGGCAGTGGGGGTCCGTTTTGTTGATTAAATAACTGTACATTTTACAGGTCAATTAAAAACAATATGGGACGATATCCCAAAACAGTTCTACAATGAACTGGGCTGAGCCCCAGATCTTTACATGTCCAGCCAATGCCCCTACCATAGGTTGTTATCATGTCTGGTAGGATAAATTGGAGATTGGTGTAAACAAGTCCTAATATCGTGTCTCAGCATCCTTTGCAAGAAACATCACAAGCCTCACAAAGATATAAAAGCTGAAGGACTATAATTCCTAGGTTTAAGAATTATATTTTTAAGCAAAATATTTTGTATTAAAAACAATCAAATTTGATTACCAGCGATAATTTATGTCCCTTCACCAACTCATATACATTAAAACAAAATATCGTTCTTCAGGCCCCATGATGAAACACACAACAGTACCACATTACACAGGTGCATATACATAACAGTGATAAAAGAGTGCCAAATATTAAATAAATACACCAGATTAAATATACAGAACAATAAATACACAAGACACTAAATAAACAGAACAATAAATATACATGACAAATAAACATGACACTAGCTAGACTGGACAGCAAAGCGATATACACAAATTGGGGTACGGTAAGATTTAGATTAGATTCAGATTAACATTTAGATTAAGATTTAAGTAATTAAAGTGCATGTGTGCGGTGATGGTTAAGGGGTGTGTGGTCAGATTACATCAGTGGTTATTAATCTGATTCTCAGGGAGGAAGCTGTAGTAGAGTCTGGTGGTGGAATGGATGCTTTGGTATTTACCAACATGTCAATTCACACAGGACCAAAGACTAAAAACACATTCTGATTATAATTCCATTGCCGCATCTATCCATGCAAAACTAATGCTGTCCGGATAGTCCACAAGATGGTGCTGAGAAGGCTTTTTTTCCTCCTCATTAAAGGCTTCAATCAGTGGTGGTATTAGTAGGTACAACTGGTTAATATAACATTGTATGTTGTCAAATGTAATAAATTGGAATGCATTTTATCAAAATACTAAGCATATCACAAATCTTTGCAATAGAATCGGCTTAAATATGGTAATAATATATCTTTCAGTGATTTCTAACCCCTGAAGAGTGGTGCTTTGTGTTTCTTAACTCCAACTACTGCCTCCTAAATAGTTATAAACAGTTGTAATCCTGCCTACTGAGTGTAATTACAGGAATATACATGAATTGCTGTCTTAATCCATATCCCCAGATGGCTTCCTTTGGGAAATCTCTGGTGATTCTGCTGAGTAACATCTCTGACTGAACTTGACGAGAGGGGGAGGGGGGCGGATTTGAGTTTTGGGAAATCACCCAAGAAGCTTGATGAAATATTTATTACAATGCCTTTATCTTCCCAGCATTTAGAGACCACAAACTGGCAGTAAGGAGACACTGAGTTGATGAAAAATACATGAAAAATCTCCTTGTTGTGATTTTGACCTTGCACATGCTTCCCATATATTATCCTGTGATATATTGTAGATTCATCTAGATCCTCTTTTTGGGTCACTGAGCATCATGTTTAGATAGATTCCTCTCTGTTTGTGTCCGTATGTAGTATTTGTGTTTCGGCTCCAGCGGCTGCAGAAGTAGGCCAGCAGACGGGGCTCGAAGTGTGTCTGGCAGAGAGTGCAGCCTCTGATTGGGGCTCTTCAATCAGGCAGCCAAGCTTGTGCTGAAGTGCTCCATCATAATCACTCAGATCTGGTGCACTCGTACCCCAGGCCTCTGCAGAGCCTCTCCTCTTATTATTAGCTCAGGGGAGTGTGCTCCTCTTATCCTGAATGCTATCAGAATTAGCATTCATAAAGCCAGTCATCAGCATTCATCACACTAGTCGTCATGCGAAATGTGGCCTGATTCTAAAGAACATTCTGAGATGAAAAATAGATGTCAAATCAAATGACTGAGTCTGTTTGTGTCTCACTGAATGAAGTGTCTTTCTTGTTGCCAGGCTCATCTTTGGCAGTGGTGAAAGCCCCACAGACTCCCGATGTGTGTCCTGAGGCCAGCCTCGCTCAGGCTCATCAAAATTATGCCATTGAGGTGGGTCAGTCTCAGCAACCCTAAATACACATAACACAGATGATTGAGGCATACAATGGTGATACAAGGATTACCAGGATACCATAATATTTATGCATATAACCAAAACCAAACCAGCCACGATCAGTGTAACACACAGTGATCATCCTCCCAAAATGTTCTGGATGAATTTGTAGCTAAAAGTTGGTAAAGGTTTTGTCACATAAGTTTGGTCACCCTGGTCAAATCACATATTTTTTTGATTTTGTGAAAACACATAAATACAACCTCCAAAGAAAACAATTTTTTTTCCTGAAAAAGTTAATAGACTGTTAGTTTGTATTTGATTAACTTAAACAAATTAGAAATTGTGGCATGTGCAAAAGTTCTCATTACAAAAGTCAACAATTAAAGTATGCAAAACAGCATCAAGGTAAGCCAGGGGCATTTTGGAAATAAGAGCTGTGGACTGGTGGATTAAAAATTGAACTATGTTTGGAAAAAAGGAGCAGAATTTGATGAAAACAACACCTTGTCAGCTGTTCAACAGGAAGTGGATCTGTGATGCTTTGGGTTTGTGTGGCAGCAAGTAGCAGAGGAAACACTGCATGTGTAGATAGAAGATTGGATTCCACTAAATATCAGCAAATTCAAGAAACAAATGTGACCCAATCAGTCATGAAACTGAAGCCAAAAAGAGGCTAGATTCTACAACAGGACAATGATTCAAAACATACCTCAAAATCCAACAATCAGTACTTCAGGAAATGCAAGCTAACTTTTAAAATGGACTTCACAGTTCCCTGAACTAAAAGCAATAAACATCTGAGGATGTTACTAAGTTCTGACTTAGGAGGTTGTCCAAACTTTTGCACATGCAAGTTAATCTGTACATTACTAATTATTAATAATGTACATAACTGTACATTAACTTTTGCAGAAAATGTTATTTTTTAAATAGTCTGCTGCACTTCAAAAATCAACAAAATATGTAAGTCATCCAGGAGTGCCCAAACTTTTGCATACAATTGTATATATTTGCACTGTACAGATGTAAGTCAGGAGAGTCTAGCAGGTCAGCTTATTTGTGTTATGTCTGTGCAGGTGCGCATGTCCAGCTGTTCCCGCTGTAACACCTGTGAGTGTCTTGTGTATGATGAGGAGATCATGGCGGGCTGGACCGCTGACGACTCCAACCTAAACAGCACCTGCCCCTTCTGCGGCTCGCCTTTCCTGCCCCTGCTCAACGTGGACATCAGAGACTTGACTGCCCAGACCAGGTGAGTAGCTCACGTTTGTTCTCTTTTAGTCACACAAACAGAGCTTTAGAAATTTGAGGGAGAAGTCTTGGTCATATGGATCACTTTATACACTGTAAATACATTCAAACACATATTTAGTGTTAAGTTCTCTTTTCTTTCTGTTCAGAACAACTTGTCAAGACCTACCCAGCTCCCAGACTCAAATAAGTGATGCGTCAGAGCCCCAAGAGGAGCTCTCACAGAGCCCTGACTCTACCGGCAGTCCATTCAGCAGTGCTAGCAGAAGCACAGTAAGTGACGCTTTCCTCACTGGCCAATCAGTGTCCCTTTTTTTTTGTGTGTTCTTTGGAGCACATATTCATCATTCCCATGTTGATTGATGCTCAGCATTTTTCAACACAAAATCCATTGTGCTAAAGCACTGCCAAAGAAGCATCTTGATGATTAATGTCGTTTTCCATCTGCTACAGGAGCCAGTGACTGTGCCTTACCTTAGCCCTCTGGTGCTGTGGAAGGAGCTGGAGAGCCTGCTGGAGAACGAAGGTGATCAGGCCATCTCCTCAGCCGCCATCGTGGACCATCACCCCATTGTCTTTTGGAACCTGGTGTGGTTCTTTCGCAGGCTGGAGCTGCCCAGCAGCCTGCCCGCCCTCATCCTCAGCTCCAAGCACTGCAGCCTAGACGAGCAGGTGGGTCTGGCTATGTAATTTATTCAGTAATGACCAAATGTGTGAGGGTATGTTCATAAAAGTTCTAATAAAAGCCTTCACCTTTTTGTCAGGTTAGTGTTTATAAGGTTTATCATTCATGCCTGCAAGCTTGTGTAAATTCTACCTTGGGGTTTATTCCACAGCTCCTCCAGAGCAGTACATCTGAGGACAGTAAGAACGTGCTGGTACAAATCCTGTGGGACAACCCCAAACTGCACCAGGACCCTGTCGCGCCCTGCTACACGCTTTGGAATACACATTGTAAGAGTCTGTCACTCTTTGAATTTATATATTGTTAAGACACGAAAAATGAAACTTTTTCTGTTGATAATTTCCTGTGTGTGCATAGTAAACCAAACCACTGTGAATAATGTTTGCCTTGCCTGTATGGGCATATGTATGTGAGTATACACCTTCATTCCTTATGCTCCTGGCTGGATTTGTACAGGTGCAAATCCGTCTGCTTCTGCCTCTTTGCTGGAGGAGGAGCCGGCAGTGAGCCTAGAAGTGTTGCAGAGCGTGGTCAGAAGCATTCAGAAGAACGACGTCTACCAGCCCATGAGTCAGATACTGCAGCTACTTGGCAAGAGGCTGGGCTTCGTCAGGCAACGGTAAGAGCCTCAGGGAGGGGTCCCTATCCACGTATCTGCTGCAGTTCCCACTTTGGCTTACTGTGTTGTCCAGAAAAAAGACATTTTCCTAAATTCTGTCATTTTGTGATCCCTAACAGGAGCTTGTATAGAGATATCTTGTTCTTGTCTCTGGTGGCTTTGGGCAAGAACAGTATCAACATCGGTGAGTTGGCTCTGTTGTGACCATTTAATTGTTTGAGGGTTGTCCACCAGTAATAATCTTACCGTGTCATTCCTTTACACTGTAGATGCTTTTGATCGCGAGTACAAGATGGCATATGACCGTCTGACCCCCAGTCAGGTCAAGATGACTCAAAACTGCGACCGACCACCCAGCGCTGGAGTCATGGAGTGCAGAAGGACTTTTGGGCTGCCAAGTCTGTGATTTCTCTCGTGTTTTGCCTCTCCCCTCCCTCCATCATACAGAGGAAGAGACACGCAGTCTGAGACACGTCATGCCCAGCCAAAGAAGGAGCACCATACTGACATGATCCTGAAGATTAAGTGTTACCAAAGCTACCTCTGGCTCCCAGCAGCCAAGTAGACACTGAGAGGCATTTCCATGCACAACCGTGGTATGTGGCCAGTTTGCTCCCCATTCACTGTGTACTACCTGTGAATACTTTGTGTTGTTTTTTTAACACACTGTTTACCTCATATTTTCCCCTAAACCTCACACTCCCCGACACATCACCCCGAAGGCCCGAGTCACATTCAAACTCTTAGCTCCACTCAGGTAATACTTAGTACTGAGGTCATTGTAGATTAGGAGCAATATCATCTAGTGCTCAGGTCGTAGCATCACTCCCATCAGATCACATAGAGACGATCATGGAGTGGTTTTGGGACCAGTAGCAGTAGAATAATAACACAATCATGTTTAGGGCCCTAAGTAGAGAAGCACAATGAACAACCCCCCCCCCGTGAAAACTTCAGAGTTTCCACACATTCCTCTCCCAGTATTCCAGGGGCACTTGTATATTGTTGCAAAACAAAGTCACCTTTGTGTATATAGACTATTATTATATTATTTAGAATATTTGTATTATAAAGGTATATTTTAAGACTTGTATTGTTATAACTGACTTGTCTCCATTTGTAAAGGAAATACCATGTGGTGTGTTTGAGAGTGTGGCGTCTGTGGTTATGGTCCTGGAGACCATTGTGGTATCTGTGAAGTGTCTTTTGAGTAGGTGAGGTACAGAACTGGACCAAATCAAATGTTGACTCATGAATTACGAGACTGTTTACATGGTGACTGGAAAATGTAAATGTATTGTGTACTACTAATGTAATTCAGTGATGGGGAATTTTTTCTACTTTTGAACTGAGCAACCAGAGCAATGCCTTATGAAATGGCAAATGAGCTGTGGAACTACACTATGGAGACCAACTACAGAAAGCGTTTTCAACTACTCCATTAGGGATTACAACTCTGGAATGAGACTGATGATGGATATTTCCTTGTCCACATCAGCTGATTCAGATACTTTGGAATAGTCATTACTTTGAAGACAAATGTGGACAGTTTTGCATCATATTCAACAGCTTAAAGAAACACTAGGTTCCATTAGCACAGTGCACTGCTTTCAATATGGGTTTTGTTTTTTTTGTTTTTTGTTTGTTTTTTTTTGTTGTTTTTTTTTTTGTACAGTGCACAGCCCAAAATGCATATTTATCTAGGACATGGGCTGGGTGAAGTGGTTTTGTTTTGGCCCTGCTATTGGTCAAAACCAATTTAAAAAAAGTACTATATAGATTTTTTTAATGACATGGCAGTTTTCTGTCAGTAACATATGGTTCCAGTATTATCATTCATTCCTATTGTGCATTTTTTTTATTCTTTTTATAAATTGTTTACGGTACTATTAGAAATGGTACACTGTCATGGTACTTGAGATGAAATACACAGATGTAAAGAGCACATGAGCACTTAAGTCAGTTACATGAGGGTAATGAAATGTTCAGTGACTGCAGCAAATCTATTTTTACATAGCTTCATCTACCTTTATTTGCTTGGTAGCATTAATCAAATCTACACTGATTTTATTAGTATCTTTACCATTACTGTTTTTTCTTAAAATGCTATTAAGTAAGCAGTTTACTATTATATGCCATAGTTATTGATTATTGGATTATTGGAGTGCAATGATTATTCTATCCCTAGCAAAGAAAATACAAAACAAATACTGAAGAATCCTTCTCCAAAGAGTTTAGTTTACTCAGTCTGACCAGATGCTGTGCAAAACTACGGAATTAGATGCCCTGACACTGCCTTTGATGTTTTGCCTGCTTTTGTTATCTCCTTCGCCCTAAATCTTGTTTCAGTAGTAAAACAAACTAGTGGCAAGCTAATTAAAAAACAAACCATATTCAAATCAAATGCTAAACATTTCAAAACTGTTGAAAAGCGATGTACGAATTGATTTTTTGTATGCTGAAGTACTGTTATGGGCTGACACGTTTTACACACATCATCTCTTGCGTTAATTCGTGTTTATATTTGTATATTCATTATTCCACCAGATCCAGGCGAGATCTGCTGAAGTTGTTTATAATTGTAAATAAACTCACTCCAACAGTCATTGGTGTCTTTTAGGCTTGTTTATTAGAAATAGAGGGAGATGACTGAGTGACATATACATAGTATCCCATTTACTTGGTGAGTGTTGATACACAGAACACCTCTCATTTAACAAAACAAAACGATGTGCGCAATTCACTACATCCCTGGAGCCCCTGGAGTGGAATTACCTGTTTTTTGTTGGAATCCACAACCATTAAGACCTTTTATAACCAGAATACATTAAGACTACTTTCTTGCAGGTGACTAAAAAATGAAAAAAGGGAAAATGTATTTCACGTAAAGCACACATTACGTACTTAAATTGGGTTCTAGATGTGATCTAGGTACACAGTATTCCGTATTACAAAAATAATTGCAGTAAGAGTGTAAATTACATCATTTACAGTAAGCACACAATTTCTCCCATGTAGTGAAGTTTGCATACATTTGCAAATTCTGGAAGTCAACAACATTAGACAACACAATCACAATGCAAGATGTTGTTCATAATAAGCAATTCAATACATTTTATCATTTCTTCTAAAGGACCACTTACTTTGGAAAAATCTTGCCTCAACACAAATACTTTTAATGGTCAGTTTCGACAAGTAACAAATTCAGAGTCTGAATCTGTTATTTGTCAAAACAACCTTTAAAAGGGTCTGGATTTGTCTGCACACATATACTGCATGGAAAACAAGTGAGCCATTTGGCACAATGCCAATGCTGCTTCCAGATTGCAGAGCTTTTGTTAGGATTTTTGTAAAATGTGGGCTTCTGAAGTAAGATACGATGAAAATAATACCTCCCATAGGCTTCCATTGGGCATAGTATAATATAGCAAAATTGCTTTCAGTAGCTAATGTACTGCTATTAGAGTTGCAATTGTGCTTTTAATCATATCTATCTTATTGTTAGATCTGATAAACAGAACACGTAATCTTGTAACTCACCAATAGGGCTCTTATATGTGAATGTTGAGGGGAGCGATGCATTGCTAGTGCAGGTGAGCAGCTGAAAATTGTGCACTAAGATTTGCAGAAAAATGCGAAAGTGTGTTCTCTGTAGAGGATGTGTTAACTTATTTTCACTCAGAAAATCAATAAAACATCATTTGACCAAGGGCGCCCAAACTTCTGTTATAGTTGAGGGTTGTGGTATTTTTGAAAAAGGCATTCTTCTAGATATAACACTACTTTGTAATCATAGTATGATATAATTATATTGTGCATACATAAACACACATAATCCAACAACCAAGCCACATATTTCCTATCAAACATCTATGACAATCATATATTTCTCTCTGTATTAATTTAATTAGGAAATTTTAATAATTACTAGTAGATTCCAAATGTATGTGTGATTGTATATGTCTGTGTGTCTGCGTTGGACTGGTGACCTATCCAGGGTGTTTCCTGCCTTCCACCCAGTGACCGCTGGGATAGGCTCCAGCAGCCCCACGAACATCAGATGGCATTAAAGGTGTTGTCTCCGTACTATGTTTGTTGTGGGAAGCTCTGTGGGCATGTCCTGGGCTTTTTGAACATAGTTCTCGTGTTGTTTTACTTGTTAATAAAATATTGATCACAAGATGGCATTAAAGGTACTACATAAACATGTAAGATAACTACATGTTGAGTAATACACAGTGGAGGTACATTAGCCGTCTAAATTAATTCTGGGAGGATACATTTCAGCTTCACCTCTGAATGCATCAGCAATGTTTATACAGTTGCCCTCTGGATCGAGATACTCAAATCCAGTCTTACAGAATGTTAATCACAAATGACAGGGTGTGTCCAGGAGTGTCTGCCACATACGTGAGTGGACGCCGATAGTCAAGGTGCTGGTCAGATAGACACTGGACACACAATGATACGGTCCTCCAGCATGACACTGAGCACCAGGAACACAAAGTAAAGCATGAACATGGTCAAGCCCAGCATTTTATTCATCCTCCACTTACAGGCAGCGATGGAGATGATGACAAACAGAAGCATGAGGAAGAGCAACACAATGGCACAGAAGAGCCCGTTGCTGCTGACGGCCACAGGTGCCAGCCCGTGGAAGAACGCATACATGAGCCAGGGCACCGGCAGCCTTCAGGGAGAGAGAGCAGAGTATAGGAGAATAAAAATCTGATTCATGTTAAAACATAAATGAATACATCAGTCATACTGCTAAAAATGACCACTCGCTAATGCTGCTACAAATGAAAACTGATGGGCACCAGTACACATTATTCAAAGTGATTGTGCTTAATGGTCCCTTGAAGCTTTCCTGCACTATTTGCTTGATGGGATTTAACGTGATGTGAATTTTAAAGGCAATGTGAATTTAAAGCTATCAGATTCGTGCTTTTGAGGGACCTACAATATAATTTCAAAGTAGAACTGCACAATGTATCGTTTGTTGACTGTTATTGAGATATTGGCTTCTGCAGTACGGATATCGCAGAAGGCTGTGATATGGAAATTTTTGTTTTTTAGATGAGAAGCACTTCATGGTCCTCGCTTGCAACTATTTTAATGGTCGTAGCACAAGCAGAAAAATAAGGTGTAAAAATCACAATGTGGGTGTGGCAGCTAGTATTTCTGACTGGCAGCACAGGCTCTAACCTTGTGCAGAGCCGCACAACTGTAACCAGGGGTAGAGTTAGAGTAAATACGTTATCGAAAGGCTTACTTAGGCCTGCTGCAGTGACAATCAGATCAACTGTTCTCATTCCCTTTAAGAGCATCGTGAACACTGACAGCACAGCACTGTGATATTTCCCTGATGGTGCAAGTGCCTACAAAATTTTTATTGTCATGGATGAAAAAAACTGACGAGGCTGCTATTTTAAAGTCTCAAATTACTCATTACGTTTATAAAACAGTACAAAAATATTATAAAATATCAGAAAATAACTATTATATGTGTATATTTTCATAATAAAACGAACAACAAAAACAACAATAATGCAAAAATAACAAATTATTATTACTACTATTATTACAGCACATCTCAAAATGCTTTAAAGCACTAAAAATATCATAAAACTATCTGAAGTAATTCCAGTAGAAAAAACCTAACTACAAACACTAGTAGTTAAATGGCACTGAGCCAAATAAAACTAAAAAACCAACTGTGGTTGTAATTCTGCAAGCACAGACTTGAACTATTTAATCATAGCCACTGCTTCACCTGCTTTACTCCTTTTCTGTATTTCAATATTTTTCACTAATGTTAAAACCTTGTCCTCTTTTTTGCTCGTGTTATTGTTTTGCTATCCGGTGTCGACCAGAGGAGGATGGGTTCCCCTTTTGAGTCTTGGTTCCTCTCAAGCTTTCTTCCTCTTGCTCTTAGGGAGTTTTTCCTTGCCACTGTTGCTTGCTCGTGGGAGCTTAGACTCAGATTTTTCTGTAAAGCTGCTTTGTGACAATGTCAGCTGTAAAAAGCACCATATAAATATACTTTGACTTGACAGTTTTAATAACTTGGAGCTTTAATACAGTTCATGTGTTTAGGGACACACTGTCTGTTGTGGGAAGATCAATTTGTGATTCCCAGTGAGGAACACATCTGTACAAATACAAATGAAAATTTCCTGCCTATATCTTTTTTTTCTTCCACGCAGATAAACGTGTTATGAGTGGCACCACTTGTTGCAAAACACATATTTTTCTGTTGTATTCGTTGTCGTAACTTAATCCACCCTGGCTGGAGGCCTGACTGACTTACCCTACAGTGATGTCAAAGATGTTGCTGCCCACAGAGCTGGACACAGCCATGTCCCCCAGGCCTTTACGAGCCACGATCACACTGGTGATTAGATCAGGGATGGACGTACCAGCTGCCAGAATGGTGAGACCCATTATCTCTTCTGAAATGCCAATGGTCTCACCCACCTAGGAAAAAGAAGTGAATAGAGGCCTGATGTTCCACAGAGTCAGTATCTTCTTAGATATCTGTCGGTTATCTATGTGCCATCTACAGATATTTGCAAAGGGGGAATTCACTGATTTTTCTTATTCATGCATAATTCAGTCATTGAGATAAACAAAGTCATTCAGAGTGATTTGCTGTGAAATTGTTTATTGTGAAGAAACTTATCAACTCAGATTTCTTTTCAATAGTGGTGACAAGAACCAGGGATCATGATGCTGACAACCCAAATACAGCCATCTATTTACCATCTAAAATGACTAGTGAGCCTATATGCATCAACTGATTATTTACATGTGGTGTTGATAATAATTAAATTGTGGTAAATCAGAAAAACAAACAGTTCTTTTTGGGTACTATTTTGCCTTACAATACTCTGTATGTACCTCTCCACCATGAATGGATAAAAAAAGGTTTTAGGCCAAAACCTTATTTCAAAACATTAATAAATGTCATAAAACAATGTCTCAGGCATCAGGAAATGTATTCATAGCCAAATCATGTAATCACTTTCTTTAAGGTAGCTTTAAGAGGCCTTTAGACACCTGGTTCCTAACACCACCACTGGGAACAATTCTGATCCTGCAAGTTTCTCTACCATTGAGCATTTCACATCAATTCACTCTGACTTATTTTGTTTATGTCTTAATGATCAACTAATGCAGATATTTAGAAAAATCAGTGGAATTCCCCTTTAACAGGAGTTTATCAAAGCCAGATAACATCCCATGAGTTTTTCCAAACTGACCTGATGCGCCCACCACACCATTAGATAGGAGAATATAGCAATCCACACTATGGAGCCCAGGAAGGTAATCACAAAGAACCTTTTGGATGCCTGTGAAGCAGAATGATCAGTGAGTTCAATCAGAACAGAGAATAGAGGTCATTCAGCTGCCTCAGTCCACCCTAACATTATTTGATGCTTCAAGAACACTTTGCATTCAAATGCTTGAAATCAGTGGAAGCTGCTAGAGGCTGTTTTACATTATACAAATGATATCATGCTAGCTAGTCCCGCATGCTTTGATTCATTTTTAACAACTTCCCAGTATTCCACGTCCTCATCGCTTCAGCACTTTTGCCTGAATGACTTAAGTATTTCTTTAAAGCACCAAACAGGGACTACTAACAGAACTAAAGTCTAACTGTAAAGCAAATGGCAACATTCATCTATGTTTAAGCTAAATGTATTCATTTTGATGTATTATTTGTCTTTACGGGGTTTCTGACATCCGGTACGGTCAGCCACAGAGGGAAAACAATAGGCAGCAGGAACAGATAGGTGGCTTGTTTGCGTCTGGTGTCCGGCCACTCTAAGGACAGCGGCTCGTCATTCTCTTCACCATCTGTCTCCCCACCGCCATCTTCATCCGCTTCATCCTCCTCATCATCTTCATCATCATCACTGTCCTCATCACTGTCTTCCTCACTGTCATCATCCTCGCTGTCATCAGACCCTCCCGACCCTTCTGTGTCCCCTCCTTCTGCTGCTGCCTCTGGCTCGTCCTACAGAAAGAGCGAGAGAGAGGCAGACAGAGAGTGATAAAGAAAAAGAGAGAGAGAGATGGAAAGTATGAGTGGCTAATACTGGCTGAAACAGCTGAAGCAAGAGCAGAGCAGGCAATTTCAGTGACATACTGAATTACATGCTGTACGTAATGGAACACCACCGTCAGCTTCACGACATTTTAAAGAACTAATAAGTTGCTTAAAATCACAGAAGTTTTTCAAAGTCTCTACTCCTTCCTAGCTGTTCTTGCAATGCAGGAGTGGGCCCACCTTCTGTCCCTCTGCCTTCTCCTTGCTGCCCTCCTCCTTGGACGCTGCTGGCTCTTTGGAATCTTTCGGCTGCTCTTTACCATCTTCACCTGTGTGGTTTCACAAGATACAAGAGAAGACAGAAAGCAAGCTTGAAATCTAGTCAGTCAATTACAGACCTGTCATATCTCTTGCGTATTTCTAAGAACAACAACAGATCTAGAGTTAAAATGACAGTTTAGTAAAAATTCACATGTATCCAAGCTTAGTCAATCAGCCATGACATGATGTTGGATGTACAAAGTTCTTATTTCCTTTTTCACTGGAGCTAAAAGTAATGGAAGCTTATTCACCACTAGAAAAGTGCTGATATTCAACACATGATACTGGTATTGTGGACACTGAAACACTATCACCACATTTTAATTATAAAAGTTGCAGTTTCACCACGGATACTTTAGATAAGCAGAGTAGACTGGTTTCATTTGCTCCCACTATCCGTGCTTTGTTAGTACATCTGTTTGAGTGCTTTATTGGTTCAAGGACCATCACAGCTCACAATACAGGTTGCAGTGCTATCAAGTCATACTCAGTGAGCCAGCAAGAGGATCTACTACCCAACCCAAGAAAAAATCTACAGGAATTCATGATAGTATGCCCATTAATACTGTCAAAAACAAGGTTCCAGAAATTAATAAAGATTGCTGTGCCAGTGTATAAGAAGCCAACAGGGAAGCTTATCTCCACAATGTTTAACCATCAAAATATTATTGTTATTAAATAACATTCAGAACATTACATGTAAACTCCCTGGACAAAAAATATTACAGCTACAGTCCTGTCAGGCAAGGATTTTGAGATCTTGAGATAGATCTGCGTTTTGTGTCCAAGCGGAACACAACATTGGCACTCCTACATTCCAGGATAACAGCTGTAGTTTGTCTATATGTGACTGGTTCAACAGACATAACAGGAGGGTGGGACAGCTTGACAGACCAGAGGTATCACGAGACTACAATCCTCAATTCTCTATTTGGAACGCAGGTAAAATACTGAAATAGACAAAAAAAAACTCAAGCTGAAATGTGCACCCAATTAGTGGAAGAGTTGGCTAGAGGACAGGAGACAGGTGTAATCCTTACCTAAGCAGACTGACACTGTTTTAAGACAAGACACATAACCAAGAATTAGGAAAGAAATTATGCATGAGAATAATTTTTGACCGGTAAGCTTATGTACATGTATTGTCCTACAGTAGTAGTATTAGTATTAGTAGTATTTTTTCACATTGTGATAATATTGTAAATCATGATAAAAGGTTATGAATGCCTAAATTATCACATACCTGCCTCAAGCCATGTCTCAAACAGACTTGCTTATAAAAATGGATGCATGGAAGCATGTTGCATTGCACATAACACTCCACCTACTAGCATCTAAAGTTAACCTAAATGTTTACTACCTATTATTAATGATGCATATATCATGTTGTGAAAGATCCATTTGAGAATGGTTAAATATTTTAATGGGCCTAGTCACCACAGTCCTCCTGCCCCTTGGGCCACAGTGTGGTTGCTCCTCCTGCCCTCCTAGTAGTTATGCAATTGGTCAAAAGCCACATAAGCAAGTGTAATTCAGATTACTTAACAACTTGATGAATTTTGAGACAGGTATGTGATGATTTAGGCATGCAGTTTGCACAATGCTAATTGGAGACATCTATTCAACTTTCCATTACTTGTTAGCTACAGTCGCCTTATTACAAAACTAGAAAACAAATTTCAAGCACCAAACATGTCTTGGCTGACGGACTACATTTGAGGTGAGGTTAAAAAAATCACAAAAAAAAGCTGCACTGATTTTGACTATGTATCGGTTCCACATGAATAAAATATGTCACATCAACACAACATTTTCTTTCAGTTTACTCATTTTTGGCATGAATTGAGTTGATGTAATATATTTTATTCATGTGGAACTGACCTACACATTTGAGTCAAGTAAAGTTAGTGCACTTTTTTTCAGTGTTGTGCAAGTTTGATTATTCCTTTGTTTCTTAAAGAAGCAATAGGAGCTTCAGATGGAATAACATCATCATATCATTTGGCAGCCATTTCAAAAGCCATTTCATTTCCTCTGTGCCAGATAATCCTCATTGATCCAGAGTCTCATACTTAATTCATGAACTGGAGCTTGATCATTATGGCACCTAATGTGTAAAGAAGCTCATGGGTCCAAACAAAGGCCGGAGCATGGAATGTGGAGCTGTGTATGGGGAGGACAGCGGGACCAGACTACTGGCACATTGCCTTCTCTCTGCACCTTTCATCCGGCTCCCAGCTGTTGCACTGCTGCTTCTGCAAATGCCACATTAAGCAACGGTGTGAATATGCAGCGAAGCTTACCTGCGAGATGGGACAATGCGCTGACCTGTGGACAAAGCTCTCTGAAAACATGACACACTGTGGACTAGGACACACTAAGATGGCGTGGTGGAATACTAGAGCTCACCTGTGCCTTTTTCCTTCTCTTTGCCCTCTACCTTCCCCCTGGCCATGCTGTTCAAAATCTGAGCCTTGTCTTTAAACTTCACTGCAAACCAAAAGAAGTAGAATATACAGTCAGGTGTAGATTTACAGGCACCCTTAGACAAAGAGAAATAAAGATGCTGAATAAAACAGACAGCACAGATAATGTTATGTTTAAAACATGGAAAAAACATGCTTTTATTCCAATAAGACTCTGTATCATAAAATATTTTAAACAAGGCACGTTTGTCTTTTAAAATTCAGTGTTAAAATTATTGATGCACCTGAAGACACTTTAAATGAAATTGTGCTCAACTTTTTGCAAAGCAGCTGAACTGTCCTTGCTTATTTAAAGTAAATTTTGGTGAACAATATAAGTAATTTGTACTATATAAACAATGTTAGAGCTTATGACTGAACTATTTACTCCCCAGGCCACACACAATATATATAAATTAGGCTGCAAAAACAGAACGTTTTTGAAATGAATGTTATGCCACAACCATGAAAATATTTACAGCCAGGCCCATAAATATTTGTCTACAATAGCATATAGGAGTTGAAATTAAATAATGAATGTGAGCTCAAAGTGCAGCTTTAATTTGAGGGTATTTACATCCATATTGGATGAACAGTGAAGGTGTAGGAATTACAACCATTTTCAGACACAGTCCTCCATTTTAAGGGGCTCAAAAGTAATTGGACAATTAGCTGCTCAGCTGTTCCATGGCATTCCGGGTGTATGTTCTTCCTTCAGTATTTCACTTACAAATAAGCAGAAAACAGGTCTAGAGATTCAAATGTGGAAATCTGCAACTGGAATATGTCGCTGTTAACTCTCAATATGAAGTCCGAGGGGCTTCACTGCCAATGAATCAACAATAATTAGGCTGAAAAATCAAAATAAACCCATCAGAGAGATAGCAAAAACATTAGGTGTGGCCAGATCAACTGTTTCATACAATCTTAAAAGGACAGAACACACTGGAGACAAACTAGCACAGAAACACCAAAAGGTCCAGAAGACAATGGAAAACAACTGTGGTGGACGACAGAATAATCCCTTTCCTGGTGAAGAAAAACCTCTTCACAACAGCTGGCCAAATCAAGAACACCCTGCAGTAGGTAGCCGTATCTGTGTCACTGTGAGAAGACTTCACCAGAGTAAATACAGAGGGTAACACAAGATGTAAATCACTGGTAAGCCTCAAAAACAAGAAGACCAGATTAGAGTTTGTCAGTGGGTACAAAGATCAACTTGTAACAGAGTGATGGGAAGAGAAGAGTAGGAGGAAGGAAGGAGCTGTTCATGATCCAAAGCATAGCACCTCATCTGTCAAGCATGGTGGAGGTACTGTTATGGCATGGACATGTATGGCTGCCAAAAGAACTGACTCCCTCGTGCTTATTGATAATGTGATTACTGACAAAAACAGCAGAATGAATTCTGAAGTGTATAGGGCTATATTATCTGCTCAGCCACATGCTTTATTTGGACAGTGCTTCACTGTACAAAGGCAATGTATGAACATGGTTCTGATTTCTGGTTGAAAATGGTTGTAATTCTTACTGTTTGCACCCAATTTGGATGCAAGTACCCTCAAACTGAAGCTCCATATTGAAGTATGTAATTTCTACTCTGATATGCTGATGTACACAGATCAAAAATAACTTTGCCATTTTCCAAATATTTATGGATCTGACTGTATATGTGGCCATAAATAAGTCACTGTAGCACCCAGCAGTTTATTTTACTCACGTTGAAGTGATAAGAAACACAGTTACTGCAGACATTCTGTAGTAGAGATACTGGATTGGAAAATGTGGAGAACAATGTTTAACAATGATATGTTGTTCCTGACTGTCAAAACAAATCTTGTATCTCCGAAATCAGAAATTTGAGGAAGAAAAGTAATTTTTGACAATTTCTGTTCACACAATGTAAGGGGCAGCTGGTGTTTTCAAACTTTACAAAGCTTTACACTCAAATGTAAAGCTTTGTAAAGCTTTCCAGAGGACATAAAACCAAGCCAGTCTTATCAATGGGAAAAATACAGAATAAAAAAATGTAAAATATAGCCTCTTTAATTAACAACTATTTGAGGTAAGATGTGTAACACTTTCATTATTCTTCGCTCTGGTATGGAATGGACAAATATCCAATATCAAATGGTTGTTGATCTTTATAAATACAGCATAATATATAGAAAAACACATTTGCAAAGTTGATGCATACTATAGCATTAAATTAGAAACTGTGAATTGCACATTCTATAGTTTTTGATTATTTTTTTTTTTTTGGTAAAACTCAGCAAGAAATAGAAATTGTTTACTAAAATTAGCACGTCATATTCATGTTGTTCCTTGCAGAGGATGTGTTACTTATTTTTACTTAGAAAACAAAACATGACATTAGAATGGGGTGTTAAAATTTTGCCATACAACTGTATAGCCAGTGATTACAGCTGAAAGAGTGTAGTAATTGGGGAAACTAAATCTCAACAAATGTCCTTGTTACGATAAGTCGCATAAGTGGCTAAATATCAGACACTCTGGCTATAAAATTGGTTGTCTGGCTGGAAACTCAACCCTAGTTGTTTGTAACCCAGGACAACATGTACCAAAAAATGTATCTAATTAAAGATTTGTGGTCTGAAATTCATAAACACAGATCAAACAGTTTCAAAGGCCTGAAAAAGTTGTCCCTCCTAAATGTGTTCTTTGGTCTTAGCAAAGGCTGTATCAGAAACGGCTAAAACAGAGCCCAGCCCAGGACTGACCATAAGGTTACTTACACTAAGCAGTAGAGGTACTGTTATAAATCATGACAGTAAATAATGGCCTACAAAACTGCAGAAATTTCTGATCATGGCTATTAATGAAAAATGTACTTTCCTGCTATCAATCTATAGAAGTTCCACCAATAATTTGGTCCTTATTTTTGATGACAAAAATATCTTATAATGTCTTATAATGTTTAACACTAGAATAAAAGCATGTATTATTCCCAAATGTTTCACATAACACAATGTCTATGCTATTCATCTTAAACAGCCCTTTTGTTCTGAACCTGACTGTAGAATTTGCTTAAACACACTGACTCAACAACTGTCATTTCAATATAAAGTCAGACCCATCACATCACAAATAAATAACCACAACAACATGGACACAGAGACACACCCTGAGCCTTCTTACCTTTACATTCCAAAGAGCTGCTAGGCTTTGCACCTCCATTTAACACTGAGTCTAATAAGTAGAGATTGATATAAATGCTTTTAAAATGGACACAATAAAAAACACCTTGTACCTTTTTATCTGCCCATAAAAATACAGTTAACTGTTTCATCTACATCAGTGGGAATCAACTCATAGTCAGCAGCCACACATCAGGCAGCCCCATCATTCAATTTAAAGTGTGATGACAGAACAATGTTGCAGTAAATGAGAGAATTCAGTAGGTAAGTAAAAATGGATTTCTAAAGTATATTTTACACAACCTTCACTGATCCAAAGTTCTGTATAGCAATAACATGCAAAGAATACTATGATACATACTTAATTTAACTGAGATCATGTCAGCAGTTTCTGAACAGTAATAAAGTATAAGTCTTGCTTTCATTTTTACTAAAGAAGAAGCACGTCTGATCTTTATAGGTACACTGTTACATTAGCCTCGGAGAAGACAATATCAGGGATCTGGAAGCCGAATATAGTCAGGGTAAATCTGAAATGTATTAGACCCAGCCCACTCAGAGCTTCATTTAATACCACATGCATGATCCACATAAGACAAAGCCTCATTTGTGAATGATGATTCATTGCTTATAAAAATATTACAACATTGTTATGTAAGAGACTCCAAATGCATTTCTTAGAAATGCAGAGGTGTGCCCTGTACTGGAATTCAGGTTTAAATCCCAGCTGTACCACGTGCTGCCAAGGGCACTGTAAACCATAAGCTTCCTTTCCCTATCCCAGACAGCTGATCAACTGGGAGAAACAGACTTTTCAATAATAGGCACTGCAATTTTTGATATAAAACTGCAACTACAGTGATATTGGGTTTGTCAACTAATGCAGAATTTACAACTCACAAACTGTCCTTGTCCAAAAGAAAAACAAGTATCTCCAAACTGGTAACTTTACATTAGAGGGCAAAGACATTCTTTACATTCAATGTAACTTAATGTAAAGAGATTTTATTTCAAGCGGTTTGGAGCATTTCTATCAGTCCATTCATTATGGAATTTTCATACAATGTAAAGGACAGCTGCCATGCTCAAAATGCAGAAAACTAAAAATGGAAAAATTGAGATACATGTTTTTCTTTGGACAGCAATAAAATACACCTGTCCAATAAAAGAAATGATCCAATGCACATTAAGTGCTAGCACACTCACATTATAAAGCTAAGAGTATTCTCTGCCCACACCAACCAAATCACTCATCACTGAAAATATCTTTAAAAATAACTTCACAAAAACTCAGATGTGTAATTCTGCCCATCAGCTAAAGTTATCCAGCATCCTTCACAAGTCAAATGTTTGAAATCAAATGTCTTCTCTGTTAGTTTGAAAAAAATGTAAGTAAGAAGCTGTTTAGATCTTGCAGTTATTTGCAAAACCTGCAAAACTGAAGGATCAACAGACAGAAGTACTACTTTGGGAATAAAGCCACACCCAAACACATTTTATTCCCAATGTTATGATGTCATCACACATCAGCACTTACACCATCCAGGAATCAGAAATTTTTCCTACCATATAAGTATGATGTTTGCACCAATGCTGTAACTAGGATCTCATACCCCCACCCGCCAGCCCTCGTATAGCATTTACTTTCAATGAATAAAAAACACAGTTGGTTGTTTACTCCTTATTGTATCTCAAATAAGATAAACAAGTTGCTGTTCTGAAAGCATGACACTGCCCCCACAAGCATTAACCTCAAATGTTTATATTAGACTACCTATTTAAGATTTTAGAATTATAAATAATGACTAAATCATATAGCAGGTTCTGAACAGTCTAATACCCCATTAGTTTGTACATATTTTGCTTTGGGTGGATTTTGCGAAAATATTGCAAAAATTGCAACTATGGCTTTTCAGTCTATTATAGAATGTTATCAATGTGATTTTCAGATGTTTATCTGGCATTTGATGTTACTGAGTCTGTATATATAAGTTATTTTATGTATAAACAGCAAATAAATTTGATATTTAAAACTGTAGTAGGGACATGCAATCAAAATAATGCACAAAGGCCTGCATAACTTCATGTATTCCCTGCCCCAAAACACCTGAACCAACTTATAAAAGGCTTTGTAATAAACTAACGAGCTAAATCAGGTGTTCTGAGAAAGAGAAGAGATGAAACAGGGGGTCCCCAGGAGTTAGGAGCTGGAACCACTGTCTATAACACAGCAAATATCAAAAACTCTAAAAACTATAATATCAAAATAATTACTTAAGCAAAACCTGCTCTTTACACTGATTAAGACACTTTAATCAACATGAAGCTGAATGCTGCAAAATATACTCAAAGTATTGATAAACAGGTAATTAACAAAACCTTTATGTAACAGAAAATCAAACATTACTGGGAAAAGGAAAGGCGTCCCCAAACTTTTGCTGGGCAGTGTAGATCGGCTGGCATTTACCTAACCCCACAGTGCGAGCGGTAATAAGGATGAATGGCTAATGTTAAGTCAACAAGGACCACGCGAAGTGCAGTGCAGCGGGTGTGCGGTATCTGCAGTGTGTGAATAAGGGAGAGCCCTGTTGAGATAAAGGGATTGGGGCGCTGGAGGCTGGCTCTTGGCCAGCTTTTATGAGCTCAATCAAAAGCAGCTTAATGAGCTGGAGCAACGCAGCGCTGGCAGCTTGAGCTGGGACCCTGAGGCCACAGGTGGAGAGCCACTCCCGGAGGGCAGACTGAAGGTCATCGGCCACAAGAGACCCCAGCACCTCCTCTCCCACTAACACTGACCCCTACGGCCCAGCTCAGACACACTGGATGTATATGATTTAAAACTAGCTGCCTCCATCAGTGAGTTCTTCAGCATCTTAAAGAACTAATCATGATTGAGTGGCAAGAGAAAAAATGGCTGTATTATCAAATACACATTTTCATGTTCCTACAGGATTTTCCTGCCAAACAGTTTAATTTAATAACTTTTTACTTAGTCAGGTAACACGCTGACAAAGAAATCAGTGTAATTACAGAATGTCAATGTAAGCGCATCCCATAATTTTCATGCACAATTGAATTTGACGTGCTCATGGGGATTTGATATATAACTCAGACTTCTTAACCATTTAAATTGCAAATTTACATTTAATAATGCAACACTTTCCTTTTTAAACCTAAAATTACACTCAGTTGCATTGCAACTACAGGGACATATATATTGTGATCCTTATGCTCTTAATAAAACCTTATTATTATATATCTTATTAGATCTTATCATACTATCTTCAGCACGTTTGTCAACCAATACAAAATCTACAGCTCACAAATCTACCTGTTCAATAAAAAAATTATCCAGTGCACATCTGAATGATGGCACGTTCTGGGACGCGACATGACAAAATATCATAGAGCTAAGACTATTCCTATGTATGCTCCGCCTACTGAATCACTCATCACTCCATAGAGTGAGAGCGAGGCATTTATCTGCTTAGTACCAATCTGGACTTAGTGCTTTGGAACACTTTGCTAATCCATTTTACTGGGGAAGGACAAAGGGACTCTCTTCTAACACACTTCAGATGTTTCTCATTGTTCTTGTCTACAGAAACAGATCACTATGACTAAAGATTGTGCTAAAACTGTCACTTCTTTATGATTTTTCTATACATTGTCACAGAGGTCGTATTTTCCATGTTCCCTTATTCCCTAATTTCAGTGGAATATATGGCCTTGGATCATGTCGGCTCGCCCTGTACTAGGAGATAAAGGCAGCAAAAGCTGTGAGCTCTCTGCATGAAGAGAAGAGAGAGGTGATTCACTCAGCACTAGGGTATCACGATATGCATGTTAATATCATATTTTTTCAATACGGGACTTGCAAGACCATGCATGCTTGAATCGAATACGGCTAGATTTCATGCTATAAAATGTGTGACATTGGGAATGGTTCTATTGTTCTATTTAACACAATTAATGATGTTCTTAAATATTTTAACCATGAATGTAAAACACTTTGCCACAAAGAAAAAAACTGGAAAAAAACTGTTTTGGTTGGCATACCTTTGACAAAGTTAACGTTAGCTTCTTATTCTGCTGCTTTGTATTCAAATTTTCTGATCCAAAAAGGTGCAGCAGTTATATTGTAGCGACTCAAATAAGAAGCTAACTTCTGCTTTGACTACCTTGAGTGTTTGATCAGCCAAGCAGTTTGAAATGGTGTGCTGAGAGAGGAAGCTTGAGCTGCATGTTCATCTTCTGTTTGGGAACATTTCGGTTTCCCACTCGAGTTTAATATTGATGGGCAAAGAGTGGCAGACCGAATGCCTGTATTGTGCGAGTATTAATTACCCGTGCTAATACATCAGCAATGTTAACTCATTTGTGAAAACATCACCCAAATGTCCAGAGGATTCAAGCAGCCTTTAAGTGCCAAATCAGAGCGAGCAAAACAAATAACTCCACAGGGATACTTGTGGTGTCTAATTTGCACCTCTATTCGGTTGTAGAGAGTCCTGGCAGTTCCACAGTTTGTCAGGAGTAATTGAGTTAGAAAATCTTCATTCATTCATTTTAGTTCTTTTAAGTTGTAGCTTTATAGTCCACACATTTTGATGAGCCGTCATAATACATGTTTGTCCCACACACACCTGCAACATATATATTTTTTTTATATATTTATGTCTTCTAAGAAAATTACTTGTGCCAGTTATTGCTTCAACAAGCACTGTTTAAGTTTTGGATAAAAATGGGTATTACCAAAAATATATAGTGAAGAAAAGAAAGAACGGGGAAAATTATGATAGCATTTCTTTTCTAGTTCTGTTACGAAAATGTATCATTTTGTGATACAAAAACAGCACTATGAATTATATCGTATTGAATTTGCATACTGTTACACAAACTACTCAGCCTTAAACCTCAGAGCATACAATAACCACAAATTCTTCTTCAAAGTGTGCAATGTCTGTCAAGTGTATTTCGAAAGAACTCTGGAACTTCGAAATCTAATGATCGGCTGTAAATATGTTTAATGCAAAAACTAAACTATTGATGATTTCTCTGAACTTTGAGCAAGTCAGCTGAAAGCACAGAATGGCGTATGACTAATTTAAATCCCAGCATGTCACCATTTCATAAAAGTATGGTGTCTTGAATCACACCAGCATCAGCTTAGTAAGAATAATCTTTTTCTCAGTTATTAATTTGCAGGTGGACTGCAAATTACGTCAGCCAGAGGTGAAGAGGGGACTCTTACACACCATCTTTTAAAACAATACAGGTTTTTAATATCTCTAAATGATATTATCTAGTTCTCTAGTTTTCCTTCTTCTCTGATCACCTGTAGGCCAAGAAAGTATTTTCACAACTGTTGAGGCATGTATGAATCAGACAGGCCAAATTACAGTTAAGATTTCTTGCCTCTTCTATCACCTCAACTTTCATGATCTATCATACAGAAATATCTATCCCCACAACAGACACTCCAAAAGAGCTCGTATCACCAAGCATGCAGCATTATTAGCAGCTTATTAGTTATACTGTTATTCAAGAAACGCTTGATCTATACAATGCATGCTAATTAGGTTTCCTTTATGAAGAGACATAGCACTGAAGTGCTCTTACCCTCTCCCAGAGGATCCAGTGTATGAATCATCAGCTGGAAAATGGTGTTTCTCATGGTGCTGTTATGCAAAGAGGCTGAACTGCCCCCTCGCTGAAGTGTGGGCTTTAGCTGAAGATGGGGAGAGACAGACATGCATACAAACACTCAATTGTACGCAGATATGAAAGATGGCAACAGGTCAGACTTAGTCTAATAGTCAAAAGTGGCTTTGTTTTCATGCTCAGAGCGAGTAAGCCTGTTTAAAAACACTTTACCAGCACAGTGACTGCCAAAATAAGTAAACTGAAATATAAAATTGTGTTTATGTAATATATTTTATTAATATGAAAAGTCTGTACACAAATTAAATCAAGTAAATTTAGCACATTATTTTTTAATGCACATTTTATGTATTTCAACAGTTTTGCTATATTTCTTTTAAATTTTTAGGTGGTGTATCAAGTTTATTTATCCACTTTTTTCATTACCTTTAATCGATTCTTGTCCTCAGCAGGTTCAGGGGGGGCATTGTCATCAGTTGATGTCCCATTTTCCTGTGAGCAACAATGATTTTAAACATTACAGAAGACTTAAAGCACCAATGTTGTCTCGACATGGGGTTAATATTCTTAACTTCTTTAAAATTCAAATTAGAACAGAAGCAATTACATGCAATGATGACATTCACATGTTCTCATACTGAAACTGAAACGGGATTACTGAAACTGGTGCAGTCTGAATATAAAAAGCTCAAATTATGAAATGTCTCAAGCATTTGGAATGCATACATCTACATATCTAAATGATTACTGAGCCACTAGGAATATTACTTAAAATCACTGTGTGACATACATAACCGGGTATTCAAATATAATATCAAAAATGACATTTTTTGTCTTTGCATAAAAATGTGTGGGCTAAAAAACTGCACCAGCGTGTGACATCCACCAAAATAGAACAATCAAAGCACATGTTTAGTACCATCAGTTGCAGAAATGTAATAAAATCTCCGCTTGCTCTCTGCCTGCAAATATCTGACAGCTGAAGTGAAGCGATTTTGTATTAATGGACTATGAAGTAATGGTTCAGAATGGCTTATATTTTTACCACCAATTTTATTATGCACTTCCCAGCACTAGATTAGATCTCCCTGACATAATGTGCTTTGTCTTTCTACGTTAAAAAAAAATACTCTTAGTTGTTTAATTTAGGATGCAAAATGTATTATAAACCTATCATTCAAGTTACATTAGGCATTCAGGTCTAAAAGGAAAATGTAGACTTACAATTCTTAGCAATAGAGAATGGTGTACCTTAGGGTTCAATATTAGGGCCACTGTGTAAATTTGTCAAATGCCTTAATGAAGATGACAGGGTAGAGTTTCTCTGACACACCTTTATACGTACTATTATCTAACCAAGAAAATGATGGTGAAATTTCATTTCTAATACACAAACAGATCGGTTTATGTCATTTAAACATTGTTTTCCCAAATGGTTAAAATATTTTATGGCTATTGAAAATATGCTTTAGCCTTATTGTAACTTGGAGTGTTTAGTTCCAACCCTTATCTAACACACAGATCAATCAGGACAGACAAGCAAAGCTAATCATGGTCCGTGGATAAAACTAGCCTGCACAGGAAAATTTCCTGAAGCTAAGATTGGCACCTCTGCCGCATTACAAGAGATCTTTGTTGATAATTCATGTGTTTTTTACTGTCCTCACTTACTGTGCATCTTAAACTTGTCTCTATCAAATGATTTATTAAACAAGCTTTTACACATTAGGGACTGAATTAGTTTTAAAAATATACAAAATATTTTTTTCATAAATATCATCCTTTAATTGATGACTGAATAAGATTTTGGTATTTTATTATTTTAGATTATAGATTATAATCTATGGTCGCACTACTACAAAAACTACTAGTGGACTGTAAAATAAAATAATGTTAAAATTGATCTAATTACCCAAATACATTTCTTCACGTTTATTAAAAATGTATTTATTAATAAAGTAAAACTTTCTTAATTCTTAATACTTAATTCTTAATTCATAATAACCTTATCTCTACATTTTGTTACAGAAGGAATAAAAATGCAATAAGCTGCAAATTCTAATACATGGGTCCAGCTGCAAAGATCAACAATCAAAGCATCTATATTACAATTTTTATGTTATAAATAATACTATCATGAAAAACTTAAACTGGTCATCTGAGAAAAACAAAACATTTTGGATGTCATCTTTTTTAAAAGCAAAAAGAACTTATATTGGATTAAATATTTTAAAAATAAGCCTTAAAGCCCAAAACAGGAGGATGCATCAACTCTTTGGGGTGGTGAGGGTTGAGGATTTATATTTTAATTCTTTACACGTCAGAAGCAAAACATTCAATGCAGTGCAAAAAGCTGCATTGTTTTTATGGTGGGTTACTGTTAAAGTGATTCAAAAACATACCAGAGCTAAAACATCTGTAATTGTGTTTCAGTTCTGCATAATAGGTTCAGCAAGACAGTATGATAACACTGTCCTATACAGACAACAGTGAAATTTGATTGTCTTATGTTTATTCATTAAGCACTTCAGATTTACTTGTTCTGAAACACATGTTTAAGCATGCTTATTATTTATCCAGGAGTGAATTTTGATGTGCAACTTTTTTCAATGTTTTATTCATGTTTATGGATGAAGCAGATTAATGCAGATTGGTTTACTGATCCGTTGAATACTTGTATAGTTTACAGCATTCTGAAAACAGCATGTTTAGTGACTTTAGGTGGAATTCTAGTTAAAAAATATTTACAATACTGCACAAAAGCCAGAGACCACCCTTCTATTTAATTTCCAAAATTCATTACGTACAAGTTATTGCTGAGTACCACAGATACAAGACACTTGCATAAGGAAGAGGAAGGTCAAAGTAAAATACATGAATAAAGTAGGTGTTTCCAAAACTGAAGTTCAAAAAAATCATTATTAAAAGATACAGAGAAAATGGGACAATGTGTAAGACCTGGTAGACCACCAAAACTGTCACCATCAGATAAACAGTACTTAAAACTTTCAACTTTGAGAGAGAGGAGAATATCAAGCTCTGAACTATCTTACTTTTTTCACCTTATCCCCATGAAACCTATATCAAAGTATCTGCTAACTCTAAATACTTCTCTAAAAATTATTGACAATTGTAAACAGTATGGCTGCCACATGGCACATGCCCCCCCCGAGGTTTAACTTATTTCACATCAGTGGCTATAGATCAGGATTGCTTTGGCCAATTCTCATGAAACTTAACAAGCCTATACCCAGGATCATTTTGTGGAAGCTCACCAACTTTGATACCAATGGTTCAATAGGGGGTGCTATAACAAATAAAAATCTGTTTGGCCAACTTAACTGAAATTCTGCAAGCTGCATCATTGGTCCACTTTATAGGTAGGGTGCTAAGGACAACTCAATAATTTTACAAAAAGGATAGCTTAGCACTGGCCACTCATCACACAAATTGAATGATGTGTCTACACAGGCATTCTCTAAAAGCCTATAAAGTTGTTCTCAATTGGCCATTAGGTTGTGCTATAAATAAATAAGAATAAGTCATATTAATATTATCTTGGCTAAAAATAAATCACTTATTATCATACTGTCCAAAAAGTCTTTAAAATTGTTCAAAGTTTGAAAAATTAGCTTTTCAGCCTAGTCAGTGAATTTAAGGCAAATTGTATCAAATTTGGTCTTAAAATAATCTGTAGAAAAGGTAAGGTAAATAACCATTTTTTAAATATTGACTTTATTGCACAGAATGGCCTCAAAACATCACTCAGTTTGTTTGGCCTGGCTTTTTCTGACATAAGGGGCTATAAATCCAAGAGTTTTCATCTGATTGTGACAATACAAAAAAATGTAATAACCATTTTCTGAGTAGCGTGCAAAGTTTATTTAAATTGATCTTCATAGGCCCCTACAATACTTAATCTAGAGTAAATTTACTAAATGTCATTATTTATTTCTACAATTTAAATAAAGAAGCAACATTGGTTTCAAACTGCACATTTCATTTAAACCTTAAACTTTGCAAAAGCCGTATGTTGCAAAATTGCTTAGTAAATATGGTCATTTGACTTAAAACCATCTTGATCATATTATCAGGCATGGCTATATTTTCTCCAGCCACCAGAGGGAGCTTCAGAAATATCTGCAACTGCCAACTCCACGCCAAAGTTGTAAGCTTTACTATATTTATCTTGTGGCAGAGAAAGTTTCTGATTGTTTTGTATTCTCCTGAAACTGAGATTTTCAAATACAAGCCTTTTAAAAAACTCTATTGTTTTCCAGTAAATCATCAAAGTTTTAAATGTGATTTTTAACACTCTTCCATGGATTTTTATTGCATCCTTTCAAGCTTTATCTTAAAACAACAGTCAAAGTCTCAAGGGCAATTACATTAAGAAAATCTTGCCTTTTAAGCACAGTATTATTGCAAGTTATGAATCAATCAGTTCGGCGAGGCTTACTCTAACACAAGGGGCCATAAATGTACATTGACAACAATCAGCTGAGGAAACATATGGCATTTGGCTTGTAATTGGCTCTTACAACGCTCAATGTGATGTCATCATTAGCAATTGTTTCAAATTATATATCTTAATGAACCTTAACACTTTGCAAAGATAACTATGTTGCTTAACATGACAGTAAATCTTGTTATTTGATCTGAGCAAATAATGATCACAGAATCAGGTGTTATTTTTTTTGGTTACCAGAGGGAGCCACATCACAAGAGCATTTCTGAATGTTAAGCTTTTCACCAAACCTGACAATTTTGCAAATGCAAGTCTTTTAATATAAAAACTCTGTTGTTTTTCAGCAAATCGTCAAAGTTTGAAAACTGATTTTTATTGCGTCCTATTAAACGTGGTCTTAAAATAATCAGGAGAGTCTGAAGGTCAATAATTATTAAACAAATCTTGCATTTTCTGCACAGCATGGCTGCAAGATATAAATCAATCAGTCTGGCCTGGCTTATTCTGACACAAGGGTCTATAAACCTATCAGTGATGCTCTGATTGTGACTAAATTTGATATGCATGTACAGAATAATGAGCTGAGAAAGTTTTCAAAACTTGGCTTGAATCAATCTCAGGTGGACCTTACATTGGTCAATCTAGTGCCATAAATTTTAAATATCATTATATCTTTCTAAGATTAAAGTACAAAAATAATAATGATTTTAACCAACACACCTCATAAAGACTTAGATCTCTGCAAATACATTTATTTTCCTAAATTACACAGGAAGTCAGGCAAGTTAATTTGAATCTATCCATTAAATTCTTAATATATTGCAATATATCAGTATTTGCAAAGGGTATACTTCAAAACACTAAAAATACATCAACAATTTGAGCCATATGTACAAAATGACAAACTGATGGTGTATTATGTATTATGTATGTTTCAGTTATATTAATTAATAAATGCAATGATTAAGAGCGGGAACTAGTTCCTAAAATGCTTCTTGGTTTCTTGTTGCTCCCTTCCAATAAATTGTCTCAAAAATTGCTGCTCTACCCCAGGCCCCTTGTGGCTCACCATGAAAACATCTGCTTTTGAAGATTAAGGTTGTGGACCTGTATAAATTCTAGTGGACATATCACTTAGAAGTCTTAATCATAAGTAATGGAGGACTTAAAAATTCTACCATCTACAGCCTTCTACAACTAGAGGCTAACACATAAGCCATCACTGACTTCATGGTGCTTGGGCCCCGCTGCTTGTGGCTATGCTTTATATTATATTTAGCTGTTGAGGCTTCTGTGTAATTTTCTGTTTACAATATGTTTTCTGTTGTTTTTCCTTATGCTGAAAAATGACTAACTTCTACTTAATGGCCATTTTGACTGGAAATTAAATAAATGAAAGACTTTTTCACAGTACCGTACGTGAGTAAAATATCATACCAAAAAAGAAAGCTTCACTCATAAATACTCCAATCACAGAATTGTGTTACGTTTTCTTTGTACTGATAAAGAAGCATGAGAGCATAAGCACAAATTTATGTTTCCTTTCCAATATCTGTGTTCTCCATGTGTTAAGACTGCCCTTAATCATCTGTGATAAATGTGAGCCACTGGGTTTAGTTGGATTCAGGTCCAGGGCCTCCAGGGCCTTGTAAGCCTTCTTACACCCTTCTAACACTATATAAGCTTCAATCACACTTACAAGACTTAAACACTATATACGTTACACAGTTTGGGCAGCAGAGCCGGCCCTCAAAGGATTAGAGGTTATGGTGGGAGAACGGCTTTGTTCAAGCAAGTGACAGAAAAATATATCAGCAGCTTGCTGAAACTTGCACAGCTGTGGCTGTAACTTATCAAGGTTAATGGGCTAAATCGTTAAGAAAATGTTTTTTCATGGTCCTGTGAAGCTGCAACAGGTATTGTGTTATCAAATTCATTATTACTTCACATTCAACAAGCGTTAAGGATCTTTCCAGGACATTACAGGAATTATTAACTGCAGTCTTTTTGTAACTGGAGAAAAACAACTGCAATGCACAAAGGTGTAGTTGCTAATAAAGTATACACTAATGAGCATAATGATTTCTTATTTCTTACTTATTTCTTAATTTGAGGGGAGTCTTTTCAGTGCTACATTTAATCTTGTCCTGAAGTGTGTGCCTGTACGCATATGTGAAGAAAAATTATGGCAGATTAGTGTAAGTGTTGATCTCTCTAAAGCGCCCACTCATCACAGCATCTAAGCTAAGAGAAAGTGAGGATGAGGAGGAGAGCTTGTAAACACATTCTCACCGTATGAAAGCTTTATGTTGAAAAGGACATTTGAAATGGTGTCGGGTCATATTTTTAGTGGCATGGTATTAATATTGATTGAATTCTCACTGTCAGTCTGCATAAACTACGTCACACATTACAGGACGACTCATTAGCGAGATCTCGCTCTCACAAACACAAGAGATCCTTTTCATTTGTCTCTTCAAAGGCTCACAAACACGTGTGTGTCTGCTTAATGAATAAACATAGGACAATCAAATTTCACTGTTGTCTGTGTAGGACAGCGTTATAATGCCATCTCATTGAACCTGTTATGCAGAACTGAAACACAATTACAGATATTGTATGTTTTTAGATCACTTTAACAGTAACCCACCATAAAAACAGTGCCGCTTTTTGCATTGCATTGAATGTTCTGCTTCTAAAGTGTAAAGAAGGGTTGCAACGTACAACTGATCAAACCCAAACTGGACTCATGGCCCACTGACTATGACTGGATTAATCTGTTGCAGTGCAAAGCCTTTTCAGGCATCTCTTGTTGCCAGTTTGCATTATAAGAAGACTTCAAACTGAAACATTTCCTGGCTTGAATGTACGGTTCTCAGAAAACAAATTACTTCAAACTCTTTTATTTCAAGGAAACTTCTCTGTGATATGTGCCCTTTAAAAAAGGTTCTTCACACTCATATACCTCATTCACAAAAATGGTTGTTTAAAGGAATGTCTTTTGGAAAAATCTAATTTACACAATTTTCCATTTCCTCTAAATTTAGTACATCAGCTAAGGCATGTCTGGTGCCCAAATTTTGCTTCTTTACTTTAGCGCTGTAGCTTGCTAACAAACACTAGAAATCAATAGACACCCAAAACTCTTTCATAAAAAACATTCCTAAAACTTATCTTAGCCCACTCAAACTGCATCCAAGACTTCATTAAGGTTGCACAGACTTGTCAACCTATTATCAATAGTGAATGCCCGTTGCATTGAGCTACAGGGTGAAGTTTTACAGTTATAATGTGTCCTAAACCACATCAACAAGTTTAAGCAACTGCCATTTGAATGGGTTGAGAGTAGTTCTGGGGATGTATATACAGAAAAGACTGACTATTGACTATTGACTTCTAGTGTTTGTTAGCAACATTAGCCTCATAGCTCCAGCAATAACTAAAGGAGCAAAAATGGGATACTGAATCTTGGCTGTTTAGGAGCAAGTGCAAAATTGTGTGAATTAGATTCACCCTTTGGTGGGTTATTTCCACCAAAAGTGGTTCTTTTATGGCAGTAGTCAAGCTGGTTCTCAGGGACCCTTAGATGGCCCACATTTTTGCTCTATCCCTTGGCATTGTGAGATGGGATATTTTTATCTATCCCTTTGTATTGTGAGTTGGCAAAATGCGGACAGTCTTGGGGTCCCTAAGGACCAGTTTGAGAACCACTGTTTTGTGGTATCGCTCCAAATAACTCTTTTGGCACCTTTATATTAAGAGTGCACCCAACAGATGGAAAAACGGAAGGGACACACCTTCTCAGGCTCCTCCACTGCAATGACTTTGACGATGTTCTTGTGCTTGTGGAGCTGAGCCTTGAATGCACGTTCGATCTGTACGTTGTATTTCATGAAGTAGACGTAAGTGGCATAGCCCCCCACCAACATTATGCTCTCCCACCACATGATGGTATTGTCCAGGAAGAAGATGATGAGCATGATGAGGTCTAAGATGTAGAACGACACATCCCGGAAGAGAGGCCACCAGGTGAGGTGGAGCATCTCCCGAGAGAAAAGGGCGCACATTCCTATCACAAACAAGATATTAAAGACAGCTGAGCCCACAATGGTCCCGATACCCACGTTACTGTGTGAGATAAAGACACCGATCAACGAGGTAAAGAGTTCAGGGGCAGAGCCTCCAGCAGCCATGAACGTTGCCCCAGCAACGTCATCCGAAATCTCCAGTTTGTCCGTGATGACTCCAAGAGTAGGGACAAAAAACTCGTCACATACAATGGCCAAAGAAACGAACATGTATATCATCCCAAAGATGTGCAGAACCACCCAGCCTTTCCGCCGTTCCTCAACGGAGAAGATGTCCTCAGGGTATTCACCCTTCATGTGAGGCGGCTTTGGATGGCTGGCAGCCGTGGTTGGTGGTGTAGGTGTGGTGGTTTCGGGTGCTGGTGTGGGAGCTGGAGTGGGCTTTGGAAGGTCTGGATCTACATAGATGCAGTGGATGATTGTCCTGTTTGTGGTGGCTATGGTGGTCAACTCTGTTGTCTCAGTTGTCTCTGCTTTGGGAGGGGCCAAGGTGGTGGCAGTTGTCTCTTGTGAATGCACCACATCTGTATGAGTTGTGACCTCCAACTCCACAGCAGTGGTGCTCAGCTTAACTGTTGTTCCAGGTTCTTCCAGCAGTCCTTCAGTAGCCTTCTCCAAACCATCCTCTGGGCCATCCTCTGGTTGTTCTCCAACCTGAGGCTCTGGCCAGGGTTCTGGTAGCCTGGACCTAATGGTAAGTTGGTATATACAACAAAGCAAAACCCCAGACAAGAGAAATATAATCCGGCTCAGCTGAAGTCTCTTTCTCCGAGTCAGGTACATTTTCCACTCTGCTTCCTAAAGGACACCAAGTTGCTTGTTTGGGCAATACAACCCGACACGTCTGGAGATTCCCCCCAAATGATGATGGGGTGTACAGTGCCCTCTCACAGAGTGAAACATCTCATTCTCTCACTGCTGGAGGATTCCTCTCCCGGCCTCTTGCTGTGGACAGAAGGGTATTGAGGTCGAACAATGAGCACAACCTTTAGGCAACAGGTTGCATGCTTGCATATCTGCCTTAGTGACAAAAAGCCCAGCTATGCAAACCAGACAGTCTATATTAGTCTGTTGTACCTCTGATGAAATTATTAAAAATCACTGAATTCAAGGGTTCTTTAGAAAATGCAAAGGTTATAGCACTGTGTGACAAATTTAAAGAGCCCTATGAATGGCTTAACGGTTCTTCTCTATGATGGAAAATCTGTTTTACCTTGTTCTTTAAAAAAGGTTTTAAAATGGTTCTATATAGCACCAAAAATGGATCCACTATCGTCACAAGTCAAAGAATCATTTTGAGACTTTTGAGAAGAGTGTAGGCTACACTTCAATAAACGTTACGGCTAAATAAATAAATAAATAAATAAAATGAAGAAAGAAAGAAAGAAAGTAAGAAAAAAGAAAGAAAGAAAGAAACATCAGTAAGTTAATCTCTGGGTGACCTTACTAAAAAGAGAATAAAAATGCCCGTCGGGCGCTCACACTATGGGAAAACGGATATTTCTGAGGTTACCATTTCCCCTTCTTTTACCTATAAGATATAGCTGTGTATACCTGGTCTCTGGAGAGTAGCTGTACTCACCGGTGCTGCTGCAGGAGCCGAGGCGCTGAAGGCTGCTGGCCACACAGCTGGGCTGCACACGGAGCTCCGGCGGACAGGCGAGCATGCTGGGCGCAGCAGCTCAGGTCAATCAGGACGCACCGCAGGACAGCTCTTCACCGTGGATCAGCATAATACCTAATACCTGAAGTCTTTTAAGAGGATTATGTGTACTGTCTCCCCACACTCTCATTACGTCTTGAACCATTTTCATCCCAATTATTTGAATCGGTTGCGGTTTCCTTGCTAATTGCACGAAATAAACAAAATAAATAAAAGATGCGCCGTGAGAGGAAAATAAGTAACAGGTTGCAGAGACGCCGAACGCTAAAGTTTTGAAACACTTATAGACTCTTTCATGCTTTCTCTCTCTTCAACAAAACGAGTGAAACTACAGGGATACATATTGGTGGGTTTCCTTTCAACTGTTTCATCCTTAAAAATTCTCCTATCTAATTACTGACTGCTCTCTCTCTCTCTCTCTCTCTCTCTCTCTCTCTCTCTCTCTCTCTCTCTCTCTCTCTCTCTCTCTCTCTCTCTCTCTCTCTCTCTCTCTCTCTCTCTCTCTCTCTCTCTTCCCCTCCCTCCTAGGAACAAAATGTCACGTTTCCATCGTTCCTACACGGTATTGTTATATGGTGCACATTCACTCTAAGCGGAGTTGTCTTTGTATTTCGGCTCTGAAATGGGTAAAGTCTAAATTTTTAGCACTTCTTTTTTAATTTTAGTCTAGTCTATTGAACGAGTTCACACGAATGAAGCTGAAGGCAGCTTCTAATTCGCCAGCTTCTGGTTCAACTTTTTCCGTTCCACCTTAAATGGTGCAGCAGTTATTATTATAACGCCTTAGGCTTTAGAATGGAACTGCTGCACCATTTAAGGTGGAACGGGGGTATTCGAACACGAAACTGGCGAATGGGAAACCCGCTTAACCCTCGTTTTATTCGGTATATACTATCTTCATAGAGCCGCAGGCCTTTATAAGGTTTATCTGGGTGTCGTTAAAATGGGGTTTAGCTCTCAGATGTAGCGCTGCTGCTTGCTAGCTTGGTTAAAAAGCAAGAAAAAATGTTTACGTTTGTCAGGAAATCGACATGATAGCATGGAAGAAGCTTCTGCACTTCATCTTCGTGCTAACGTTATATCTTTATGGCTCTGCTTCGTAGTTAAGCTAACGTTACTTAAACTTGTACATAAACAAAAATGTAGTTAAGTTACAGTGCCAGTTTCTGCGGCATTTGCTTCAGCTACACTCTTTAAAAAGATGATTCTTCAGGGGTTCCTTAGTAAAGGCAATGGTTCTGTTTAGGACCACGATTACTATATAGAACCTTTTCAAGCTTATAGGCTTTTTGCATGGTGAAGTGGTTCTTCAGATTGTTGGAGAACATGTTGTGTATGTTTCTACATAGAACTTTTTTGAAAATGGTTCTATATAGCACCACAAAGGGTTCTGCCATTGTTATGAAGCTTGTAAGAAAAGCAGAACCCTTTTTGAAAAGGTTTCTATATACAGCTATATGCAACACATTCTCCATCAATCTGAAGAACCGAACCATATCACTATGCAAAGAATTGTTTAAGCATGAAAAACCATCTTTTTAAGAGTGTGTATATATATATATGTGTATATATATATGTGTGTATATATAATATATATATATATATATATATATATATATATATCCCAAAAAACATTCTATATATTCTATATTAACATGTCTTGCTTGTACATAACTCTAATTATTTATTACATGTATGACTTAAAAAATTTTGCAAAGTATCATTTCCCTGTGTGAAGTAGTGCACTTATATATCAGTGCAGCTGAGCTATAAAAAGTACAAAAACCTGAACTTATTTGAGTGATACACAGTGATCTCGCAGTTATACTGGTATTGGTAAATAATTAAAAAATTATCAGCGTTGGACAGATGTTTAGATTCAGTCTATATTTCAAACTGATATTGGATGATATCTGATGAAATCCTGGTAGATGTAGTCCCATTTTCTTTGTTTTATAAATATTTATGCATTTTTATGTACATGAAAAAATATTAGATATCTGTGCTGGCCCACACTTCCTATGTCGGAGCATCTTGTGTAACTTGTCTCAACCATGTTGAATCCCCCATAATAGAATAGCAAAATCTATGCTCAGTCTGAAACGAAGCATTAACTACAATTATGTTATGTAGGTAAGACTCTGTTTTTTCAAGTTGTATGGTTTCCATGAAAGACAACCAATTAGAGCTCCTCAGGAGAGACTACATCTGTGATTTTAAAAATTCAGTGCCCTGAATGTGTTTCACAAACTTTTTTTTTATTTTTTTTTACTTTTTGATATTGTATTGACATTGTTACATCCTTACTCTTACCATATTTAGAATTAGCTGTCCTCATAGACATAATCTGTTTCTGCAAATTCTCACAGGTGGGTGGTGGAAACATCCTTAACTTTTTCACAGTAACAGCAGGACCCAGTAACCATGCCGACTGTGGTTCTGATGGACGCATCGCTCTCCATGACACGACCTGTGTCTTTGGAGGGCAGTGAAGAGTTTCAGAGGAAAAATCTGGCTGTACATGGACTAACCATGCTGTTTGAGCACATGGCTACAAATTACAGACTAGAGTTCACTGCCCTTGTTGTCTTTTCTTCCCTCTGGGAGCTCATGGTGCCTTTCACCAGAGACTACAACACTCTACAGGTATGAACGATGGCTGTAGTATAAATACTGTGGTGCTGTGTTCATTTCATGTCAAGACTTGTAAAATGGTCTCTTTCGCTAATGAGTTGAGGATAGTCGTTTAATAGCTAAGCATATGCAGGGCTTCTATACAGATATATGGTGATTATAATCTGTATAAGGACAGTTTACAGTTGAACAAAAAAATGACATTGATTTCCAGCATAATATTAAATGAGGGTTGTTCTCTCTCTCATGTTATGCAGGAGGCCTTGAACAATCTGGAGGACTATGATAAAACTTGCCTGGAGTCAGCCCTGCAGGGAGTCAGTAACATTGTACAGCAGGAGTGGGGCAGCACATGTCCCTGCCAGGTAATGTGTGTTTGGTGAAGCAGAGGAATATTTAATTTAAATGGGAACCCTCAGTCAGACAATTTAAGTCAGGCATCATGACTGCCGAAAAGAAGGAAGGACAAGGAATTTACATATCATCCACTCTTGATACTCTTGATTAAATAATGCAGCTACTTGAGTAATTATGCTTTATGAATTATCTCGGAGGGCGATCATTTGAAAATTTCCATTGTGTTGTCTTGTCAGTGACATCCATAATAACATTTGTTGGTGTTAATGTCAGTTCTGATTGTTGTGCTTCATTTGATGGCCTGTAGGTGGTGCTGGTTACTGATGGTGCTCTGGGCATCGGCCGTGGTTCTCTGCGCCACTCCCTGGCCACACTGAAACAACGTGGAGACGACAAGAAGTTCCCCCTACCCTTCCCTTTCCCCTCCAAACTGTACATCATGTGCATCTCCAATGCAGAGGAGGTACTCCTGACAAATGAACTAAATATAATTAATAATACAGTCAGATTTATTTAATTTCCAGTCAAAACAGCCACTAAGTTATTATTTTTTTAACATCAGGAAAAAGAAAAAAACATATATTTAACACAAAACTACACAGAAGAGAAGCCTCAACAGTTAAATGTATTTTTTTTTGTCAGTATTTACTGTGTCCACCCTTTTCAGCTTTCAGTTTTTGATAGAAATCTACAGGGATATTTTTCCACACCTCCAAAGTTGACTCTTAGAAGTTGGTTGCATTTTTCTGCTTCTCGCAATCCAAGTAATCCTGATTACAAATATTGACTCACCAGTCCAAAAAACCTTAATCTGCATCACAGATGCCCAGTTTCAGAGTTCTTGCGTATTTCATTTTCTCAGTAATGGCTTCAGGACCACTATACGTCCTTTCAGATACTTAAAATTGAGCTGTCTTCTCACGGTGGAGAGATGGACAAAAACACCTATGGATTTTTTTTTCAGATCTGAAACGAGTAGAGCTTGTTTTTTCTCTCAAAGATGAAAGCTTTAAGTTAAGGCTGGGCAATATGATGACAAATTATGTCACAATATGCTTTTCTGAGCATTTCATGGATATTGTCAGTATTTAAAGAACATTGACCAGCTGCATGTTTCATTACAAACAGAGCATAATGAGTCCTGGTGAATTAGATTTACTGCAGCACAGTAGATGAAATGTTAACCAGAACGTGAAACTAGATTCACTGGTTTCTTTGTATATTTAATAGATGTCCGGGGGGAAAAAAATCATTGTGATGCATATTCTGTATCGGAAAAAATACTTTAAGTATCGTCATGCTATTTTTTTCCAAAATGTCCACTCCTACATTAAGTGATGTTTATCTGATGGAGACAGTTTTGGTGGTTTACCCTGTCTTGGACAATTGTTAGGTTTCCTGTTTTCTCTATTTCTTTTAGTTTTGTTCTTTTTTTTTCTAGTTTTGGACTTTTTTTTTTCTTCAATTAATTAATTTTTCTGTTCCAATACTTTTTCTTATATGTAATCTCCTCAGAAATATCTACTTTAGCTATTTTAGTTGCATGTTAGAGACATTTGCCAGGAACCTAATGTATTTGGGTGGTTGCTTGTGTGAATGTTAGTGCCTCTTTGAAGGGAAACATGTATCAGTGGCACCTTTAGGAACACTTATTGTGGGGAGGACACAGCTGTAACACATTGGTTTTAAGCTTAACAGGATGGAAGAGTTAAAGTGGCAGTAGGGTGCGCAACAGCAAAGAGTGAACAAATTAAATACTGAGATATATATGATGTGATACTTATTGTTGGAGACTTCTGTATTAAACATGTTTCCTGAAACTGAGCAAATAATAACTTTTATGGCTGTTTTGACTGCAAATTAAATCAACAAATGGGTGGTCTCTGACTTTTGCACATAATATGTAGTGCCTAATAATTAAATAGTGCAGTCTGGTCCTCTTTTAGTATTGTTAACTTAGATGTGTCCATTTTGCAGCTCCAAGCCACTGATGCCATGGACAACTTGGAGCAGCTGCTCACATTAAGTGGTGGAGAGGGACAGATTTTTACTATGGATGGACCACTATGTTTAAAGAGTGTTCAAGCCATGTTTGGGTTTGTGACTTCACTGCACCATCTGTTTAACAGTTATATTGCATGCTTTTCTTAGACTTACTGTGCTCATTATGAAAACACTGTGGGTGGGCAGTGATTTTGTGTGCTTGTGTGCATGTGTGTTGGCAGAAAGCTGATCGACCAGGCGTACACACCTTTCCATGCAGTGCTACGCTGTGGGAACCTGGCCTCAGATGTGCAGGTGTTCCCCAGGCCAGAGCCTGTGCTACTGGATGAGGAGGTCGATCCAGTACCAAAAGCAGTGCTCACAGGTACTTCCACAGTAATGAGTAGTAATATAATGAAGCGTGTAGGTCACCCCTGCAGAAGAAATGTTCTTATGCACCGACTGGCTACTTCATTAAGTTACACCTCTTTGTTTCTATATTAATTTGTCCATTTTATTAGCTCTACCTACCATACTTAGTACTTTGGTGCACTTTCTACATCTACAATAAACAGATGGACTACAGTCTGTTCTCTTTTACCCTGTTCTTCAGTGATCAGGACTCCCACAGCACCACCACAGAGCAGGCATTATTTTGGTGGCTGATCATTCTTATCACTGCAGTGACACTGATGTGGTGGTGTGTTAGTGTGTGCTGTGCTGGTATGGAACAGACACAGCAGTGCTATTTAGATCTGCACTGAATGTATTAGGTTTATTTATAATGCAAATACTAAACCTGGGGTTCATTCCTGGAATTATATTGTCCTGCAAAATTTAAAGTACTCCCTGCCCAAACATTTCTTATCCAGCTTGATGAGATGTGTTGGGGCATACTTGAATCTGTGCAGGTCAGTAGATCCAAGGGAGTGGAGCTGAGTTGATTCTTTAGTATTTGCATTCTAAATAAACCCAATGTATGTTGCACAGGTCTAAATACATTATAATTCAGTTCTTTATGTAGAGGTATCCTGCACACTTTAGTACTTGTTACAGTAAATAAAAACAACTGAATGAGAGATGTATTCTAGTAAGGTGGATGAGATTCTCCACAAAAGTACAATCCGAGAATGATTTTTCTTATTTTGTTTCAGAGTTAGAGATAGTGGGCTTCATTGAGATCGGAGACATCGCCAGTCCTCCAGTCTTGTCCAGACACCTGGTCCTCCCCATAGCTGTTAACAAAGGTTCCTTCTTTATTTCACAGATTATTTGTTCCTTAGTTCCTACCCTTTCAGTGAAAATCTGATCATTCTTGCCTTTGTGTTTCCTCTTAGAAGCAGATGAGGTGGGAGCAGGGACTGCTGATGACATGGAAGAAGACACCTCAACCAATCAAATGGCAGGAAAGAGCCCCAATTTCTGTGTCCTTCTGCATGGCAGTCTAAAAGTGGAGGGCATGGTTGCCCTTGTGCAGCTGGGGTAAGAAACTGAAGAACAAGATAACCAAGCCACGGTGTTCTGTTCGAGTGTGTAAATATATCAGTGAAGTTCGTTGAGCAACAGCACTAAAGGTTCTCTTGCATAAGCTCATTGGTTTTAATCACCACAATGAAGTAGTTCAAATGAAACGGTGATCAATGTGCTAGGTCATACTGAAGACTTCATCTCTAATCTTGAGCTTCTTCCATCAGGCCTGACTGGTATGGAATGCTTTACTCCCAGGCAGATAGTAAGAAGAAGTCAAATCTAATGATGTCGCTTTTTGAACCTGGCCCAGAGCCTCTTCCATGGCTGGGGAAAATCTCTCAGCTTGGACCCATCTCAGGTAGAGTACAGCTTTCTTTCTGTGCCACAAAATGGCAATGTGAATAACAAAGTTTAGTTTAATTTGATCAGACAATGTCCCACTGAGACAAAGCCTTGTTTCCACAGGAGCTTTGTCAAATAGAAAAATAGATCTGTAACGTTCTCATCAATTATTAAGTTTCTGTTAGAAAATGAATGTTTATTCCTGTGGTGCAATATCATCTATTACTTACCATAAAATAATTACAAGAAAATTACCATCATTCATTTCATTGTATGCCCTCTGTCAAAGTATTTCAGATGTCATTGCTGAGAATTATGTTTTGTGGAAAAACTTCCATAACTTTTTGTTTTGTTTTTAAGATGCTCTAGAGAATCCTTATGGGGAAGATGACAGCAAAAGCCCTTTCCCTGTCCAGCCCAAAAGCAAACGCAGCTATGCCCAAAATGTCACTGTTTGGATCAAAGCCAGTGGACTGCAGGTATTTTAGCAGGAATACCACACCATCTCTCAAAAACATTAGGGATTCTTGAAGATTAAAGGTTCTGTGAAAAGCATGCCACAACTAGTTCTGCGTTTCATCTTTTGACTACAGACAGATGTGCAGAAAATCCTCCGAAATGCAAGAAAACTTCCAGAGAAAACGCAAACATTTTACAAGGTTAGTGTTATATGTAGTAAGTCAGAGCAAACTACCACATATGAGTTTACTTTGGACGCATTTTTGATTGTGAAGACTGAAAACTGTTGTTCCTTTTGGCATACATCTGTATATTAAAGGAGCTAAATCGTCTACGGAAGGCTGCTTTGGCTTTTGGTTTCTGGGAGCTGTTGAAATGTGTGGCTGAGCTGCTGGAGAGGGAGTGCACCCTCCTGCCTGACTCTGCCCATCCGGATGCTGCCTTCCAGCTGTCTCATGCTGCCCAGCAACTCAGGCTGGCCAGTACAGGAGACTCCCAGTATGCAGCCTTTGAACACAATATCACCCCCATGCTCACTGACTTCTCAGGTGGGGGAGGTGGTGCTGACCGGATGTAGATTAAAGGAAACATATGGGCTGGATGGAAGCTTTTCAGTAAACCACTGGACACTGCTTTTCTCCTCCCTGGAGCTTCAACACTGAAGAGGTTGCTAACAACCCCCCTGGACTGTTATGGCTTTTCCAAAGGCCCCATTCACAAGTCTTAGAAATAGATAACAAACTATGAACTTTGTGATATGTGAACCAAGTCTTTCATGACATGCATTTTTTTTAATCTCTTGTCTGCGTTTACTCTTTGAAAATAACAAGGCCAAGCAATCTGTTTCTTGACCGGGGGTAGTTTTTTGTGTACATAGAATTTTCTACCAGTGTCCAAAAGAAATAAAAGTGTGTTCGACATTTAATGTAGTTAATTCATGACTGCAATCTGTTACTTCGAAATCTTTATTAAAACATAGTTGTCAGTGGCAGGTCTCATTCAGTAGCATGTACCACATGTCTGATCTCTATTTAACCTAACAGAGCATCACCCCTCCTGTGGGTTTCTGCTGTACTTTGTTTTAAAATGTCACTGTCCCTGAGGTTCTTGGTCTCTTTACCAGGTTGTCTGATGTGTTCAGCAGAGATGACCATACTGAAACACATCCCAGGGAATGATTGAAAAGATGAAATGTTAATGATTTTTTTTAGCCAGGTCAGTCTTGTTGCTCTACCTCAATGCCAAATCCATCAGATATACAGCATAGAATGGAATGATGATTACATATATAAATACTTCCACTGGTCTGTCTAGTATTAAATACAACAAAAAATATTTTCTTTGCCTTTTAGTGATCTTTTTGTATAATGTATAGTAGTTTAGCCATGGAATGACTAACTTATGTTCAAGCAGTAAATGCACTTTGTTTAGGTTTGGGCAGAGTAGGGACAGATGGTTCTGCTTCTACGATGACTCCTCTGTGACAGAGTGGAAAGATGAAGGACGAAAGAAAACAAAAGAGAGAAAGAGGAGGAGAAGGAGAGCATCTGTACTGTAGGAGATGGCGATAAAGGCAGATAGCTGAAATATGGGTTTTCTTTTTCCAGGTCCTCAGTTGGCTTTCCTCTTCTTTGTGCGGAACCGCCTCCTTCTTAGCTTGTAGAGGTGGCGGAAGTTGAAGAAGAGTCCTGTGTCCAGCAATGTTATACAGTTCAGTGCTCATGCAGACCAATAAGATTACAGTGCACTTACTAGTAAGCAAGGATAGCTCATTTCAGCAAACCATTAGACTATTTGAAGAGGGAGAGGTACTCACCCAGGAACATGAGCAGCAGGTAGAGCTGTAAGACATAAGAGAAGCTGAGGGAGGAGCCCAGGGCTTCCGGTAGGCGAATGCTTAGGAATTTAGACTCATCAAATATGGGGATAGACTGGATGACAGCCACAGCTGAAGGACAAGAGAAGGGTTTCATAAACATCTGACCAGGACTGACTGAGTTGATAAGTGGTAAGTGCTTTAAAAATATTAACATGCATGCTTTAGGAATGACTGAACATGACAGTTAAGCAGTAAATGCTAAAGAGAGAGAAGTAGCAACATGCAGAAAATGAAAATAGGGCTATACATTACTGGACTCACCTTCAGCCAACACACCAAGTGGGTACAGGGGCATCCAAATTGTATACCGGAGCCAAGTTAGTGCTTTCCATTCGGTATCAATGCAAGCCAACATGTAGAAGGGGTATCTAAGTTTTAGAGTGGGGGGGGGGAAAAAAAACATTAACATGTTAAATCCAAATCCACTTTCATTTGAATCCTATATGGTCTCCCATTATATCAAAATTTTATTTTCACTTTCCTTCGAGTATTTCAGTTATGTTATCTAACACAACCGTTAAGTAATATCCTGCTCTGAAAATGTCATGTAGTCAGAGTGTGATTAAGAGATATAATGATGTTTTGGTTAAATTCAGAACCACATGTTTTTATCATGCTAACAACTTCCTTGACAGCAGTAACCACATAGTGCTGAAACCTCCCACCAAATACTTCACTGAAGTACCGTATATTTAAAAGCTTACCTAAATATCTCAATGGCACTCCACAGATAGAAGACGAAGAAAACAACTGGTTTGTTCTGCATCTCCTCTAAGCTACCAATGATGACAAAAAGGATAAAGTTCCTTCCCGTCACCTTTTAAGAATTCAAAAAGAAAAAAAAGTTAACAATCTATTATTTTCCTATATTAATTCCCACATTTAACAGTGTTAGTGCTCATTGGTTTTTCAAACTTTCTGGATAATAAAATGGTTAAGGTGAACAGTGCTATGAAAAAGTATTTGCCCCTTTTCCAATTTCTTCTATTTTTGCATATTTGTCACATGACGTGAATGTTTCAGATCATCAAACTACTTTTACTGTTATACAAAAAAATCCCAAGTAAACACAAAATACTATTCTTGAATGATGATTTCATTTCTTGAAGAAAAAATGCTGTTCAGCCCTACCTGGCCCTATGTGAAAAGTAATTGCCCCCTACTAATTCAACTAGTTAACCAAATTCACTTGACTATTTTACTAGCCGCTCCCAGAGATTGAATCTGTTGAATCTAAACATTACTTAAATAAAACCTGTCTGCCAATGTGAAGCAGGCCACAAGGTCTGAATAAGTAGTACATGATGTCACACTCATTGAAATCTACCAGTATGGAAAGGGTTACAAAGCCAAGGCTAAGGCTCTGGGACTGCAGCAAACCATAGAGTCATTATCCAGAATTGGAGAGAACTCAGTACAGTGGTGAACCTTTCCAGAAGTGGCCAGCCTACCAAAATTTCACCCAGAGCACATCAACGACTCACAAAAGAACCCAGATGAACATCTGAAGAACGGCAGGCCTCACCTGCCTCAATTAAGGTCAATGTACATGATTCCACAATAAAAAAGACAGTGGGCAAAATGGCATCCATTGGAGAGTTGCAAGGCACAAACCACTGCTGACCAAAAAGAACACAAAGGCTCGTCTCACATTTGCCAAGCGCAGTTGGGTTATGTAGCAAGACAATGAACCGAAGTCCACCTCTGAATGGCTCAAAAAAAGCAAAATTAAGGTTTTGAAGTGGCCTATTTAAGGTCCTGACTTGAATTCTTTTAAATCATCAAAAGTTATTGTAAACGTTTGATTGCAGCTGTTACTGCCAAGGGTGGTACAACCAAAGGGTGGCTATTACTTTTTCACATGGGTGATATAGGTTTAGAATAAATTTTTATCTTCAATAAATGAAATGATCATAAAAGCTGCATTTTGTGTTCATTTGTGTTGTTTTTATCTTAAATTAAAATTAGTTGGATGATCTAAAACAGCAAAAATTGGAAGAAATCGGGTGAGGTGCAAATACTTTTTCATAGCACTGTGTATTACGTCATTCAGAGTGTTTTACTGTGATATGCTCCATTCTAGAGAAACTTACTGAAACAAAATGATTCACAGTGAGATGTTCCTTTAAGATAGTTTTGAGGGTTTAGGTTTTAAATGTATATTTAACATCCATTCATAATGGACGGATACATGTTGTGAGTTACGCAGTGAGGCAAAATAGGCCCCTAAAGAAAACTTTTTTTTCCCCCAGATTTTCCATTATTTTACCATTAACATTACATATAAAACTCATGAGACATGTAGGTTCACTGGTGGTTTTGGATAGTAAATAACCTCCTATATTTGCTATGTGTGTTGTAGAAGTTGCGACCCATAGTTCCTTTCATCACCACTGCGAACGACATTTTACATCTTAACCACAGAATTATTCCCAAATTTTGCAAAATCAGTGGAATTACCTTTTAAGTCATGTGAGTTCAATATAACCTAGTGCTCTCACCTGTATAAAAGCAGGCATCAGTCCAGTCTTAACTAACCCCAAAGCAGGGTTGATTACTTCAATAACTGCCAGCATCTGACAGAAGTACATCACATCAGCAATCGTGTGAAATGTATCATAGAAAGAATCTATAAAATAAGAAAGAAAAAAAGCAACATGATGAATATGCTCAATCAGAGCGCTACGGAGAAGAAACACTTCTGTACATAATAGACAACCACTGTCTATTCACTATAAACAGCATCTGCAAATATTTGGCTACTGTGAATACTGCAGCTAAAGGCCTTATCAAAACCGAAGTCTACTGTCTCTACTAACAGGGAAGTTTTTCATATTTTGCATGCTGCACATGGCAAAAAGGATATTTAAACCATCAAGTAAAACCACATTAACAACCCGACATAAAGCCATATGTAAACGTTTGGGCACCTCTGCACAAATTCTGTAAATGATTGCAGCCAGTGGCACAGGAAAAACTGCACAGGTAGGTGCAAGAATGGATTTTACCAAATAGCAACAAATTCTGGAAGAAAATGTGACAGCATCAGTGAAGAAACCTAAGATGAAAAGAGGCGTCTACAGCAGGACAATGAGTCCAAATAAAACATACATCAAAATCCATAATATACTACTTCAAGAAACACAAGCTGAAGCTTTTGGAAAGTTCACAGTCCTGCCAAAGGGGGTGTCACAAAGTACTCATTTTTAAAGTTTTAACATTTGCAGGAAATTTTTATTTTTAAAATAGTGGTGTTTACTTCTTTTCACTTTAAAAATGAACAAAACATGTAATTTAGCCAGGAGTGTCCAAAGTCTTGCATACAAGTGTAAAATACTGTACATGAGGTAGGGATCGTACAATCCGTGTAATGGACAGACATGACTTGTAAGCTAGACATTTAAAGAAACCCTCACCTTGCCCAAGTATGAAAAGACGCACAGTCATGTTGACAAAGATCCACGAGAACCCCAGGAACTGGACCAAGTTGTACATAAAGAGATATCCCTTTTTCAAGCCAAGGTAAGCTATGGAGAAAACAGAGCATTTGATATTTGAAGTCTCTTTTTTCATAAGCAAATCTTTCCTGTACTGCATTGGAGATATGACAGCTCACTTACGGTCCTTCGGAATCCTTGACTCAATGCTCAGTTTATTTATTTTCTCTTCCTGCACACACATAAACAAAACAGTTAGTGAAAGCCAAAACGTCTCCTTCTGAAACATCACTACACTTGTGAAGAGAGTAAATATTTCATTTTTCCTTTCAACTAGTTTTTCCAGTTAGAAGAAACACTTATCATTTTGATCCACCTTTTCTTTCAGCTCCATCTCAGCATCTGACTCATCCAGCCAGCGGTCAAAGTCAGGGGCCAGAAAGAGAGGCTTCTTCTCCTGCATGGTGAGCCGATCCCACCAGCAGTGCTCCTGTTTTCTCACAGTGATATTTACCTGCCTCTGGGTGGACTTGTGTTTTATCTAAACACACACACATACACATATATGTTTATATATACGCTTCTAAAGAAACTGTCCAGTAATTTGTTTAAGAGGGAAAATAGTCAGGTGCTCATAAAATGCTACTCATAGAAACACCAAAATATTATAAGGGATAATTTCATTAAAATCCAAAACTTCCTCACTTTTTTTGTAATAGCAGAGTTTGATGTAGTATGTAAACAATGCAATGTCACAAAAACTTATGTATTTATATATGGGCTTCAGCTTAGTCCTATATTTAACGTTAAAGTTATTAGCCAATCAGAACAAAGCTATAGAACAGAGGATAAAGAGATGTTGGTAATGGTAATGTAAAAATGACTTATGACTGTTTCGGTGCAGAAACCAATGAAAACACTATGAGTGTTTCAAACAACAAAAGCGGCTTCATTAATATTGCAGATACGACCACTAAGAACAAGGCACTTGCTTAGCCTAATGTATGAGACTGGCCACCTGGAAAATGCATGTAGGGGTGTACAATGTGGCAAAAATAAAACGTCTTTTTGCAATACAGGATATACAGGATATGCGTCATGTTTCTCTCAAATCTGATAAATTGGAACAGTAACAGAGGCGCTGGTATGAATTTTGCAACCCCTGAAAATTTCATGCATGGTCCCCTTGCCTCACTTCATTTCCCTTAAAAGAACCTTTATTTTATTTTAGCTCCATAATTCAAACTCTTGTGAATATGAATATAACTAATGTGACTACATATTAATATACTTTATGCAGCCAGCTGAAATTGTAATGTTGTTGCTTCTCAATCAAAACCCTATATGGAACTGTTTTTGACGAACAGGCGACAGATACATTATTTACAGCCAACTAAACTACAATCATATGCATTTTATTTAGCTATAGATAATGAAATTCAGATGAGGGATAATGGAGATGTACAAAAATATATGCTGAATACAAAAGAGGAGGCTAGAGAGTGTCCTAGGCAAACATGAGGCACATTAGAACACATTTCACCTTCACTTTCAAGCTGAATCTTTAGATGTCAGTGGTTGAGAGAACATGATGTCTTAATACAAAACAAATTATGAAAAACTCAAAAATACTGGAAATTTGCAGTACAATATGGGGTTTTGTTAAATGCAATGCAATCAAAATCATCTAAAATTAGCCTTTATTATGCAATAAATGAAACCTTTCAATTAAGAATCTTCCAGTACTTCTAAAAATCACATGCAAAATAAGGTACAAATATTGTGGGCTTGACTCTTCAGGGCCCCTGAAATTGTTCTGATCCCCACCTCCTTCAATACCCCTGAACAGCATCACCACAATTTAAAAATTCTAACAAAAAGGCTAAACATAGTAAAACCATACTAATCACGCTCTCCTTGTAATGAAACACACAGTTGCTCAGTGCTGAAGTACTCAGAAAAGTATACTGTGATGTAATTTATCATAATAATATTACATATAATCATTCTGCATACCCCTAACTGCAAAGTCAGTTTTAAAAACCACATAACCTGAAATGAGTGAAAGACTTTATAAGTCATCTTTTACTCTACATAATAGTATTTCTACATTACTGAGAAAGCAGAAGGTCCAAAACCCTGACTGCACATTCTCAAACATATAACTATAAGCTAATCTTCTTCAAAATATGTTAAGATATTTAAAATAACATTTAATCCAAAATAAATTTGTTTACATGCATTCAGTTTTTAATGAATGAGGCATTTGAGCAGCTGGATCCTACCTCAGGTTTCACTGGTTTTAAAAACTCCAAGTTGAATTCATATTCATTTTCTCCTTTTGCTCCGTGACCCTCGCCTTTGAAAAATACAAGCAAAGAAAAGTGAGATAGCCAAAGAGCAAATCTGTCTAAACTGGACAGCTACAGAAGATGAAAAATAGCCTACCTCTAAAGTGGAGGATGTTCTCTTGGACACTAATGTCAAGGTTCTGTGAAAGCAAAACAACAGCACAGTGTGTCAGCTCTGTCAACAGCCTTACAGCTTTGCATTCTGTCCCTCTCATTTTAATATGCAGAAGAGAAAATACTTGTCAGTGCTGTGCTCCTGTAGACAAAATGGTACAGCCATTATTTTGATGTCCGGCCTAGGACTGAAATAAAGAGCGTTACAACATCCACACCTGAAATGACAGGAAACTATACGGCTGCACTGCTATAAAGACGTGTTATTTGACTTAGTGCCGTGGAAATGCAACTTTTCCTACCTTAGTCAAATGACCTGTGGTGAAGATAGTTACCTAGCAACACTGCCCTCAAAAAACAGGCTATGATTAGCTGTATCCTAATTTGCATTAAACCTGTATTTGCAATAAGTTACTATTTGTTGTTCTCTGGAAGCAGAACAATGCCGCTACTGTCTGCTGAAAGACTACTATGCTTACATAGAGTAGGTAGCAGATGATCTGTATAGAAGTATGTTAGCTTCTGAGCAGACTTTACCCTAATAAGGTTACATGTGTATGTAGCCCCTCACTGCAGTGTACAGAAGGCTTGAATGATGGGGGGAGGGTAAAGGTATTAAGTCTTTCAGGGAAGCAGCTATCCCTGTATACAAACCTTGTGGTGTCATTCAGTACCTGAAAATACTTGTAAATAAATCATGACCTGAGTGGACCAGATGGCTAGTAGTCCTGAGCCTGTATTCACAATGTATCAGTGGATGGAAATACTGACATTAGACGAACCAAATCTGCCAAAGTAGCAATCAATAGTTTTTAGCTACAGATGTTTTGTTAATACGGACTTAGATCTCCTGCTCATACAGTTTGATACTCTATCTTGTTTTTGATCTTTGACAAGATCTCATGACACTGATAATACTGACACAAGTTTATAGCTGACATTGGCTGATGGCAAAAAGGAACTAATGGGTTTAAAAAAAGCATAATGGTGCCTGCTGAAAGATTACACACGCAAATAAGACAGTGACACGCAGAATGTGGCAAAATGAAACACAAATCCTCTACTACACTGTTTTCACGTCTCTTTATTTCTTTCTCAAAAAAACAATGCATGACAATATGTATTTTATAAACGAAATGCTGAATTCATGGCAGAATTGAATAGAATCCACCTTGAAATGTAATAGCAGGCATGACTATATTCTTTTCCAGTGTGCAGTACTCAAAACAATGTTAAATCTACCTAATGGATCTTTTAATGTTAATTTTATCATATTTTCCCCATGTTACTGTTTAAATACAATCTTGCTTGCACTGCATTTCACTGTTTTGGTTGCATGTCAATGAGGCAAACACATGTGAAGCACAAAAAAAAAGAGATCACGCGAAGTGAAAACAGTGTAAACAGTGCAATAGAGGTGTACCTTTACATTTTAGCACATATTCCAGATGTCACATATGGAAAAGTAATGTCAAGTGTGCATTGCATTTCACTGTTTTCACTATTATGATTGCATTTCAGTGAGGAAAAACTGCACGGTGCAAAACTGTATAGCCAGCAGCAAGTCGTGCCCTCATTACATTTCAAAGGGCATCGTATTCAACTCTGACATGAATTCAGCATTTCGTTTTTACTATGCAAATCCTCATGAATGGTTTTTCAGTAAAGGGGTCAAGCAGCGTGAGCACAGTGTAACAGAGGGTTTGTTTATCATGTTGACCGTATTCTGCACGCCTCTCTGGAAAAATAATGCCATGTGTGCTTTGCATTTCACATCTTTCCACTGTAGTGATTGCTTTTACATTTCACACGAATTCCTCTCCATACATTTAACCTGCTGCATCCGCGAGCTCGTTAAGCAGCTAGCAGGACGAGGCTGAAGTCAGCTTCTTATTCGATTTCTTCCCGTTCCACCTTAAATTGTGCAGCCGTTAACCTACATTCTGGCGCCTGACTCTCTTATTGCATTATTTAAGGTGGAACGGGAAAATTCAAACGAAGCTGACGAGTAGGAAGCAGACTTCAGCCTCGTAACCGGCGACTAGCCTGCGCTAACAGCTAAGCAGCTCCAGTGATCTGTGCGGAGAGCCGCTCACCTTCGCGTCGCTGATCTCCACTCTCAGGTAGATTTCGCCGTGCCGCTGAGCCCAGAACACGTGAGGCGTGAGAGTCTGCATCGCGGAGACTTACGGACGGCCGTTCCCTTCACCTTTTCAACTCGGGGATGAGTGAGGAGCGCAGACACATACCGAGCGACCCGCCGGAAGACAGAGTGCGAGCGTTTGCCCAGAATATTCGGCGAGGCGCGCGCGCGTGCGCGTGCGCGTGTCCGCGCGGCCGAGGGGCGCTGTGCTCGCGCACGCAGCCGCGCTGCTGGAGTACTGCACTGCACGACGCTGTATCTCCCCCAGAACTGTTTCTATAGGATCAAATTTAGTAAAACTGAAAATGAATGCAGGGATGCCTTTTTAATAAATACGGGGCCCATAAGGTGACATGATGACTGTCCACAAATTAATATATTAATATGTTGATCCTAACTTGTGGCCGTGGCCTCAGTAAAGTAGTTTGAGGCCTCAATATAGTAATTAATGGCCTCAGTATAGTTATTTGTGGCCACGTACCATGTCACCTTAGGTGCTCTGTAAATAAATAATACCACTATCTTAGCAAAATATTTTACACATAAAAACATTTAATGTAGAACATTTTAAAAACACACCATCTGGAGTGTTTTTAAAGGGGATTTGGAGTTTTGTGCTTTAGTAATGACAGTTTTGAGAGTTTTGAAGGCCCCTGCAGATGCTCACTCAGCAGATGATCTCGTTGCCTTTAACTAACATTCAACTAAATACGTACTACAAGTAAACTTTTAGTTGAATGTAATAGATTCTTGTAGATCTACTCCTTAACTCAAACCTAAAGCTAACCTTAACTTCAACATAAACCTGCAGCTGAATCTAACCCTGACACTGTTCACAATCTACAGAGTTTCACCAGATAGTTTAACAACTATTAAAGCGTCTGTAGATCGTTTAGAGTTGTATGCAAAGGTTTGTGCACTCCTGATCAAATTACATGTTTTGTGGATTTTCCAAGTGAAAATAATCATCTACAGAGAACAAACACATGTGACATTTTCCTGCAAATAGTCCACACTTATATGTATTTGCTTAGTTTAACATTTTGGGAAATAATAAAAGGTAAAATATAAAAGGTGCCATAACTTTATTTTTATTTTCTCTCCAATGTGTTAAATTCAGCACATAAACGGCAATTGTGCATTAAAATGTGCAGATGTTTGTTCTCTGTAGAGGACATAGAAAATCAGCTGAACTTAATTTGCACAAACTTTTGCGCACCACTGTATAGGAGACTATCAAAATAAGCTGTGGCCTCTTTACGGATCATGAAATGTAAACATTTTTGGCAGTTTCACATCAAACCACTCTGAAATACTTCATTTACATCTTCCCATTTAATTGTGTAGATTTTTTTAAAAATCGGTGGAGTTCCCCTTTAAGGCTTCTTGGGGCCAGTAGGAGCGCTGTTACAATTTCACAGCACATAATCACACAGTAGTGTTGACGGAAATGAAATGTAGTAATCATAGTTTTCCAGAGGTCGACTAAGTATAAGAAACTGACATTTTAACTTCGTGTTTGTAAAAATGCCGGTGTATGTATTTAAGGTTTAACAGCGCTGCCCGTCCCGGGTGACTTCACTAACATGTCAGTCGCGTGTGTGAGATGATGAGAAGACTCTGGTGTGAGAACAGAAGTCAGTCCTGCAGTGACATTACTTCAAACATAAAGCCGTCTGTTGACTCGACCGGCTCAGGCTGCTGCGATGCAGCGCTGCTCTGACCCCCCGAGCGCGGTAGCGGATCTGAGCTGCAGCGGGTTGAAGTACCGCGTTCTGGTCGGAGTCACCGGTAGCGTCGCAGCGCTTAAAGTGCCTTTACTGGTGTCGCAGCTGCTTGAAATCCCAGAGGTGAGTGTCAGAAAGTGTGTTAGTTTAAACTTAACCACTTTACGTTCAGTCGCACTGCGGCACTTTGAATAAACGAATTAATAACTTTGCATTTTTAATCACCACGAACATAACAACCTCAGCTTGTGTATGCCGGGTTGCCAGATTGCTGCTGTAGTTTCCAGTAAGAAAATGTTAAAAAAAACATTTGATGAAAAAACGCCCAATATTACCATAAATAGTACCACAGTTAACTGATCGCAATAAAAGCGTCCGAGTTCGTTATCCGCTCATGATTTGGCCTCCTGTCGCTAGATGGCGCTGTCAGTCTTTCATGTATATATATATATATATATATATATATATATATATATATATATATATATATATATATATATATATGTATATGTATGTGTATATATGTATGTGTATATATATATGTATATATATGTATATATATATATGTATGTGTATATATATATATGTATGTATGTATATATATATGTATATATGTATGTGTGTAAGTATATAAAACCTGTTTACCTTTAAGGCTCTGCTGAACAGATCACGGGCCGTTACAATTTCCAAAACTGCTGTGTACAAAAGTGAACTGGATAATTTAGTACGGAACACTCTTCCATTACATCAATAATAAACTGTGTATGTCTGTAATAATTTTACCTGTATTACTGAGTAATTCCGTTTATTATTATTACGTATGTTATATATTTTTTAAAAACCCGCTAAAATAATGACAAACCAGCCCAATTCTGTCCACCCGCCAAAACACCTTTTCCCCTTCCGCAAAATACAACTAAAATCCGACGAATTTGGCGGGAAACCGCCCAATCTGGCAACACTGTGTGTATGACTGGATTGCCCACTAGAGGGCACTGCACGCCTAGAATAGCAAGTGATGTATCTCTAATCTCGTTGATGTGGTGAATAGCCTGGATTGGCAAGAAAGCGGCCTGTTATACAAAACAGTGTAACTTAAAGCGTCAAATTACTGGGGATTTATGGCAGCCACAGATTTGGTAGCCTTTAAAAATGTGATTAATGAGAAGGAAAGATGCACTTAGAACGTTTTGTTGTGATGTCTTCTGGATGCAAAGACAAATGTAAATCTGCCAGCACCCAGACTCAGGTTTGAACTGAATTCAATTTAATTAATGAATTCATCCCAAAATGAAAATTAATTGCAGACAGCATGCAATACCTCACTGTAAAGCTGGAATATTAATATTTTGTTAGATCACAGGAATTTCTACAGGAATCTTATTAGAATGATGGGGTAAATTCAGACAATTACTAAAATGTGCTGTAGGGTGGACAAAGGTTAGAAAAGATACTGTAGCTACTATATAGAACCATCTACAGCACATTCTCCATCAATCTAAAGAACTCTTTCACTATGCAAAGAACCCTTTAATCATGCAAAGGGTTCCTTGAGTGCACATAGTTCTTTATAAAACCATTTTCTTTACTAAAGAACCCTTAAAGAGCCATCTTTTTTAGGAGTGTATGTAAAACCATATCATGCTTAAGTGTTGTTTTGCATGGTGAAATGGTTCTTCAGATGGAAAACGTGTTGTACATGGTTCTATATAGAAACTGTTTGATGGTTCTATGTAGCACCAAAAAGGGTTCTGTTATTGTTATGATGTCAAGTTTGTAGCAACAGAAGAACCCTTTTTGGTGCTATATAGAACTATTTTCAAAAAGGTTCTATTTAGAACCGTAAACAACACATTCTCCACCAATGTGAAGAATCCTTTCACCATGCAAAGAGCCAGTTAGGCATGAAATGGTTTTATATAGAATTCATGGTTCTAAATAGAACCATGACCTTCTATCCCTTGAAGAACCATCTTTTTGTGTGTACAAGAGGCAAATATATTTTTGATTATTATGGAATTACTGTAGAATAATGTAGAAAACCTGTTTTTTTTTAAAAAATGTTTTTTTATATTATTACTATAGATCTTTGTATGGAAATGAAGTAGTATCTCTATATATGTTTCATATGCCTCTTTTATCTTATATTATAGCAATTACATGTGGTTACTCTTAGACACTGATAAAATGTTCCTTTTCCATAGATTGATGTACGTGTAGTTACCACAGACAGAGCCACCCATTTTTACAACATTGCTGCTGTTCCTGTCCGCGTCTACACAGACGCAGATGAGTGGGAGGTGAGTAGCATCAGTTGTGCGCAGATAGACTGCTCAGAGTCATAAGGAGACTACCATGTGAGTTGCATGTGTTGTAGATGTGGAGAACGCGCTCAGACCCTGTGCTACACATCGAGCTGAGACGATGGGCCAACCTGCTAGTCATAGCTCCACTGGATGCCAACACTCTTGGCAAGATAGCCAGCGGTATCTGTGACAACCTCCTGGTGAGAGATTTATATAATCATACATATACAGTCGTATGCAAACATTGGTCAATTTACATGTTATGTTGATTTAAGTGAACACATTCTGTACAGTGAACAAATGTCATTGTGTATTTTTCTTCAAATTTAAATGAACAATTTCAGTTTTTTTATTTAAGTTTTAACATATTGGAGTAGATGAAACATACAGTATAAAATAACTTTGGCACAGGTCACATTTTATTTTTAAATGATTTTAAATTTAGCAAATAAACAGTAATTGTGCTCTAAAGTGTGCAGAAGTGTTCTCTGTAGAGGTTGTGTTAACTTATTTCCACTCACAAAATCAAGAAAGCATGTAATCTGACTGGGGGCGCCCAAATTATGTATTTGGCTGTGTATTCAGAAACCACATCAAATAAAAAGTTCCACTTTTGACTCATCTGCACATGGAGTACTGCTTCATGGTTACGTCATTATGGTTTGGCACACCTAGCAATGAGCAGTGATCTTTTCATTTGTTAGCAATGTTACTGCCTGTGTAATGATCAACTTCAACTCTTTGGCCAATGGTAAAGTTATTTAAAGCTATTCTGACTTGATCCATATCAGACCTAAAGCGGTTCCCAAAAAAGTCATAGCATGACTTTATGATCTTAAACTCTTTCTATTCATACAACAATCCTTTTAGCAACAATCCTGTACAGCCTGTGGAAAAGGGCTCTAATTGTTTACTTACAAATCATCCCAATCATCCCCTCGTTTGGCTGTGTTCACTATAGGGGCAACTGTTGTTTCACCCACATTGATTGTATATTGCATGTTAAAGACCTTCCCCAGCGCACCAAATCTTGCCTTTTCTGTTTACCACAATGGCCTGCAAAAGGACAAAACTCAAAATGTGTAGAATTAAACAGTCAAAAACCTTCTTGTGGTTATGGAAAAGTCTTTTTTTTTGTAATCAATTTTTGTTTTATTTGTTTCCTGTTAATCAAGCAGCATTTTATCACAACATTACAGAACTGCAGGAAATAAAAAAAGCAACTCCCTTACCCCTCCCATCCCTCCCCATCCCACTGGTCCATCCATCCCTATTTCCTGTACATACTTTATACTATTTACTAAGTAAGATTTAGTGCAAAGGATGACATTTCAAAAATAAAATGAAAAAGAGTGAAAAAAGAATGTTAGCTTACAAGATGTACCTCATAGCCTTTGTTCCAATCTTTTTGTCACATCACAACAAATCTGTTTCCATGTCTCAAGAGTAGATGTTTTAACTTTATTAATCCTAGCTGTGGCCAATTCTAACATAACTATGTCATGCAGTTGAAATAGCCAATGTCGTACACTTAGATTATGTGGGTGAAGCCACCTCTGTGCAATATTTTTTTTAGCCGATGTTAAACCAGCGAGCCACATCTTCCTTTGTTTGCCTGTTAAGTTTAAATTGGAGTCATCATTTAGCAATAATACAGCTGGACCCACAGGAATTTCTCGTCCAACCAGGGCAGATAATATGGTAGTAACCTTTATCCAGAAGTCATTAACATCCCCACATTCCCACACCATGTGCAAAAAAGTTCCCATTGGTTGTTGTGGAGTTATGGAAATGTCTTTAATGCATCGATAACTATTCCAATGGGTTGTTTTTGCCTGGCAGACATGTGTGGTACGAGCCTGGGACACAAGCCGTCCTCTGCTGTTCTGTCCTGCTATGAACACAGCCATGTGGCAGCAGCCAATAACTGCCCAGCAAGTGGCCACCCTTCAAGGCTTTGGATATGTAGAGATCCCCTGCATTGCTAAAAAACTGGTCTGTGGAGATGAAGGTAAAACAAAAGCCACTGACATAGTATACTTGCTTGGTATATTATTGATAAACCTTGATATAAAACATAGTGATCTGCTTCAAATTATAATAATTCTAATAACTGTACACTTTAGTACTGAGGAGATTCTGACTGAAAATGTATCAGTCGTTTCTGGCTGGTACTGGTCTGACAAGTATTTTGTGAAAGTAAGAGGTCTAACATACTATGTCAAAATCTCAAGAAAACACGTAATTATTTCATACTACTAAGTCAAAATCCTAAGAACGTAAGTCATTATTTTGAAATCATTAAAATTCAAAGAACATATTTTTTTCAAGATAAGACAAAACTTTGAAGTGATTGTTTTGACACAAGTCAGTATTTCAACATAAGTCAAAATGTCAAGGAAATAAAGCATTACTTCAATATAATAACTGAAAATATTGAGAAAATGTCATTATTTTATAGAACATAAGTCAATATTTACAAGTAATAAGTTAAAATGAAGACAAAAGCAATTAATTCGAGATTAAAAGTCAAAATTTAGACAGCCTGCTTCAAGAAACAGAGATGACATATTTTTTCTCCCCCTCAGCAGAAACAGCTTACACAATCTGCATAACTTGCAGAAAGAAAGTTTCTGCAGAAGGAGAAAGCACTTCCAGTTTATTCTGCTTTCTACATAAATACCTCCATTTGCTGCAATTTATGTGTACATTCTTATAGTCTGAACAATAACCAAAAGTAGTGCTGGTGATAATTTCATATTTATTTATATTATTGTATTATTTTAGTTTTAGAAGTGTAGGAGTTTCAATAAAAAAATCTGTCAACATAAGCATGAGCAATGATTTCAGTGTGTATTAATGTTTTCTTTACAGTATCGAAAACCATGATAATTTTGGTTACTGGTATCATTAAGGGGAAATTTTCATATCGCCCCATGTGTACTCCAGCATATGTAAATATGTCAGTAGGAAATTACTGGAGAGGGGCTTTCCCATCCATGCACTTAACATTCCTGTGGAAAATGAAATACTTTGTCCATTGAACTGGTATCACACTGTTGTAATGTTGTAGGACTCATCCAAGTTGTGTGATGAAGTGACTCTTTTGTCAGGAGCTACAGAGATAAGCATGTTCTCTCTGTTGACTTTTCTTGGTTCAGTTCAGTCACCTGACACTAAAGCTTCTGTCTGTTTACAGGTAAAGGTGCAATGGCCGAAGTGTCGACTATTGTAGAGACAATCCAGCAGTACCTTCCCAAGCCAGCTGTCTAATCACGGTGTGAGCAGAGGAAAGAAAAAGTCAGAACATTGCAACGAGCACCAGGCTACATTCGGTCTATTTAAATTATTTCTGTGAAAGTTTTTATAATTTAATAAATCATTTATGTGATTTGTCCTTGCTTTATAGCTTCTCAGTTGATACCTGAATGCAAGTAGTTTTCCCAGATTAAGCGTACTAAAAATTACAAAATAAATCACATTTTATGCATGAAAAATGTTTCCACTGTTCAAGTACAGATTGAGGGTTCCTTTGTGCACTTTTTTTAGGTTTATGGAGGAGAAAAAAATTAGAAATCAGCTACTTTACCCATTGCTGACACAGGCATGTCACACAGATTGTAGAATCTCCATAAAGAAACAAAAAGCATTGCTAATGGAATGAGATGTTCTGGAGCAGCTGCTCCTGAGTCTAAGGTGACAATGCCCAATGCCAAGAGCCATCTAGAGGGTTACAAAGCCATCTAGCATTGGGAGCATTGGGGAGCAGTGGAACTGTGTTCTCTTGAGTGATGGAGCTCCATCCAATACCTTTGGAATGAGCTGGAGTGATCCAGAAGTGATCAAGCTTCCCAGAAGAGTAGAGGCTGTTACTGCAGCAAAGGGGGGACAAACTCTCTTCTGTTAATCATCTTAATGGATGAGCAGGAATCTGCAAGCTTTTGGACATGCTATGTATGAATAGCTCATTCAGAATTTAACAAGAAGAAAGTTTTGTTTTTGTAAGATCTCCTTTATAAAAACATCAGGATAGTAATTATGCTTCCCCATAATTGCATCAACGAAGGTTAGCTTATAGGTTTCAGGTCTGACTTGTCTGACTTGTCCACATTTCTAAATATATATCATACTGTGCAAAAGTCAAAGAGCACCCTTTCATTTATCTAATTTCCTCTCAAAACTATCATTAAATACAAGTTATTCATTCTTTAGATATTTCAGTGTTTAGTGTCTCCATGCTTTACCTTTATTACAGCTGCCATTCTTTTCTAAAATCTGCAGGGATATTTCTCCACACCTCCAAAGTTCAGTCTTAGAAGTTGGTTACAATCTCCTTCTCACAATCCAAGTAATCACAATCAGATTTAGACTCATCGATCCCTAAAACCTCACTCCACATCTCAGATGTCCAGTTTCAGACTTCTAGTGTATTTCCTTTTTTCAGTAATAGCTTCTTGAAAGCTACTCATCCTCCCAGGCCCATAACATTGAGTTGTCTTCTCACAGTGGAAGGATGGACAGAAACACCTGTAGAATTTTTCAGATCTGAAACAACAGTGGAGCTTGATTTTCTCCTCTCAATGATGAAAACTTTAAGTACTATTCATCTGATAGTGGCAGTTTTGGTGGTCTAGCTGGTCTTGGACTGTTGTTAGGAGTCTCATTTTCTCTATATCTTATAATATTTTTTGAGCTCCTGTTTTTGGAAACTTTTGCTTTTGCCACATATTTTCCTTTGACGTTCCCCATATGCAAGTCGTTTCATATCGCCTTAGAAGTATCTTCTTTAGCCATTCTAGACGCACATGAGAGAAACTCACAAGCTGTAACTGGTTGGGTTTAAGATTGTAATGATGATGGAGTTAAAGTGGCAGTATGTTGCACAAAACACCGTACCAATTAAATACTGATTTGAAGCTATACATTTGAGACGTGTGTAATTTTCTCTTAAATGTATGTTTTCAGATTTTTTTGTGAAACTGAAAATTGAATAATATTATGACTGGAAATTATATGAACAAAAGGGTGACTGACTTTTGCACAGTATTGTACGTTAAGGCTGTACAGGGCACGCTGATTTTGTGAATGCCTGTTTTCTAGAATACACATTGTTACTGAACTGTGGTAATGACTGTGGTCAAGTATCACCTCCTTAGTCTTGTGCCAGTAAAGTCTTTTGACAATAGAGCGGAGAACTTTCTGAATGCACTTTCTGAAATTTCTGTTGAAAATCAGCCAAAACATGTCCCTTTTATGAATATCAGATGACATACAACAGTGTCCTGTTTGCTCAGAGTGAGCAGCTCCCAGAGTCAAGATCCCGCAGCTGATCTTACACCAACTGTCAAGCTGATAACAGTTATACTTTTGCCTCTGCAGGCCACTTACATTAATTTGTAAAGCTTGAAAAGAGATGACACACGATGGAAAAGATACTTATCACCTTATCTGGCTGGACTGGAGGACAATTGGCATCATTGTCATTCAGAGAGCTGCATCTGCCCCCCCCCCATGTTCAAACAGCCAGAGAGTGACTTCTGTAACAAAGCACCACAAAGAAGTCAGATAATGTAGGCTTGACAAAGCCACATCTTCTCTTCTTAGTCATCTTGCTGTTGTTTCGCAAAATATTGTAGAACTTTCAAGCTAGAACTATAAAACTTTGCCGAAATCTTCATTTTATATTTATAGTCTGCACACTTCACACCTGTGGGGCTTGAGAGATTTTGCACTTTCAGTAAACTTCCATTGATTTCAATGTTGGAAGAGTGCTCTAATTACAGCTGGATAAAACTAAATTCATTTGTTTGCAGAGGCTCCCAGGTGTTAATCAGATATACCAGATTTGGGAAGTACCTGGTTAAATTTCTATGTACTCATGTCAAATTGATGGATTTCCTGAGTATTTTTGAATAGTAACACTTCTGCTCAAGTGTATTTGTGAGGAAAGGAATCTACTTTTACTTGTACTTTTTATTCTGAAAAAATAGTGCTTTGAATTTGCATGATTGTGTATAGGACAGGAATAAGATGCATTAATAAACTCATTTGCGACTGGTCACATCTCTGACTTTGGTGCTTTAGCAAAAGAGAAGAACAGAGCCAAGAAAGAACAGAACAAACTTCAGCTCCTGTGCTGATAGATTCTAGATGTGCTAAAAAGGTCCACTGCCGTTCTGTAAGTTACTTAATACGTAAAATACTTAAAAAGTACTTTTAACACAACTTGAATAATTGTTTCACTCTAGGATTATAGGTTTAGGTTACTCTACACATTAATGCCTAAGGCCACTTTTTCTTGTACACTGAGTAACAGTATATGTAACGTTTTAGCTCATATCTGTTACTTGTTTAACAGTGCCCAGAGATCTCAACTTCAACTCATGAACTGCTTTGCATAACGCAGCATTAAAGCTAAGGCCAACTTTGCATGCGGCTTTTTTTCACGCCCAATAGTCCTCACACCTCCCCTCACTGTCATGCTTTGACTTTTCACTCTGCAGAGCACATATTTAAGACTGTTGCACTGTTACAGTTTGTGAGCAAGAATTTTAACTGGAAAAATTAAAGCTCTCTTCTTGTGTTGGAGCAGAAGATTTAAAAGTGAAAAAATGCTGTACAGTAAAAACTTATAGTTGTCCAACAAACAGAAATACTAGAGTACTTAAGCCCATACCATCATGTTTTATATGCACTACAGACAAATACTCAAACAGCTGTTAATGTCACATTTGCTCCACAACTGACATGAAATCTGTAAAAGAAAAGACAAGGGCTTATAAAAAGGACCAGGAATAAGATATACAGTCATGTGAAGAAGTACGTACACCCCATGAAAAGTTCAGACGTTTTCAACATATTTGGGGTCTTCATTTAAACAGTGTTGATAGATAAAGGTGATATAATTTAATAAATGACACTTAGAATTAACATTTTTGTCATCTTTTATATAGTTGACCTAAACTTTAATGCAATTTTCTTAGGTGAAAAAGTAAGTACACCCAGACATAAATCACTACTACAAGTGTGACAAATTGAAATTAGGTGCTCTCGATCAGGTGCTAATGATTAGAACACCATTAGAGAATATCTTGGAGGAACTTGTCTTACTTAAACCTCTGAAACCTACTCTAATTTGCTTTTTGTCTCTTACCTAGACCAAAAGAGCACTCTGGGGCCTCCAGGAAGAAGGTTGTAAATGACTATGAGTCTGGAAAGGGTTTAAGAAGATATCTGAAATGTTGGAAATCATTCCAGATCTGGAAGATCATCTAAAAGTGGAGAAGATTTAAAACCACTGACAACCTGTCTAGGCCAGGCCTCCCCATCAAATTTAACCTGAGAGCAGACCATAAGATGCTAAAAGAAGTCTCTAAGAACCCCAAACTTTCATCACAGGATCTGTAGGTTGCTCTTGCCACTATTGATGTAAAAGTGCATGCAAAAAGACCCTCATGGGAAGTGCACCAGGAGAAAGCCTTTGCTGCTTAAAAAGAATAATGGAGCAGGACTAAAGTTTGCTACTTAATATCTAGGCAAGAACCAGGACAGAATTTCATTAGAAGAACCTCATACTAATTGTAAAGTGACAGAAATATTTAATTAAACATTCCTGATTAATAATCAATAAACTAAATGTTATCTTACTTGAGCATTTGGAAATCTCCTGAAAAAAGGTAACCTTGGGAAGCAGGCTATAGACTGCATGCATTTGGGCATATCACCTCTAAAGGGGATGAACTCAATGAACCCTTGAACTCACTAAAACGAAACTGTACAAAGTGTAGCTACTAATTAGGGCTGAAAGGAAGGGAATTGTTGGATGACAGTATAAACTATAGCTGAGGTAAAAACTAATTAAAGGGGAATTTTGTTAGATGACAGTATAAATTGTAGCTGAAGTAAACTCCTGAACTTGGGTGAAGTTGCTATGTAAGATGACCTTGTGAGGATGAAACAACCAGGTCATAATGGTTTTAAAAAAATGACATCATGTGCGTTTGGTTTTAAGGGTTGCCAAAAAGAGTGCAGGGTTTGGATATAATGGGGACTAAGATGATATAGAATTGTGTAAAAAGGGGTGAGGTGATTACTTCACCACCCCAAAAAGGATATAAAAAAGGGATGCTTCGTGATGACATTTGCATTGTGTCCGGGAACCACCTTGCCACTTAAAGCTCAATAAAGAGAAGGCCTTTTCCTTCCTTCTACAAGAACTCAGCGTCTGAAGTCTTTTTATTCTTTTTGTTCCTTTTTATCCTTTTTTAATTTTGTTGATATTCCTTTTGTTCCTTTAATTCTTTTAAAGAAATTAGACTACAGATAGTTATTAGGGCAATAGTATAAGAATTTATTAGAGATACTCATATATGTCTAGACCCTGGGCAGAAGAGACAGCTCTTGGTCTCGACAAAATCATGGTTGTAGAAATATTATGGTTTAGGGCTGCTTTGCTGCTGCAGAGCTCTGCCAACTTACAACCACAGAATCCATTATGAATTCTCTTTCATACCAGGAGAATGCTTGAAGAGAATGTGAGAACATCTGTAAAAAGGTGAAGCCGAAGAAGTGGACCTACCAACAGGATAATGATCCTAAACATACAAGTAAATCCACCAAGGAACGGCTTAACAGGAAGAAGTGGAGGGTTATGAAATGGCCAAGTCAAAGCTTAGATCTGAATCCCATTGACATGATGTGGGGGAATTTGAAAAGGGCTGTGCATGCAAAAAAAACCCTGAAACATTGTATAGTTGAAAGAATTCTACATGCAGAAATGGGCAAAAAAATTTCCACATACATAGGTCAGAAACTGGTAGACAGTTACAGGAAACACCTACACAAAGTTGTTTCTGCCAAAGGGGTAGTTACCAGCTACTGAAACCGGGGGTGTACTTACTTTTTCAACAGATAAAAATGACATCTCAGTGTTTTTTTTTTAGATGAATAATTGTAAAGTCAAATTTGAATTGTTCTGTTGCATATTGTTCATGTGTACACACTGTTTAACTGAAGATCAAGTACTGATATGTCCACATGTTTAATTAAAAAAAAGAATTTCATGGGATGTACTTACTTCTGCACACGACAGTAGATCAGCTTTATTTTAGTTTTCCCTACCTCTGAGTTTCCAATTAAAGTATCTGTAGGATGTGCAGAAGGCAGGTCAGAAGACATTCCATTAAACAACCCAAGAGAGTATTCTTCCCTAACTGTGAACAGGGAACATTTTGTATTTCACATATTTTACAATCAGCACAATAGAGGGTCACACAAGCATCTAATTTAATAGCCTATAGGTCACAAGTTTCAGATCAATGAACTTAAATTTTATCTGTGCAATCCTAAAACACTAACCTTGTTACATAAGCATGTTATCGGGTGCTGTATGGCAAAAGTTAGCAAACAGTTCATTTAAAAATCCAGTTTGAGTGACACATGTCTGCCAAAATCAGCTTTAAGTTATAATATAAAATAGTACACATTTGCTTTAGTATATCCATGTATGCAGCGTATTACTAGCTTACCTTATGAAAACAAGCACCCAGACTGGCTTTAATAAACTTCAAAAGCTTAATATTTGATGCACCAGTGTTTAAACCGATTGGTAACATTATTCAAATGGCATCTTTCCACTTGTGAAGTAAACAGAGCAGATTTCATGCTAATCTGCTGCATTTTAACAGGGCAAATTTCACGCCGATCTGAACATCATTTATCAATCACAGGATCTTCACAAGATCTGAATTACTGAAACTCCTTTCTTAGAAAGGGTTGGAATAAGATACACAATGTGTCTGCACAATACTGACATAGCACTCTAATTATGCTAAAATCCCCAAAAGGAAAATATAGCACTGTTCTAAAAATGTTTTGTCTGTATGTTTTCGTGGTACTGTGATAAGCTGGAAATACTTAATGTGGAGAGAAGTTACACTGAACCAGGTCCTCCACCCCACAGTGTTGTCCTTTATATGAATTGAGTGCTATGTGTTGCATTCCACAGGGTTATAAAAAATATATCTGCTGGCCCATTTGTGACCACTGAAAAAGCCTTCAGTTCCCTTGAGATAAGACCACTGAAAGAAAAGAAAACACCTCTGTGTAGTGTTTTTTGTGTATCTGAATATCCTTTATATAGCACAGGTTGCTGGTAGCCTAGTGTTAGGAGCCGTAAGCCAGCAACTAAAAGGCCATGGGTTCAAATCCCATAATTGACTAGGTCACCTGGTTATAGCGTAGTGTGCAGTGTGCTGCTCCCAGACTGGGCAGAGTTGACACTGGGCAATGACACATTTCCCTTGTAGGTTCAGTAAAGTACATGACAAGTGATTAGGCTTCTAGGGCTGTATTACAGAAACGTATTAACTCTTAAATCTTATCTGTTTAGTCACCCTGACAACTTCAGTCAGCACTGAATTTAGAACAGAAGCTATTATAGAACAACAGCTTTTGGGTTCATATCCAGAAAGCAGAGGACTCCGTTTCCTGATCTGCTTTTTTTTTCTGCCTACGGCAGATCCGCGTTACAATCACCTCCGCTTAGCGGATTCGGCCCGGCTCCAATACAGTTCGATTGACAAGTTGGTTCTCTGTGACGTCTGCACCGATTCACAGCCGCATTTTGCACGGAGGGAGACGTTACATTTGAAATTTGAACTTCGGTTTAACCGTCACCCACTCCTAACGGTTGTCGGTCGTCTTTGGTGAGTTCTAATGGTAATTTTATTTATTTATATGTAACATTTAGAAATCTGTATGACCAGTCGTGCCTAAAACACGTGTATTTCTTGTTTTTAAACCTATCGTTAACATTGAAGGACATCTCCGACATTCAATTTTGAGGTAAGCCTAGGCTAGCAAACCTAGCTAGCTACCTAACGTTATATCCCAGCCTGTTTGGAAGTCAACGTTAGCTAGCTAAAGTTAGTAGCCGAACTTTTAGTTACTGTTTTTAGGTTGATAACCAGTTACTAGTCCAGAATCCAGATCCGTGCTGGATTTGTTCTTTTGTGCAAGTGAACCCCGGACCAGATCTGTTTTATGGATCCTATTTTTTAATGATAGATCCAGCCCAGATCCATGTTGGATACATTTTGCTATCTGGGTAATCTTATCCTAACTCCAGATAAGAAAACAGTTAACCAGACAGAAACAGCCTAACCAGACAGAATTTCCTAAATACTGTCCTAACTTTAAGACAGACAGCATAGTTCACTGTAACTAGCATAATGACGCTACATTTATCTACACTGAAACACTGCTTTGACTTATGAGTGTTTTTAATAGCGTTTCAAAAAATCCCAGACACTGCAGACACGATCTCCACCGTCGACTCTTATTACGGCGGCACTCTGATAAACATTGCAAAGTGCTGTCACAATATTTTTAACTTGAAGTTTATCACGCTTTAGTTTTGTTTGACCTTTTTACATCAGTAACGGTAGTTAGCTGTCTAGCTAACTTGATTATTTTAATTACATATTTATGTTTCAGCTGGGCATGTATGGTCGGTTGTTAGGTAACAGACATGACAGTTGATTGTTAACTTTAAGATTTCCTAACTTGAGATAAGATGAAGAAGAGTTAAGATTCCTAAATTAAGATAAGCTTTGCTTTTGCAATACGAATTTGTGAAAAATCTTGATCGGTCACATCTCAAGACAAAAAAATAGCAGGTTTCTGTAATACGCTTTACATACTCTGTAATACGCTTTTCATACTCAGTGGACCCAAAAAATATTGTAGCATTCACTGCTATTAAAAGAGACACAGCTTTCGCACAATTTATGGTGCTTTAATTTCCAGCTCATATTGGCCACAGCTGTGCCGTACATAAACTGTGTTCTCTTCTCTAACAGCTTGTTCACTACCCAGCTCATGTCTCCTCATCCCTCACTATCACACAAGGGCAGCTCCTTAGCAAAATTAACCCATACTGAAGAAGGCACAACCTAAAATGTAACATGTAAATATTTCTTGAACATGCTACAGTATTAAGACATTTGTGCCAAAATTTAACTGTATTATGTTCATTGTGTTAGGAAACAAGATGTCCAATTAAGTGCCATTTATTTTAAACAGACCATTTCAAGACCTCAGTCGTTTGAGCAGTTCCTTTGCAGACGTCTGCAGGTTTGGACCCACAGTGCCTTTGTACACTTCTGAATTAATAATCCCATCGATGAACACAATCTCACCGACACCTCTGGAAGAAATACAGCCCCAGAGTACTCTTAGTACAGTATGACTGGAATCCTTCTCTAGGCTTTCTCCACACAAAGAATCTACCATCAGTTTGATTTTTGTACTAAAAGTGCTTTTCTGTTAAACAAATATAATTTTGTTAAACATTTTATCAAGGAAACTAAAGCACTTCAGTAAAGTAAAATTTCCAAATGTTTTTTGGGGCCCTCAAACGACGAGCAATTTTCATCCAAGGTCATTCAAAGCCCTAAATAATCTCATTGCAAGACCAGATAAGCAGCAGATGACATATTGCTGTGCTTTTCCTTTTTCATGCTTGAAAGGAAGTGTATCTCAGATACCAGCAGGCTTTTGGTTCCGCTTCTTTCTCGCTTACTTGATCAAACGTGTGAGCGATGTCAAAGTCAAAGATATTAGCCTCAGTGGCAGCTTAATCTGAGTAGCCAGGCCTGTGCCAGACATTTAGCAAATCATGATATAGTCATAAATGTTCTTTGGCTGTTTAGCACATTCTTCGCACAAAGTGTGAAGGACAGTCAAGTGGATTGTAGTTTTGCCATTAATTGTTGATCTGACTTCCAAGGAAAGTATTTGCCTCCGCTGTTTCCTTTCACCTCCCATTAGACCAAATCTGTCCCACCTCATTTGTTTAGCAAAGCAACCGAGGTGTTATCATGAGATGGTGTGCGTGCTGCCTTGTGTATGGTCCCTCTGTCTGAGGCTGTGACTTGTTCTCTTGCCATTGGCTGCTGAACCACAGTTTCAAAAAACAGACACCCAAGCAGGGAGGGAAACATTAATCAGGCAGAGGCAGTGACATCATACCACTGAACAGAGTGCGGAGGAGGTTCCTGCCTCGCTTTTTCTTTTTTTTAGTAGATTTCAACCACAGATGGGGAGCAGAAAGTCATCTGGGCAAGCTGAGGTTTCCTGGCATGCACTATGGACAGGAGGGCGAGGAACTTTGCTAGTTGCCAAACTGAGTAAGCCCAAACCTAAGAAT